CCGCATGGTTACTATCACGTACGTAATAGGAAATAGCAGTTAGAGGTCTGATGTCACGGGTTTGGTGCCAGCATTACCCTAAAGGCAAGTTTCATTTAAGTATTAAAAACTTCCAAATGCAAAACGTGAACTTTTAATCTGTGTTGAATCCTACAGAAGACTTTGCTTTTTCGATTCTTTGGCTTTCTTTTGGGTGACGTGCTTTATTTGGTGTCTATGAATTGCAAATGACAGGGAAATATTACTTTAAAACCCAACATTCGTTATAAGATGCGCTTCTCAGGATGAAATAAAAGAGGGCATTTGGTTGGTTAAATTATATATGTGATAGGAGGTCGTTTTTCAGGACGAATTCTTACGCAGTACATTTGGCTGCGAAAAGCGATGCAAGTTTAGAGAAAAAAGGTCTGATTTGGTAAAGCTGCTTTTCTGAGTTGAAGTCCAAGCCTACGCGTCTCAGGAACTCGAAACGGAAGAGGTATTAAAGTCACGTCCAATTTCACCAATCACTCAAATCATGCACACCAAAAAAGCCTATAAATAACTAAAGCAGGATCCTACCTGCGCAAAACAGGAATATCTGATTTCAACTAATCTTAAATTGGATTTTATTAATCAGTTCTGCCTCCAAGTAACTGCTTCTACAAAGTGGAGATGTGAATAAGGGCTGTGCTTGCTGCAGGCAGTCAACAAGTCTATGATATCCGTCTCTCAAGAGGGTGGGTCTGACTCCAGTAAAATTGACGAAGTGTGTCCATAACGTTGGGATTAGATGGCTTCTCACCTTCTTGGAAAACTGACTAACAACTTTCACCGCCAGCTCGTGGATGGATTTTGAGGCACTGACTAGGTTGTAACATGCCGAAGTAGAATGAATGCAGGCAGCTTAGGTGATGAGGCTAAAAAGAGGTTGGTTATGTATGAGAACAATGCTGCTTTAATTGTACATTCAGCTATGTGGGTTTTTTATCCTTCGTGGGCTCTAGAATACCACTTTGGTGGCACGGCATTCTGTCCTGATTGAGCCTCTTCGTAAATTCAGATTTTCCCGAAGTCCTATGAAAGTACGCTTCAAAGTTGTTCATGATATCAATAAGGTGTTTAAGATTTTACTAACAAATTTAATTAGAATAAGGCAAAACTTTGCAGGCATCCTTTTGTCAAAACATATCATCGGTATTTCGGAACTCGGTATGGTTTTATGAACTCTCGACTAAATTGGGATCTATGCGTAGGATGGTGACTCCTTACGTATGAGGTTACAGTCCATACGTTCACCGGAGTATTACGATTGAAAAGTGTTCTAGGAGCCGCAAAATGAGAGCACCACTCGATGTCATCTTATCAAGTACGGAAGTAGCGTCTAGCAGGACTCCCCAGCGTATACTGCGACCGAAAGGAGAGATAAGCTTTACACCTCTCACGTGAAAACTTACTCCAATCTAACACCAAATGGAGGACCTATTACGACAAGGTCTTTGGACTAGGCAGGTAATGTAATACGATGGTGGTTTACCCCTCGGTATTGGTGAGGCGCCACTTTTGTACTTTGAGTTAGCCTTCTTGTACCTGGCTGGGTGGGCTGACCTTTCAGGTTATGCCAATGGCCCAAACACCTTCTCTGTACTGAATATATATATTCTGCCCGAGTATTGTGTCTTCTTTCGTCTTCAGGAAAGTGTCGGGACGCTACATTTACTCTTCACCATTTTACCCCCAATTCAACGGGCACGCTCATTGACGCATGCAAGTGAGCACAAGACACGAGAGGATGACGGACCACTGACATCTTACAAAGGTTTCTATCGACATATTGAACAACACCTAATGAATATGTACGAAACCTCCTATTATCGGCCGAAACGCTAATGGGACCCAAGCTCTGCTGGGCCAATACAGTGATGGTGGTGAGAGCACAAAACGGCTTCGAGGGACGTGCACCAGAAGCCTCAGCAGGGTTCAAAGCAAGCGCTTATGTCTACGCCGGCGACTATAAGCCAGAACACGATCCATGGATAGCTGAGAAGATTTGAGACAAAAACAGTAAAGTTATATTCGACGCCAAAGTCTAAAAAGATGTCTGGATGGCGCATCGCAATCAACTAAATTTGCGATGCATCGAGGAAACAGCAGCTCGACGTGGAACTTATGCCTTGACAACTTTCGGGTACTCTGTCCGCCTGTGGAGGAAAGATGGAGGTCCAGTAAATGAACGTGTAGAGTGGAAGGATTACGCCCCAAACCTTGAAATCAAAGCTATTGGCCTTTTTTGCGAGGAGAGGGGCTAAGGATGCCTGTAAACTTGGGAAAATGCTCGTTTTCGTCTTTCTAGAAGTTCTAATTGACGGTCAATCTCCGAGTATTCTAGGCAGTTGTGCTCTCGCTTAGTCCTCCCTAATTAACTCATACCAGGCAGGGATGTATTCCAGGTGTACTGGTAACCAACCAAATACCAAGGTCAGTCAACATGCCTACGTGTAACTGACATCACCGAATGACACGTAGACATCCAGGTAACCCCCGCCGCCTAGCTGCCAGGCGCATTTACGCTGACCGTACCCCTTTCGCTCACTCACGCATTTCGGTTAGTAAAGCCATCTGTTCTGACGCCTTTGTCTACTGAGCTCGATAAAATCCTGGCTACATGAACATAGCAACTAGGTAGAAAAGTTTACGAAATAATGGCTTTTTAACTAATTTAGCGCCTTCCTTCCCCCGAATACAACAATGATAACCTATTTTCAGTATTCTCTGCGAGACCTATAGCCTCTAGTCTAGTACGAATCCAACAGACCTTGAATGCTAATTTGGCAGCTTTTTTAATGAGTTATTCCAACCCTTCCTTTGTTGATAACTACCCATTAAAACCATACACTATAATTTTTCTCATATCAACCATTTAAATTGACCGTCACCTGCTTCTAACTGTAGCGATTTAATTACTCTAAAAAGGTAGTGGCTGCAGCACAAAGTCCACCATCCCCCTCATATGTGGGCTTACCATTTGCAACTGAATCTAACTGAACCGGAGCGATAGTTAGAATGCATTTAATGACTCATTCCGGTAATATGACCCTGAAATTACATCTTATGTACATGCTCTTTGGTTTCTCATTGTGATGATCGCGGTCGGTGGAACTCCGGGCACGCTCATGAACGCTTGGCCACTTAGGCTGAGCAAAGTTAGCTATGTGACACAAAATATTTTTGACTGATACCACTATGTGTGCATCCGTGGTTCCGGTGCTTACGCCTCCAGTTTTGGGTTCTTCACCACCATAGTACAGATGCCTCTGCTCCACCCATTTCGTGCAGTGGTGTCAGTTTGAGAATGTGGCGTGGACTGGGCGTCGCCTTCACTGTTTTGCGTCATAGGGCGCGGCCTAAGGCTACGAAGCTCCCGAACACGAAAATCTTCGTATGCGGGTGTGTGTGTGTGTGTGTGCGTATTTTGGGGGCACTTGGTTGGCTGACAGATGTGCACATGGGTCTCACCAAGATGGAGGGCACGTTAGAGCTGACAATTTGGATGAAATCAGAAGCTTCAGAAGACGCGAGCTGGTTCCACTTGTATGGAAAGGCTCAGCTACTCAGATTTGTAATTTGACCATTATGTCTGACACATTAAACCGAGATAAAGCGACCTTATGGTTTGTGTCTAGAGTGTTTCCCTTTGTTGCTTAAACTTATGATCCCGGATTAATCTAGGGGATGGATAATCCTTTAATGCTTTTGCTTTATTTGACGCAGAAACATAAACTCGAGGAGTGGAAATCATTTGTCTGGAGTAAAGCTATGAGAATTTACTGGGATTTCGTTCGGATAGATGGAAAAAAATGACTATCCTTATAGCAATCAAATGAGTGCTCAAGGCACATTAATCTCATCAAAAACGTAATACCGACATCAAAACGAATTTTGCACTATGCTGCATTAAAGAAATCTTCACAGTGAAATAATTCCACCAAAAAACTTGGGTCGTCTGTCACATCTACTTGATGGCAAATCCCTTTTAATGGGGCCAACTTTACGGGACAGTGCCGATTACATTAGTCGTAACGAAGATAAATTTGAGGCAAAAGCTCTTAAAACCCAAAAATTGTAGTGTCGGCGTATTACCTCCTAGCAGCGCGGGTGAATATTTGCTAGTAGCATACACCACGCCTATCTTACTGATTTGAAATATGGGGATTTAAGCGAATCTGCGCATTATTCCTCACTTTTTTTGCAGGAAATGGATAATGCTGTTCGCCTTTCCCATTTTAGAGTGTCTAATACGACTTCTCAATGGCATGATTTAAGGGCCTTAGAAGAACGTAAACAAAAACCCGTCGTTTAAACCAACAAATTACAGATTAAAGACAAATTAAATGTCTTGGGTAGTTATGAGCTCGATTTATCATGATTAAAACAACAAAATACAATCCACTGAAGGAGTAAGAGAAGTTTGAGGAGTGTGCGTTAGTGTAGCATGTGAATATGTTCGATTTCGTCTAAAAAAGGATAAAACCCATAGAGTGGCTGAATTTTAATTCAACATAACCTGACAAACGAAAACTTACAGACTTCCTCAGGTGCCTTTCCATAGGTATTTCCATCGTGATCTAAAAGGATATTTAGTACTGATTATAATTTTTACTTTCGCTGCTATTAAAGATTCAAATGGTGATGGGTGCTTAAGATGCTTCACAAGTTAAAACTTGTGCCAAAATAGTTTAGTAATCAGATAAATCTGTATACAAGTGCCATTACTGTTCAAAATAACCTTAAATAAAGCATCGAAATCGTGGCTTGGACGAAGAAAAAGGAGTAAAATAGACGTTGAACATACCAAGTTGTTCTGCTTTTTCTAACCACTCCTCTTCACTGAGTGGGGGATGAGCAGGTGTAGAATAGACCTGTGCGGTGAGGGTCAAAGCGAAAATGAAAAGAAAGAGAGAGCTCATAGTCGTTCCAAGTACTTGAAGCTGAGTGTGACTTTTGGGCTTTATATAATTGCGGTATGGTGGGTGTGGTTTGGCTCCGGATTACGTATTTGATAAACGAACTCAAGGCTCCACACTCTGCGCGCAGCTACAGAGAAGAGTGCCATGAGATGATATCGTTTTTTCAAATCGGATATCGAGATATGCCCTTTTAACTCAGAAAGATGCTGATTAAGTTATACCAGAAAGGCCATAACTTTACTACAGTCGGTCTATAACCAGTAAGCAATGAAGAGAAACCATCTAGTCTGTAATCCATATCCAAATACAGGAACTCAATAGTGCTGTTCTAAATTTCGGGACCAGATGAATCTCGTATTCAAGTAAAAAAATGAATGACAGGCCGTGGGCTTCTTAAATACATTCACTCCTCTGAGGATAATCGTTATAAGCCATATCGAGGCAAGAGCAATTCCAAATTTTTAATCATGGTCTACTAACACAAAAGAAACAAACAATCATTTTCTGTGAAAAAAAGTGGGAATTTGAGCACTAGCACGTGTAAGTAAAAAATTTGATTGGAACGGTGCACACTGAAGGAGGGTCACACAAGTTAAGATACCGGTAACTTGATTGTCCGCTTATGGAGTTTGTGGTGAATAAAAGCCAGTAGGGTTGAGGGGCTGTTAACTTAATGAGAATTAGGAGCTGAATACATTTTAGCGTGTATAGGTTACCGCACCGCACAGGGGCTCTGAGGTGGGCGCGGTCTAATAAGTGCACTCCAGAAGGCATGTGACTTACCTGGCGCATCCGAGAACGCCCTAGTCAACCCACTCCTCCAAACAGATGGAATACCGAGAAAACTGAATGCCAGCCCAATTTTCCTGGAATTTCATAGTTTCCGTTTCAGCACCTTCGCCACCGCGCAGTACCCAAGCACTTGAACCCTTTTCGGAGAAGTTAAACTAAGACAAACATTGATTCGTTGAGACCCGAATCCTGTAGCCAAAGACCTTGAGGCAACCCAAACTAAGTGTAGTTACTTAAAAAACTAATTCCATTGGCTTGAAAGTGGGTGAGTACCCGACCGACCAGCAGTTGCTAGCAATGATGACGAATCGAAGAACTTGCTGCAGTCCCCAATTCGCCACGAGGCTCCCTCCCAAACGATACCATGCCTATCAGACTACTTACTTCTTTTGCAGAAATGCAGAAAGACTGTAAGCACGATCCCAGTACATACACAGATCGCCACCATCTCATTCCAGCCTATGAGCTAAATTAATCAGAGGATGCAGTCACCATCCAGTACGGCCATTGGAGAGACATTAGACACAAAGTAGACAGTAGAATGCATAAAAATGAAACAACTACAATGCCATGAAAATCCAATTGCAGTAATTCCGCTGTGTACAATATTCAGTGGTTAAAAGAGCAAATTTCGGGTCAATACAAATAGCAAGGCATACAGCAGGAAGAATTGCCAGAGGGAGTAATTCAAGGCTAAACTGATGAGGGCTAAAAAATGTTGCTGACTTTGGGAATGAAAATTGAGATGGCTCCCAAAAAAAGGAACATGAAAGTTTGCATTACTACAAAGTTCTACTTTAATAAAAAAAGTAGATAGTTCAGGTACTCGATTCTGAAACAGTGGCCATGGGGTCGGATTTGTAAAAACACTCAAGAAGATCGACAAGACATTGAAAAGAGGGATAAGGATGGGAAGAGGTTTTTGAGTAGATGCGCTCGGCGACGAAAGAGAGATCAGCCAGGTGAAGACACATTTGAGCCATACGACCGAGAGCCGTCTTCTTATCTGCCTTTACGAAGGTATGCTCGAGGCAGATGAATGCCTCGTCTCGTCTACTCTCCACGCGTTCACGAGTCGCCTCTGTCAGCTCGGGTACGTCTGCATGCACACGCAAAATAGCCCGAACAGCAGAATCAAGAAATGAAAGTGGGCTTTCAGTGATTATTCCCAAAAATTACAACCGGGAGTAATGTGGTACGCAATTTTTTTCTCTAACGACCCAACTAATGAGATATCTTACAGGCATGGAGGAAATTTCCACGCATACAAATACTACTCTACTTCCCCCATTGACCTCGACCTCGCAACGCGATGAGGATGACTCATCACCTAACTAGGGTGGTGAATCAGGCGCAACGATGTCCAATGCGCATGGGTCGACGCGAGCTACGGCATCCGCCTATCAACGAGGCAGAGACATCTCAACTCACCGGGGTTGAAAAGGATAACCATGCGTAGACAGCCCACAGCTTCCACACTGAGACAAAGGCGTTTGAAGAGGCGAGCCAGATCAAAGAGGCGACACAAAATGAGGCGTCTGGATAGGCACTGGGCATTCAATTCGTTAGGGACGTCAGTAATGCTGATGGGATGATGGTCAACATCGACAGGGAGGATGTTCATGAGAACACGAGATTCATGCCAACGATCAGCGTTACGTAAATCACATTCAGCCTGTTGGCTAAAGAGGATATCTTTGGGAGCGGAGTGGAAGGGGAAAAGGACGTCAACGACAACAACAGGGATATTGAGTGGGGTAGGGGGAGTAGTAGTGGACTCGATAGGGGTCACCGAGGTACTGGGGGAACTTTCCTGTAAAGGTGGATTCGAAGACCGTAGCGACGTCGATGAGTGGGATTCAGTGAGAGAATTTGCCAGTCGGGAGATGAAGTGGACCAATAACAACTCAATGCAACCTGGAGGAGAAATAAAAGCAATAGAACTGACGAAGAGATAATAAAACCGTCCTTGTGCCCTATCGTTAACAAAAGCAGTACTTTACCTGCCCTCAGGAGAATAAACCGATCAGAATCTGAAAAGTCAGAGAAAAGAGGAATCTTCTGAGACCAAAGGAGTAAGTTTATAATTGATTCTTGGATGTCGGTTTGCAGAGAATCACAGTCCTTTCCATCCTAAGATTGAAACAAGCGCAAAAAAATTAGAAATACGACCCTAAAAACAATCACCAAAGCAACAACACAAAAAATCCATCATTTTTTAAATCCCAGAGTGGTTTGCCTTAGAGTTACGCCAAGGGATAGTGTAATATAATCAGAACGGAATAGATTAATGAAACGTCAGTTAATGGATTGGGCATGCTTTAAATTACATGAACCTACAATGACAGCTTATTTTTAAGCTAAAAGACTACCCAAGGTTCCATTGCATCCAGTCACAGGCAAAACTTAAACAGTAATCTTAGTGGCAGAGTTGAAGGATAACGGTCCGTTTTGTGAATGTTGACAATGAATAAACTTGTTTTGGAAGCCCGCAGAATAAGTAATGCCTAGGTACAACTAACCATGAAGATTGGTTTACTCTCCGGTAAGTCGAGAGGAGGAACGTCGAAGATGAGTGCTTCTGCCGCCCTAATTTGTTTGACAGTAGCCTCAGTAGCTGGACTCGACCTCGAACCTACTAAATTGTCCGCCCTTTCATGAGAACATATTGATGAGGCGGGTGATGGTGCAACGCTGGAATAGTCCTTCTCGTTGGGGTAAAGGAGCATTGCATGGGACTTCTCAAATCGAACAGCTTGTAGGATAAATAGAAAACAACTACTGAATTGCATAATAAGGTTTCTGAGGCAAAAGGGGAAGTGAGTACGCTGCTCAGGTATTTCAGTTAATGGCAAAATCTCTATTTGTAATCACATTAAAACATCGGTAAAGAGGATGAATAAGCACAATCGAACACCTTCTTTGCGCATTCCCACAGCGAGGCACTTCCTTAGCCTACAGGAATGGCAACGAAGCTGATGGTTGTTGTCGTGGATGTTCGATTTACCAGAGCACTCGCATCGTAAACCCAGATGAGTGGCCGTTCCAAAGAAGGCACGGCAGCTATCACACGACAGAGCCCCTAAAAGGAAAGGAGAGTTGATTCCTTCGATTTTCACGACTTACTTTGCCTTTATTCGCCAACCCAGGCATAAAAGCAAAGACGGCATCCAACGCGCTCACCGTAGTGCTTGCCAGTAGCCGTGGCTCCGCATATGGCACAATTTCGAGCACTACATAAGTAGGTGACTTTCTTTACAGACGTCGATGGAACCGACCGATGATATGGTGAAATTGAACCATCTGATCCAATCTATAAGCATTAGAAAATGACTTCAAAATCATTCAACCTGTTAAAACAAAATTGACACATGAATAAATGTGAAGCAACAATATATGGAAAAACAGCACTTAGAAGAAAAGCTGAGATCTTAAGAGGCTTTAGTTTAAAAGGACACTCCCAGTTAACCTAACATTAAGTAGAGTTGCACCAAAAAACAACCCATCGAGCAAGGAATAAGGCAAATGACACGTTAAAAAGCAAAAAAGAAATGATCCGCGCAAAAACCAAGGCATTTTACTAAGTTCTAGTCGTTTTTTAAGCTGAATCTCTACCACACCTTTCCACCTGTCCATTCAACGAATTGAGAAGAGAAAAACTGAGGATTCAGAGTTTTGACTGGAGCCAAAAGTTCTAATTTCTGCTTTGTTTGAAAATTACATGAAAATAAATAAAAAAAAATAAAATTATGAGAGCCCGCTGTCGGCCGTTTGATCAGCCAGTCACAGTGCCATCCCGGATCAATAGTGGTGCCGAAGGCACAGTTCGTCTTTTAAAACCGATTACAGTCTTTTTAAAAGGAGGGTGATATGGCTCTTGCCAAGCTTTCGTCACGACTTTCAGTTTAAATCGAAGCTATTACAACATAATTCTCCCCAACACTGTCCAATGAGCCGCAGCATGAGGGAATTCAAAACACCCAGATGGGGTGACGCTTATGAGCAGTACTGTTTGTTTACTATCAGTTGATGTCTACTGTGCGAGAGCTGACGAAGGTAAATGGGGGAGTGAAGCCGACTCACGGTGTAATTATAAGGCTTAGGATAAGCACCAGTGATGAACGATTGATTGTACGAGTAGGACCGGAGAGGAGGAAGGGAGTAAGAGCCCTGCTGCTGATGAGGTAGAGCACGGTGGTTTGCCACTGTGGGAGGCGCGGATTGAAAGTATTGAGGGGAGACGGGTGTAACTGGCGAATACAGAGTAGGAGTATATGGGTAGTTTAGGGAACCGCTGACGCAGCTGCTTTGGCAAGGCAAAGTCTGCAACTGCGGGTTTGCAGGAAACACGGTACGGTGGGTCGTGGCGACATCACAAGTGTTGTTGGTCTGGGTGCTAGATTGAAGTCCACCGTAAAGCGAACCGAGGTCAGGCTTTGGCATTGCAGAGCCAATTTGCAAATCGGCTGGAAAATGAGTAGATAATCACTGTTGACGAAATCTCCATAGTTTTTAACACAGCTTAAACTGGGGCCTACACTTAAACAAACAAATTTGGCCAGAGAAGCAAGATCGAATTCCACGTGCACTAAAATCGAAGCAGTAAACAAGTGAAAAGCTGTTCCAACAAGATAAATTACAACCACCAAAGTAGAGTGCTAGGCAACATTAATATGGTGTTAACGCCACCACTCCAATAAATTTAAGTCTCTTTCCGTAACTAAAATTGAAAAAGCTTATGTATATTGATTTCTTACAGCACTAATAATTCAAAACAGGCGCAAAAGATAAACTACGACGATGCAAGTCTGCTGACAGTTGGATTTAAGAGGTACAACAAAAGTAGCGCATTTTGGATTAAGACTAATTAAAGCATAGGGAGAACAAGAAAAGCAAGCAGGGCATACCATTCGAGATCACATCAGATTTTAAATCGACAAGGGGTTTTTCATCGCTTTCCGATATAAGTGAGGCGAATATAGAGCTATCAAATGCATTCAGAGTGGGAGGGACGGATTCAGCAGTCACAGGCATGGAATGCATTGGATCGCGGTCCCCATTGGCCGGAGGTGCAACAGACGAAGCATTATTTGAGTTCGACCAAACTTGCATCGATATTTTCACCCAATTTAGTACGATGACCGAATAGAGCTTAAAGTAAATAGCAAGGCTACAATACATTCCAATGAAAACATGTGTTTCAAGAAATTACTAATACGCAAGACGAAGTCAGTCAATATGGGGGACGATCCGCAGGTGGCAATATAGAATAAAAGAGCTAATATACATGTATTTATGCGCATATATGCGTCAAGAAGCCAAAACCGCATTAAGTCCATGTGGGTACTCGCATGCAGGCCCTGAACTCATGACGGTAGCAGTCAGTTGTTTGCTTAAAAACTAAGTTATAAGGCTCAGACAAAGAAAGCAAGGACTTAGCAGTCCCTAAAAAATCAAACCATTTAACACAGAGCATGCACATTCTATGGTTACTTTGTCAATGGGATACACTAATTTTACTGAAATGCACCAACAAATTATTTTGGCCACAAGCCGAATGCAACATTGTTTTCCAAAATTCAATACGACGTCAATTACATAAAAACCCTCGGGGCGTACACATCTGCATAGTGTAAGGGGGAGATTTTAAGGTATTACCTGGAAACTTGTCTATCTCAGTCATTAAAGGTAATCGGTCAGGCTGTAAAACCATACTGTACTGTGACCATTTCTTCAGACATCCGAGAGACGCTGAATATTATCGAAGACTCTAGGCTTATTTGAAAAGAAGTATTTAAACTATGTTTAACATACGACACGCTGGTTAACAAGTCCTGGACGTTTTAAAATGTGAAACGAATTTCGTAGGGGTACACCACATTAGGAAGACATTTTGGAAACATTTGACAGCCGTAAGTTTTGCAAATACAGGATCTTTAAAAACAAACATCTTATTTGGAAAAAATTATCAACGGACTCTCAGCACAATCACTTTGCCTCAACTAGACCACAGTCCAATGTATCAGGTAGACGGTTTCTGCGGGTGCAACAGACACCTTTTCGAGAAATAGCAAAGTGGAAGGAACACAAAGTTAATTAACCACAAAACCAAGCAATTGATATCATAATAGATGTAAGAAAGCAACAGTCTATCATCGATCTAAACGGCTAAAGATTACATGTTTACACAACGGCAATGATTGCGGTAGAATACGGAGTCCCGGGAGTAACATGAAGACCAATCTCGTGCGGCCGAAAATAAATTGCAGCAAATGCATAGCTGATTGTAGAGCAAATCATAAATTACACGACCAATGAAAATCGCAAAAAAATCGCCGTTTAATGATGAATAGTACCCAATAATGAAGAGCATTTAGAGCTACTACTTAGCAAATACTATCAATTGGTATGACTTGTCTCATGTTCTACGAATAACCCTGGATTATACGTGAGGACATGTCATAAAACACAAAGATGGGGCAAAAACACAAAAGTAGAGGACGAACAGGTCAAAGCAGCAAAAACAGCAGGTCACCAACATGCACTGTGGTAATTACAAGAATGTATTGTTACGATAAAGGAAAAGTGGCAATGTGGCGCAAAAACTGTCCAATAAAACATTAGTATTGACACAAGTACGAACACAAAGCATTTGCAATCAAGACGTCAAAAGAAAGAAGAAACGTGCATCCGGGCAAAACGACTATTAAGTGGGACATACTCAAGCCAGTACTACAGAAGTAGAACTTCAGGAGAACAACCTTTGTAGGCGAGCCTAAAAGGAGCACGAACGCAGACACCAAGAAACTATTCTCCAAATATCAGATCAGTTGAAACAACCGACTTGCTTAAACAAAACAAACTCGTAATAAGTAATAAGCAAGTTTTGTAACCAACTATCTTTCAAATACGGAACAAGAGGATTGTTTATATTAATTTACAAAAGAGGGTTAATATTTGACGCTATAGTTCTCAGACTTTTATGTATCATCCTATAAATACTAAGTTACTTTTAATGAGACGAAAAAAAAATGTGTAAGCATGTTTATTATAAACTTTGTCCTGACGGACGACTTGGGCTGAAAACGGCGCAGCGTATTAGCATAATCCGTTGGCTGTTTGTTTAACGCTGGGTTTTGTTAAGAGATCCACTTTGTTTGGACCATAGTACCTTTTGTTGGGTGGGCTGACCTCCGGCTCATGTCAATAGCTCAAGTCCTGCTGTGCGTCGAATAGATGTATTCTGCTCGAGTATAATACCTCCGTTCGAATTCAAGGAAGTCTCTGAAAGCAGAAAGCGGACTTAACCTTAAGGAACGTTCAACCTTACTTCTACTGTTGGGTGGTAAAACTTAACGGGGCAAAATGAAGTCCGTTTGCTGCGAATGGGTAAAATGGTGACGATTTTTAACAGAAGTTGGTCGTATAAGCTACTATGCCGTGGTTGATCGGAAAAGCTAAGAAAATTGGCATTGGTCAGATTAGGTTTATTCAAGAGGGATGCTAAAGGCAGAAGAGAACCATACAGTGAAATGCCCTTTAATTGATTTAGCATTATTTGGCCATGTGAGATTTTTTTGTTTGGCAACCTGGTCTAACCCGGTGACAGTGTCACCCCCCTGACCAGTAATTTTGTGACACGGCGTCTTACCACTTATAATAGTGGTCTCGGAACCTTTCCATATGCTGCTAAATGGCTCATTACATTCTCAAATGCCACAATGGAAGCAACTAAGAACCCTTGCTCTAAAGGAAACATGATTATGAATTGCCACGTGGGTACTGTGCCCGTGCACCACAGAATGCGGGTGCCCAGTGTGGATGTCTAAGTCTATCAGCTTCCAACAACTTTTGTGTGAGTGTCGGTGCTAAAAGCAACTAAAATTTAAAATGCATTTGGGCTTGTAAATCGTGAGTTTATTTTTGCTTCTACGGTGAGTATTGTCCCAAACGGGGACCATTATGTAATACGATGGTGGTTTATCCCTCGGTTCTGGTGAGGCGCCACTTTTGTACTTCGAATTAGCCCCCTTGTACCTCGCTGGGTGGGCTGGCCTTTTGGGCCATGCCAATAGCCCAGACACCTTCTCTGCGCTGAATATATATTCTGCCCGAGTATTTTGTCTTCTTTCGTCTTCAGGGAGTCTCGGGACGCTACAATTATTTGAAGTGGAACTGCTGCAAAATACCAATAAGACTAGAACCCCACAATTCACAAAAAATGCAGTTAAAAAAACTTTACAACTTTGCGATTTTTAAGTGTCTACTCATTGTTCCATTAAAAACCTAATGTAAGTCGACTTGGCCTAGATAAATACTAGTGATGTAAGTGTGAATGTATTTAAAAAGTATGTCATTTAGATGAGACCATGGTGAAATCGAGATGCACATGGTTGTGGTATCACTTGTATTGAATTTAGGAGTTGAACTCTAAGGTCTAACCAAATCAACAAGAATGCTTAATTTAGGAAATGGACAGGTTCTTCTGGCCGTTTAAAGTTCGTTTTGGCAAAGGTCCACTTAGAACGGCTGCTGTTGTATCTAAATCAAGTAAGCCGGCATCTGAGGCATGACGGTATTTTTAAGTTTTTGTACGCTAAATATGCATTCTACACTAGTATTATATCTTTTTTCTCTTTAGGGAAATTGCGAAGCTCCACACACTGTTATCGGCGCTCAGACATTTGTTTAAGTGATTTCACACAATTTTTAAACTTATTCCTCTAAATATCTAAGTACTGTCATGAAATAATGTTTTTCACTAACACAAGCATTTGTCTTTTGAAAAATTGTTTTAATAAACCTGTTTTTATTTTACCACAACCTTGCTTTTAGAATGCACCACCCGCGTTGTTCGGTAACATTTTCCTTGGAAAATCAATGCCTTGCATCACTACTTAAAATAAATGCGGTGGCTAAGGCGCCATTCATCAAAAACGATTGCTGTTAAGGTGTCGACCCTTGAGTCGGATTTGGAATTTAGCATTCCTGTACGTTTCATTTTTTGTCCAAGACCTAAATCTGTAGGTAAAAAGCACTGGAAAAGACTTGTTTGACCTCGTTTGCGGTACCTTCGGTCTAAGAGAGACATGGTATTTTGGCTTGCAGTCTTATGTCCTTGTAAATGATGGAAGTGTTAAATATTTGAATTGGTTGAAACCCGACAAAGTGAGTGGCTTTTTATATATTTCTTGTAGATACTTTCTCAGCATCCACTACCACTACCTTTCCAGTTTTGCTACTTTTTTCATGCCAAATTTTACCCTGAGGATGTGGAGCATGAGCTTATTCAACCCATAACAAAACATTTATTTTATTTGGAAGTAAAGGACAAGATCGAAAACCGTGGCCGTCTAAGTCATCTCGGTGATGCCAGTGAGAGATTTACCTTAAATGCTTCATTTGAACAGAAAATGTATTTACCGGTCGTATTTTGAGCATTTATGCATCTTTCTAATTCGATTTGTACTAAAACCAGTATATTTTAAACATAATATAGCAGTTTTGGCTTGAGTGCTAAATTTTCTGAGTCTTAAATCGTAGAGAAACTTGTTTTTATTATTGTATATGATTTTACATACTTGAGTCTATTACTCGTTACGTCTTTTTTAATAAGAATTGCAATTTACTCCAAGTAACGGCATACGTGACATTTGCAATAGTCCTGATTATCCTTACTAAATTTGTATTTTTAATCAGCATTTATACAGCCATCGTTAGAGGCAGCTATTCAACTCACGGTTCTTTCAGCGCAAGTAAGTTAACTCAATGTACCTTTGATATATTTTTGAAACTTGATCTTCCAGAAAACGCACTTATGCATAGCATCCCTACCCTCGATTTAAGATTGAATTCGAAGATTTCGGTGAGGGTGAAACGGATGACGAGACTGAACAATTGGTTCTTTCGAAAAGGCTTCTACGACTTCTTCCAAAGTACTTATCGGTCAATATCCAAGTAAACACTGGGGTTGCTCAACGGCTTAAGGAGTGTTACATGAGCAATAAAGGATTAGATAGGTTCGTATTATTGCATATACTCGGTATTGATTTTGTGTGTTATATTTTGTTTAAAACAGTTTTAATTGAATTGTGGATTATCAAAATATCAAAACAATAAGTGTCATATTGTCGAAAGTACCGTGTCCTTTATTACATTGCGCTGTACTTCCCTTTTTCATCGTAAATAGTTTGGTTGTGTCCTGATTGGATTTTTAAATGTCTGTTCTTTAGTCATTTTTTGTTTTATTTCTTCGTTCTCCGACTCATTTTACAAACACCTTGAATGAGGTCAGCGTACCTGTAATTTAGGCTGATTAGCTTTATTCCGGCAAATTAATTTATTTTGATTGCCTCCTCTCAGCAGAAATGCTACTATGACTTTGGCTGTTGTCGTTGTTTCAAAGAGCATAATTGGCTTGGATGAGGTACCACTTAATGTTTTAGTAAGCGCAGTTGTCCTAGAAGAACGTTCAACAGTAGTGATTGGACAATCAATACCGACGTTTAGTAACACAAAACTGACAGTTGCAGACCTTTACTTTTTCACTATTTCATTGCACTTTTGCCAGGCGATATGTAACGGTAGCCCGCATCATTTAAGCGAGTTCGGGACGATCTAGTGGGTTTCGCATAATTTGGTTTTATTGGGTGTTTACAACTACTTTTCTGTTTTCTCTGCTTTTGCGGTGCTTCAGGGATTTGTCTCAAAATATGCATTTGCAGTGATTTCTCGCCGTCACCATGTTTTAACAATTAGTTTAGAATTGGAAGTGGCCAAAAAATTTCCCACTTTAATGATGGGGTGTTCATTCATAGATTTACAATTGTCTTGCAGTTACAGTATGTTACGCCGAAGTCGAACTCCTAACGAACTATTTTCATTAGATTCTTGAAATTAGATATTTAAAATATGGGAAGCAGACACAATGATCTCATAAGGCTTGGCGTTTAAGCTGCATTCTATTTCATGTTATTTTCTTCAAACCAACCGCATTAAATGAAATTAAATCTAGGGGAAGGGGACCTGAAGATAATCATTTCAGAGGTGTAAGCATTTGGGATATCAAGTCGTAAATTGCACTATCTGGAAAAAATAGTGATTGATATCAATATACCTAACCTGTGATGATATTTATTCTTAGAAATGATCACCAGCTCCAAGGCCCTTATGTCCGGTGTGGTGACTTTTGGAACTTGGCCATCGTGGTATTTTCTGTCATTCACATTAATGGGTCGTGATTAAACGATTTATAGGTAGTTTCATTGAACGTTGCGAGGCTTTCTATGGATGGGAAGATGAATGTCTCGGGCTGGTGGAAGGAGCGTGACCGAGATCGATTGCGCAAGACTGCCAACAGTTGTTCCAGCGGCGCTGCTGGCGTGTTGTGCGCGCGTGCGTGCGTCAGTTTAAGTTTGCATAAAAGATAATTGGACTTCTTTTGTCCCAGCCTTCCTTCCTCCTCCGCCCTTTCCGTCCTTCTCCTTCTCACATGAACCCACTTCTTCTGAACCAATGCGGCGCCAGTCATATTCCTTTTTCCCTTGGCTGCCAGCCCAGCCTTTTGCTTCTTGTCGAATTCGATGCTAACCACTCTTCGCTTGACTCGTTTTCTAGTCGATGATCTTGATTTATACTTTCCATCAGCCCTGCATCCTTTCAATTGGGGTTTTTCTTCATATTATTTGGAAGATTGACGACACACCATCCCTCTCCAACCCCCCCCCCCGTAGTTACCTAGTTTAACCTACCTCTTGAAATGCGATATGGGCATACAAATACGTCACATTTACCTAAAAATCTACCCCATAGAATATGACGCCGTATGCGTACACTAAGCTGTAACATGAAGTCCTCGGCCCGATTTTGTTTCAATTGACGGATAATAGCAGCACGTTTGTAATGAACGGCGTGGAGCGTAAGCTAGGGAACGCCGTGATGATGATCCGTAGTTTGCCTTCGGCGTTTGTACGGCATTCCTCTTCTTCCCTACCGCTCATTTTCACCGGGTGTAGTGGCATGCGCAGGGAGAATGGAAAAAGTGAAATGAAACCTCACATGCACATCGTTCCAAACAGATCAGGCTTAACCCATTACTCACTCATTCCACTTCTCCCGTGACAGGTGATATCTTCATGCACGCAACTGACAGATTCACAGACGCGACCGATCTATTTTGCTAACTAGGAATTCTCCACTATGTCCTTTTCGAATACCTTCTATTTATTCATTGCAAAAAACCGGTGATTATCTTTACCAGAAAAATCATAGACGTCTATTTTACTTGGGCATGACTTAGGCTTTAGTTAGGGATGGTAGATGGAGATGGCCGCACACTTCTTCCACGGTGGTGGATTTCGCTCTTTCGTGTAATACCTTTTGGATCTGCTAGATATGAACTTATACTACCCCAGCATTCGATAAGGTACCGCATTCTTATAGATGGGTTAGAAATTTGAAGATTAAGCCATTTCAATGGGAGAAAGAATCGCGGAAGAAAATGACTAACAGGAAACATTCATATTTGATCGACGGTATAGCTGTTGTTTACATCTACTTTTTGATACAAATTTGGCTAATATTGTTTGTTAGAATAATTCCGGTGGTCAAATGCATTATTTTGATTGAAATCTCACACACTGTCACATATATGCACCCTCTAGTACGCTGGTCTTTCTCCTAAGAGTGCTCTGAACCATAATCACATGTACTAATTTGTAAAATTTTTGCAAATTTTAATAATTTTTCTGAAGATGTACTTAGCTTGCTTGAAGCTGAAGTGAGTTTGCAGCTACATCGTTGATGACAAACATTTGAAAGTAGTTGGACTGAACTTTGGTCTGTAGCATGTGTCGACCTTAAACTCATGACATTTTGATGTTCGATGATACGACGAATTCACAAAAGCTGAAGAATGCTGTGAAGTCGATTTAAAGCAAATTGTAGCATATAAAATTACCAAGATTACCAAACCACTGTATCCTACTTAACTTGAAATGCATACGATTCACACTTTACTCATGTCCGCGGTTAAAGTTAGTAAACTGCTAAAACTACTTAGCACATCTTAACTAGACCGACTGCATTCATAGGATAAATCTCTGTACCTCGTGGACCTCTGCCATCGAATGATCAAGAAGCGTTTACGCCTGGTCCGCTTTAGAGTTACTGACTTTGTCAATCCCGTATTCGCTGTCATTGTACCCATGAGCGAAGTTGCACTGTCCATAAGCAGATGGGTGGCAGCTAAGGCTATGTTCCGACAATGTGGGTTCTAGTGTCAAGCCATAGAACCAAAGTAAGCGTGCGAACGACGCCCAGGTCTGTGATTTTTTGCGTAAGCGTCCAGGAGGTGGTGGGCATATGCATGTGTGGGCGCTTCGTGGTTAGAATGTCACTTGCATAACCACACACACATACATGCTGAAGGGAGGCAGTGCCGGCGATGCCGTGCACCTGCATTCGATCTCCCGTGCAATGCGTGTTGGAGGATTGCCCGCTTTCGCAGACGCGTGTGCGCGTGCAAGCGCGAACCCGCCAGATGTCCCAAAACGGATGAATCATGCCGCTGTGCAGGTGGTAGAATTTCAGGTCAGCTGATGACCTTTAGTGTGGAGGCGCCCCGACATTCGTGGCTCTTTTATCCCCTAAAGGAAGCACTCTTTTTGAAAACAGCCCTCGCCTTTGCCTACCCAAGTGATTACCTCCTACTATCAGCTTCCCCTTCTGAGGAAACATCAATTGTCCTTCTAACTTCTCCATGAATTTGGGTCTTAAACGTTTGTGATTCAAACTCCGCTGCACAGATAAATGGAAAATGTGAAGAAATATACGTATTGTCTGAGTAGAAGATTACGTTAGCTCTTACCCAACTGGTAGGCATAATCCTTGTTCGATATCTACAGTTAAAGTAATAGTTTTGGACAGTTATTTATCTATTGTAGTGCTTAAAGGAGCAATGACCGAACGCACGTTTGCTAAATCATAAGTGGATAAAAAACTCTTTATAGGCTTATGTTAATTACTAGAGACAATCACTGGAGGCACTTCAGTTTAATTTTCCTCCCACTTGGTAGTTCCAATTTGCTTTTTTCACTTTTATCCTGACTATTGGGCTGCTGAAAATATGATAATGATTTAATATAGTCGTTAAAATGGTGTTGAAGGACATAGGGTGGTGGGCTTAGTTACATTTTAACGTCTTGTGTCAGTTGTACTCTCTGACCAGTGAGATTACGCTATTACCCATTCTTATCCAGAGAAGAGGCGGAGCTGCGTTATCTGAAGATTGCCCAGTCCTATCGGCTGTTCGGTGTGGATTATTTCGTGGTGACGGTGAGCCAGAAATGCTTGTCCTAGCAAGACAGAAACCACCTCTCGGAATGGCCTGCTGATGCAGTAGCTACCTGTCTTGAGCAGCTGCTGCCAACTGCCCCTTGCATGCTCCTTATCCCTCCTCACCTCCACCCCACGGCTCAAAACCTAAATCTAACTTCAACCACTGGCTGGGTGAAACCACTCGCTTCTTCATTGTGTCCGTTTAGTGCGTCCGAATGAAGGATCCTCGCACTCTCAGCCTCACTCGCTACTTCAGTAGGGCTGAATTCTCCCATTGGCGGACGCTGGTGAGTGACCCTACCGCTTGCACTCAGTAATTGCAGTGTTTTCTGAGCATTTTCGAATTTTGACCTGCAAAATGTATGCTGTCCTTGCATCAAGCAATCTGTTGAAGTCGTCTTAAATTGGAAAATGGAAAAAAAACTACGGAAATCAGAACCTTTTATGAAAGCACCTCCTGAGCGCCTTTTCCCATTACCCAAAATCTATTATTTCAGAAACTATTTATTGAAGTAGTGTATAATTTACTGGCTCGAGTTGGACAGCCGCAATAAATCTTTACTTCACCACCATAGACAAATACCGATAAATTATAGTTGTAAGATTTTCAACATACTGAAGGATGTAGGGATGGTTGGGTTATAGGAACTTTTCGCTTGCTACCGAAGCTCCTGTCTATGCTAACGGCACGGAGGGGGAAACAGGTTTGTCACCGTTGTTTACAATGTGTATGTGTGTGTACAAAAATAGCACTACCACATTTGGCATGCACTCTCGACCGGTGTGTTGTCCATCCACCGTGCCCAAGCATCTTGCCCTACAGCAAAATAACCTCGACATTTCGTGTTTCGGAAGCGCAGGCTGCGCACTCGCACGTCTGCGCACCGCGCGCACCTCCGCTTGTGCGCCGCGCGGGTGCTACCGAGTTAAATTTAGCCCAGTCCGGTCGACGCCTCCCGCGTCCAGTGAGCATCTCGAGGGCACACACCACAATCACCACAGCTCCTGAGTATTTTAAAACAGATTAGGCATCTGCTCCTTCCCTTTCTTTATTTTCACATCAATTTTCATTAACATTTTTCATTTAATCGATCGGAAACGGAGGGCTAAAGGAAAGTAACGGCTTTTTCGTCCCAAGTGTATTAGGGTTATGGCAAATGCCTTCACTACGTAACAGCAACCTCGGTACACCCATATTTATTGAAAATGAAGTAGGGTCGATTTCTTATAGGTGTCTCAATCTCGAAATGGTGGTCACCTGAATCAATGCTCCTTCCATGACAATGCTAAAATGGATTAGTTCAACAATCTTAGCAAGATCGGTCTTTCCATCTTCGTGACGTGGTAAATTACTGTACAAGAGCAACCTCAATTAAGGTGATATGTGAAGTCGGATCGCTCGCAAATGTCTTTTTGGCAGCTTCCACTGACGAGGATGGAGCTTAAACTTGAATTTAATCTCGGCATTCTGTGGGTGCAACACAGTCACCCGTAGTGTCAGTGCAGCGTACCGACTGGGTTTTTTGGCGACATCGAGGCGACTGCTAATTGGCTATTGCCTTTTTTAAGCCTCCTCTTCCTCCCGACATTCTTGATTTATCATTGCCCATCCTAGCTGTATGCATTCGCATAGGCAAGTCTAACTCCAATACTTTTGATTGGGGAAAAGTCATCCAAAGGGCATTATACCCTCAGAGCCTAATTATTATTTTTTTCCACAACATATCGTTCCTATATCCAACCACCCTTGAAGATAACGGCTTTACATGGGAAATTGTCTATTTTATTTCATAAAACCACCAGATAGGGTGGGCATAGGATTGCCGAAATTGTTATCGTTTTTGTTGCATCGTTTTAAGGATGAAAGAAAGGACACAACTTTGTGTTTCAAACTAAATGAACAATCCTTTTGATAAGGCATGCGTATTAGGCATCAGACAGAGGTGATAGGTCGTTGTTCTGATCCACGACCTCCGGTGTTCATTCGACAGAAGTCCTGGCGAGTAGTTATTGAAACAGTGAGGACTGCCCACTTTGAATTTATTGCCTCCTAACTAATTATCCGTCAACATGTCGTGGACTCCCATGCATTCCGCCAATTGCTTGATCCCAGTTGCGCCTTTATCTACTGAATGAATGCAAATCAACGGCAATTTTTGCTTTCAGTTCCTACGCAGGGAAAACCGAGAACGCTGCTGGCTATTTTTCCTCTCTATTTACCTGTCTGATAAGTTCCTGTTGCGTCATGCTTCATTTGAATTCGGTCTCTATTTCTTAACATCCTAGTGTTATTGGAAGCGTGAAATGGCGCTGCGGAAGCAGGATGTGGACATTGACCTAAAAATAAAACTTTATATCATTCTAGTGCTATGAACCAACTTCTCGAGTGTTCCAATTGAAATTGCTATTTTGGAGAGCAGTTAAGGGTATTACAAAGGAATACGGTGATTTTACTTAGATCTGTCTTTCAGGCATGACCAACACTTCGCAAAGGGCTAAAAAGAAAAACAAGAAGCATGTCTGCCTTGAAGTTGTTTGACTTCATTTGGCCTTTACACGAAAGTATTTTCCTCCCCATTGGCAAAATTACTTGAAATGACAAAAGACAAATGTGAGTGCGCACTTTATTTCCACCCCCTGTGTGCATTCGCTAAACTATTTTCCTAGACAATTTGCCAGTTAAAGGCACCAATCTGTTTAACATTTTATCTTAATAATTTATGCACCAGAATGACTATTTTCACTGATTGTGTTATTTATCACATTTTTCTCGCTCTTAGGTTGGTGAGGCGAACCACGCCCGTTCCTTGGTGTTTGGTTTGAAGCGTGTATTAAGTGTTTTTTAGTTTACTTCACACCAGGAAACCCAGGCATTTGATGGGCTTCTGTAATACGATAAACTCTTTAATTTATCAATTTACTCTACAGATAGCCCGTACCTTCTTATTCCTTATGAATCAATTAGCTTCACGAAAATAAGGATTTGATCATTCGCAAGAAGGTAGAAACGCTCACCGGTATCTCCTAATGAGTCACTCCTTTTACCGATGGAGAAATAGACTATAGTGCTCTGCTGTAATCTTTATTCTACTATGAATCTTACGAGATTTCGATTTGAAGAGATTAAAGTTTTAAAATGTACTAGACCTAGAGTTCATCAAAGGCGGAGCCTCAGTTCTTCCAACAGTGTCTGGACCATATGTGGGCAGAAATGGTTCGTGGACTCTCAATTTCCCAAAGATCATTTCTTAGTATGTGCATTTCTCCCGATGAGTGCTCTTAAGACCAATCCACCATTCTTTCTCCCTCCTGTTCTTGTCCCTCGTTATTCTGGAAAGTTTGTGATGATGATGGCGATGGAAAGGTCAATCGAAAGCACGTATTTAGGCAAAATACCTCTTCGAAGCCGCTGCTTGGCATGCAGCACCATTTACTGTGTGAGGGCGTTTTCGTGTCAAGCTGTTATTGCCACGAGGCTGGCATTTGAGCTCGCCTGATGAAGAGGTCGTGATCTATGACTAACTAGACTACCCAAGTGTTCGTACCTGCATGACTGCCGCTGGAATGGAAATGAGAGGCGTAGTTATCCGCGAATTTCGCCATTTTGGAGTATGCACAATTTCTGTTTTTACAAGTTAAGGAAATGCATTTGCAACTGCTCCAATATTTCTTGGCTAATTCGTCCGTGATAGAATACTTCCACCATCTTCACTGTTAGTGAAGTGTTGAATTCATCCAACAAGTTTTGTGTCTGCAATGTAGTGACTCGACCGTAACTTTCGCATTTACTTTCGATGGTATATTTAGCCTCAATTTCATCGCGAATGTTATCGTTTCTATTCCCCATGCATTCCACAAAAAATCTTAAAACTCCATTTTCTGACCTTCTAAATATTACAGCCTCCACACAGGTGGTTAAGAATCTCTTTTTAGATCTATCGTTATAAAAAAGGACTTCGTTTGCGTTTGTGGGGATCGCAAATACGAAACAGATTATACATTCTTTTTGATTGGTCAATTAAAATTCCCATCATTTCTTCCGACTAGGATAACAAAAATAGGGAAGATGTTACTCTGACATAAGTAGATTAGGAATTTTTTATTCGCAAAAACATTTAAATCTCTTCATTGTGCACGTCCCTAATTACCATCCAAATTAATCAGTGGCAAAGGATGCCTCCCGTTTATTTGATATTTTGGTGTGATTTACGCCCCAGAGAACACCATTGCCTATTGCACAAATGGTTGTTAAGCTCGCTAAATTCCCCCTTATTAGTTTCACTTTATTGGTGGTACCTGGGAGGGATTATGGAATTCGCGCATTTCCAAGCACGGATCTTTGAGCGCTTTTGAGGCTAGCCCATTTTCATTGAAATCGAAAATTAGTTGGAAATCGCGTAGCCAATGTGAATTCCAACTGGTAAAATGTGTGTACTGGTTACCTCATAAGTGCAACTTGTTACGAGGTTTTTCGACCGACAGGAGATTTGGTCGGTGTAACGTATTTTTCCACCTTTGTTCAATTTGAGGCGTCTTTGGTTTATCTGATAAAACTATGCTGCGATGCTACCCTAGTGGTAGGTTTATACACCACGTTACAATGCACTATTTTCGAAACTTTCGAAAATATGCGGCTGATAGGCCCCTCTTTAGGCTGATTTATGGCTTCTGTTTCATAAAAAAATCCACTTTCGAGTTGAAGGACTTTTAGGAAAACAGCATGGACTAATTCTCCCGAAAGAGCAACTTTTCTCCCTGCTTTAAGGGTCAAGACAGAGTTTTTCCCAGCTAGATACACCCACATGAAACATGTGCACCTATATAATGTCACAGGCTCTGCAAACTTCACTCCACTTCCATATACCTAGACAGAATCCTGATTTATGCGGCATGCCTTAGATGTTGCATTGGGCCTTTGAACTGAAAATGCGGGGCCCACCTAATTTCCATCACCTACCAACCGTTACCCTAATCTGTCTGGTGTTCACTCCTCGCTCGGAACTGCTACATTAAATTATTCACAAAGTACCCTGCAGAACATCGCACGTATTTGAGGAGGAGGAATAGGAACTGATATCTTAAACTTTTCTGCTTTTATCGGTTTTAACTTTTGATTGCAATTGTAATGACAGGTTACCTTCGTGCAGATATCCACATATTATGAAATTAAAAGAATCACTGTCTAATATGACAATTTTTGGCCGTGATTTTGAATATTTGAAGTGCATTATAACCATTTTACGTTGCGGTACACAATTTTACTTATGGGTAAATCCTCCTTCTTCACGACTGTTCCTCATTCCAATCTAGTCTTTGTAGAAGGCCTTTGTTTAATTAACAGTCGATCGTGTCAACAATTACACGGATTTTGGGAAAAATAACAATTTTACAGAATGGAGAGAAAAAGCAATAGAAAAGGATAAGCAGCATTTTTCGAATAAACAATGCGCCATGCTGTAGTGTTTTGGTCAAGAACGTACAAACAAACCCAGCGCTTAGAGCAAATACCGACTTCTCTGTGTACTCGCATACACTGTAGCAAGGGAGCCAAACTTACCATTGAGAGGCACAAAAATGTTAGGAGTAGGTACCATTCTCCGCTTCTGTTCAGTCGATTAAACAAAAGTCCGATGCGGGCCAGTTTGACTGCACCAACAGTTGACCCCACTTGCCTGTCCTGTTCGATCTGCTGTGCACATGCATACACCCACACGCACTTGACCGACAGATGTCTAATCCATTCCCATCAAACAAGACGCGCTGTGGTGTGGTTGTGTAACGACGGTGGTTGTGCAGACCTGATGCAACAGTCCGATTAACAGGTGACGTGACCCCTCCGCCAGGCCCATCCCCTTCCTCCCACACCATCCCCACCACACACACACGTACGCACACACTCCATGTCCAACATTCGGGACAGCGGGCGTGCACGCACACACGGAGCAAAAAAGAGCGAGTCTGATTGAAACCAGCAACTGCTGCCATCATTGCTGCTGCCTATGCAACTGACAGCTGAATTGGGCATTATGAACCTCCTTTACTTCCCCCCAGGATCGCAACCAGGAATTGTCTTGGGTTGGAATCACCGCAGCCGGAATCCAGCTTTTCACTAAGGACCATGTCGATCGGGCCCGGTATACATTCCCTTGGAATATCATTAAAAATGTCTCCTACCGGGAACGCAAGGTGGGACATTTATAACTAACAACTTTACTTATTCAATCTACTCAATCGTTTTCATCCATCGAGCACTATGTGCATGCCCCGATTCACCTTCTATACTACGTACTCGTGAAACTTAGAGTCATCTCTTCAAAGTCAATGCGTCTTTCGATGTTGGTATAAAAGTACAGAAGCCATGAGTTGTGGCCCATGCAAAGTAAAGAAGCGTGAATGACGGAGGTTTCCTTGATGAGTTTTTAGTTCACTGTAAAACTGAACATGGCGTGGCGTCCCACGAAGAAGTCTGCTGGTCTTACGTTCTCCGGTTGTCGTCCGAGCAGCACACAAGCGCAGCAGCAGTCGGGTCACTCGCCGGCTGGAGGAACGGGAGCGATGACTCTCAGTGCGCCGCATACACCATTGGCAGCGCGTGGCTCGCCCAGTCTTCCGGGCACCCCGGTGTCGGGCAAGCGAGGACCCATGCGGCCCCCTCTGCCACCGCCACCTCAGCCACCAGTCACATTTGCTCTCTCCCCTACTACCAGTGTCTCAAGTAAATACCTCTCTACGACTGCTCACTTGTCACGCGGCCAGTTGGTGAGGGCACGTAGCAAGGAACGTCCACTGCCTTCGCCTGCAGGTACTACCCTACTTACCATTAGTTTCAAAATAATTAGATCCACTACTGGGTGACCATTTAACAGCTCATCAAACAGGAATAATCAAAGTGTATATGCGTGAACAAAACGGAAGTGCCCTAAACCACTGCAACTAAGGAAAAGGGAACGCTTCTTTTCAATCCCGACTGAATGTAATGCGTGTTAGATTCGCCCTGTGTTTGAGCTTCAATTGAGCTTAATTTCCGGACTATTTTGATGCCATCCACAATCATGCTGCTCTAGAAATGATTCGTTTTAATATGGTATCTTTATCTCGGTCGATTGTACTGAAGCTCCCTCGATGGGGGTCTTGATCGCGGCTTGTAAGCACGTGAGCCTGGATCCCATTGAAGCCATCGGTTAGATAATCAACAAGCGAAGAATTCAGAATAGATGCCTTTACTAACCGAGGCATGTGCAACCAAAAGAAAGCACAATGATGTGTGCGCACCTGGTGTCTAGGTACTGGAGACTGTGTCTGAGTCTGTGCCCCTCGATTGTCTTAATCACGGCCTAACTATTGCGATTGCTAGCACACTTAGAGTCTATCCCAATGTGATCTCAACCGATCAGAAAGGAGTGAGCAAGGGTGTGATTTCTGGAATTTTTGAGACTAAAGCATGAAAATGAAAACTACTGAAGAATCAAACAGAAACGTTTTTATGCTGTTGCAGGCATTCCCAGCACTTGAGCACCACAGCTCTAACTTAAGAGAGTGCTTGCTTTCCCAAACAGTTGGTCTGTCAGAGCATGAGCCATACCTGACTGATTTTTTCTCTTCAGCAAAATCTTTCACGAAATCCAAACTCCTACTCGAGAGGGTGATGACACCGGTGACATTTCTGTGGTGAACTACTAATGTTTGAGATCGGACGGCGTGGGCTATTTTCGATCCAGCCTAGTAGACCTGAGTTGACAAAGGCACCGGAGCAGAAGCCCTTACCACACCGCGGTGCGGCGCGCACGCCTAGGTGTACGGGATATCCCACCTCTCGTGTGTTTACGTCTTCTCAAATGATCTTAGGTATAAGGGAAGTACTAGCACGCATAAAGCACATCCCCACGAATCAATGGCCAATCGGGAATGAAGCAATGAGAGCGCAAAGATCGTATTTTTCTGTACTATCAAAAATGAGGCACTAAAAGGGGGAGCTGAAACATCAAAAATAGTCTTTTTCGCATTGAGTGCCCCCATAGACTTCTAGTGTTTTCATTTCACTACCTTCAGTGCAAAAATAAACTTAGACTCATGGTTCAGGCATACATATTATTTCTAAAATCCCTTATAACAAGTCATCTTTGGTAATGCTTTTTGCCAAGACAATTTGGCTGCTGATTTGGACACCACTTAGAATAGCACTTTGGAATACCCAACTTTTGCATATGAAGTTGAGATAAACATCCACAATGGCTTTTTGATTTTTGATTTCCTGTACTGAAATAAGTTACTTCAAATGTCTTTTGCTGCATGAATATCTTGGAGTCAGTACTTAGTTTAAAATTAGTTTGTTTCTTTACACCGCAGTTAAGCCTAAGGTATGCTACGCATATGATCTACTTCCGTCTTGTTTCGCCTTATTGGGGCTATAATTAAAAAATGGAGTTTGGGTGTAAAAGTATCCGCTCATATTTCTTGCTAATCGCGAGAGCAGATATTTATAGATTTAAATATGGACAAAATGTGCCATCAATCTGTTCGGGTGCTGCATTACTGAAATAGTCTAATGTCGTGAACTTTTTAGATTAAAAGTTGAAAGAATTCTTTAAATTATTTAGCTTCACAGTGGTGGGTCAGTTGGTGTTTGATCCCAACCAACACATCGCTCTTTGAAAAGCCACTGCATTTAGTACTCAAATCGGAATCGCCCACCAAAGATTTGTTAGTGTTTTGTCTACTTAATAATATTAAGTAGACTAATCAAGGTTTTGCGATGCAATTTGGTATAGCAATGCCGGAACGGTCCATTTAGGATCTTGTTACAATTGCTAGATCCGCAAGAGCCTGTAATACAGGCACGTGAGTCCACCACGACTTACGGAGGTGGCAGCAGCGGCATTCATCCACACCGCTCGACGGTGAGTGCGAGTCCCGCCAGCGACTTCGCAAGTGGTGGCGGTGGAATATTCGGCGGTTCTGGTGTTTCCTCAGCTGGCTCCGTCGCCAGTGGACCACCTCCGGTGTCTCGCCATGGTGCCACCATCATTGAGATGTGGCTCGCTGAACCCTACCAGGTTCAGTTACCTTCAATTCCCCAGAATTTCTAGCTACGTAAAACGACTGTGAGAATATGAAGAAGGGATTAATTCCCTGAAAACTGTCATTATTCCTTAACTAAAGCAAAAAAGTTATTTTACTGACCACCTTGGATAAGTCATGACCGCCAGTTTCATTGAAGAAGAGTTTTCTATTTGTTTATTCCCTTGATGATGACATTGTTAGTAAAAAACCGGGGTAATACTATTATCCATGGACTTTCAATGTGATGAATGCTCCGATCTCTTCCGATACTGTATATGATATAAGCTTTTTGTCAACAATTGGTTTGTATTTCATGGTACAAATAAGAAGTGCCTAAAATCTTAACAATCAAATACCTGCTGAATCAAGGAAAACTCCCGTTTGTTACCTTTCGGACCTCAGAGCACCTAAGATTCCCAAATTTTCAATATATCATAGTTGTACAGAACTGACATGAATTATTTAACGTAGTTAAAATGGAGGTTTTTTGATCCAATTAAATATGGTGTAATAGTAACCCTCAATTATTTTGCGTTGTGTGCCCAAGTCTGTGTACCTAGAGTCTGCAACCGTTAGCTCAAAAAATGCGTCTGAATTGGCAACAGTTGAGCTTAATAACAGCATCTAAACTCTCAACGCATTAGACTTCATTGTAGTGTATTTGACAATTTCTCTCGTTCCACTGATATTTATTTGCATCAGGCGTACGTTGTAGGCAAAGAATATTATCCATTTATGTGCGGGAAATCACTCGCTTTTCATGCGACGTAGACAGCCAGATTCCATTGACGTGCAACAGATGAAAGCTCACGAACGAGAGGAACGACTTCGGAGAGAGGTGAGTGTATATCTGTCTACTAACCATGAATTAACAGTGAGCCGACTTTGATCAATTTTCGTTTCCCTCCCTCAGACCGAACGGGCCCGTCTACTGCGTGAACGCTCTGAAAAGACGGCTGCACTGAAGCTGAATGCCGCATTGGAGTCACGCTGTGCCGAGCTTGAGTCTGCCCTGCGTTCTTCCACTGCCATTGCAGCTGCAGCCGCGGCTGCTGGATCACCATCTCTTCCATCACCCGTGGAAGCGCTCATCTCCAGTCGTAGGGTGTTGAAACGGACGGCAATGCCCAAGGACGGCGACGGAGAGGGGAGAGGGGAGGAGGGAGAGGAAGAGAGAGAAGTAGAGGAGGAAGGTGATGGAGAAAATATTGACGAGAAAGAAGGAGAATTACAAAGGCAGAGTGGAGTTCAGTTTTCTTCAAGGGAGTCGCAGGAGCGCCTGTCCAGTCCACCAGCCTATGCTCACCTGCAGCATCAGCGGCGGCAGCGACACGGAGGAGCGGAGGGCAGACGAAGTAAAGGTGAAACTATCAAGGGTATCGATCTACCCTCTGACCCCGTGCGCCTTGCCCAAGCCTCCCCACATGCGGTGCCCAGTGGCATTTACGAGGGCTTTGTAATGGCTCACTCAGCAGCTGTGGCCTCGATTCCCACACAGTCTGAACCAGCCATCCCACAGACGCTTGCCTGGTCTCCGGTGCGTTCGTTCATTAGCTATTATACGTATTTGCTAGAAAAATTTGAAGCACATTTTAACTTGCTTGACAAATAATAACTATTTAATGTTCGTTTCTCAGGTGCATCATCTTTTCTTTGTAAACAGTCAATTGAATATATTTTTTTATCGCGGCCAAGTTACGATGTCGAGAAACGCGAACAAGACTGGGAGCTAATAAGCGCATGACACTTGAAAATTACGTGTCGGACAATCAGATTGGATTACCTGCCTTGGTGTAGAAAACAAACAAATTGATAACGGTTGCTATTCTTCCGTCCCCATTGTGTGAACATTCATTTAATAGTTTGTCTATTTTTATGCTTATTAAATGTTGAAGAACTGAAAATAATATATTGTTAGGACATACAACAATAAATAATTCATAAACTTGCTCCGAGAAAGAAAACGAAGGATTACTAATTGATGACGATACACGAAATTATACTGAATTTATAATGCCTTCACGAACAAGGATTGTGAATGGTGTAGGTGCATAAAATTTTGAAGCCATTAACTCATTTTATCCCATATCTAAAGACGAAGAAGTTACCCGTTCTTTCACCTAGACTGTAATTCATCAAGCACGTGAAGATCTCACCTCTCTGACCTACTCCCAATCGCCTTTCTTGCCCCCACGTCCTGTCTTGGTGACTCAGAGTTTGGAGCACTTGCCAAGCCAGCAAATAGCCCCGAACCTGAGTCAGAGGTCAAGGGTTCCTGCACCGCTGGTGTCTTATCCTATCACATCCACTCTCTCCCTTCATTCTGGCTACGGAGCAGTGAATCCGCTTCAAAAGACTGGTCCGAACGTTGCGCCCTCCCTTGCATCCAATTACTATGTGAGTACGGGACACGTGTATTCGGAGCTATTTTACTTGAACTACTCATAAAAGCATGTTTGCGCGGTTGAAAAGTTTGTAAAAGAAGAGAAGAAAGTGCGCGATTCACGTAATGATAGTCGTAAATGTTAGACAGGGAGATCACAAAATGGCAGCCTTGAATTGTTGGATTATAAAAGTGCGGAACTGAGCGCATCAGCTGCTGGCTTTAAGGGTATTTTGACTTGAATTTAAGATGCAACAGAGGCTCACACACCAAGGACAATCCTCCCATCCCTGGCCAAACACACACATTGCGGCGTTAGGTAGCACCCACAGTGCCCGTCTTTTCAATGGATTCAGTTATCCGGGTCACCTTAACCTGGCGGGCGATGAGTCGGCCAGACAAGGCATCGCCACCACCGGAGTCGCGATGACCAGCCCGTCGCCGGCCCTGGCGCAGGCGAGCTGTCTGGCCTTCGGACTGAGTGGTGGGCCAACTATCAGCATTTCCCCCGCTGAGTCAGTGCCTTTGGTTGGCCAATCGGCGTCTCGTCGACCGCCCTTCTCGCACCTTCATCAGCCTGCGATGTGCATTGGTGGCTTTCCCCCTGTAGGGTTCTCTAGGGCCTTGTACCCAGGCTGTAGTTAAGTGGCATTACTAAATATTTTAGGAAAATGTCATTTCAAGGAAAAAAAGTGACACCAATTTTTACCAGCTTACTTTCAATGATAAAATTGGTGCTTTAAGAAATATTTAGCCAAAAGTTAGCTCGTTGGCCATTTAGGCTCGGTAGTTTACTATATGCTGTAAATGTAGGCTAGGAAAGTAGAAGTTAAACCAAATATGATGATATTTTGTAGTCAACCATCTGTAAATGTATTTGTGTGCTCTTGACAAAGAACTAGTCATTTGAAAAACTGGAACTTTAATTTCCAATTCCGTGGTCTTCACCCTGTTATCCACAACCGATCAACTCAAAATTGCCTCCTTAATTACACTGGTTTGAATAAAGCTGAATGAGCTAATGTGCTTATTTTAGATTTACATTCATTTGAAAAATTGGAAGAATAATTTAAACTGTATTTGATTAATATAGTGATATTGCGGCTTCATTTCTAGAGTGCCTATTCAAATCCCTATGCAAATTATCCTTACGTACCCTCAAATTCTGGCGCCCCGATATGTTACTGCCCGCCATGGGGTTACCGCGGCTTCAATTCGGCAGCTTACTACGATGCAAATGCTGCACAGCCGTGCTTCAGTCAGAGTGTTCCATGTGCTCCTGTCTCTATGCCGATTCTAAACGCCGGAGACGAGCTTTATATGACAGGAGGAGGCGAGACAGAGGAGCTGCCGTGTCTCTCCGGATACTACCAGCCGCCATGGTATCCTTACTATGATCCCTACTGGCACTGGCTTCGAGCCGCAACTGGAGTAGTTGCTTCTTGTACGGCCTCCTCGACGGGTGTGGAACCTAGGACTGTGGGTTGGTCTCCTAATGCCGTTCCTCCACCACCCCCGCCGCCATTGCCGTTGCCGACTTTGGCAAACGTACCACTCAGTGCGATGCTCTCGCCTTACGCAGGCCCCACTCGGCGTCGTATACAGCAACAGAAGCTGGCTGCTACTAGACAGCTGCAGCGACAGCAACGGTTCCAGCAGCATTTGGACTGTCAGGAGGGTGCGGGACTACCATCAGGGCGACAAGTGATTCGAGGCGTTTCACTTCAGGATTTGCCCAGTCGAACCAGATCGGGTAGTGAGAGTGGTAAGAATGATCTACTTATGAAGATCATTATTTTTGGAACGACATGGATTCCGACCATTTGTAAACCGTTTTTCATTCACTTGTTTACTTTGATTATATTCCCAATCTATAAAATTCCATTTTAATAAGTAATTTACAAGCATTCTTAGTAAATGCTTCAAATGTGTACTTTTGTGCTTATCATCTGAATCTCCTCACGGGACGAATCCACATGTTTCGAGGTTTAATGGCAATATGTACTGGAATTTTCGTGGGAAAAGACAATTCTTGCGCAAATTCCAATTTTACCAATTTTTGACCAACAAACGAGGTTGGGTCGCAATAAAAATAAGTTTGTTTTTGTAACTGCCGTTCACAGGCCTCCATCAGCACGATGTCTTCAAGGCAGTTTTGGTAGTACGCATTAACGGAAGTTCAACAAAATTTTCTTTTCCGGTGTCATATACAAGTACCGTCTCAATACACCCTTACATCACTGTTGTACCCTCTTACTGCCATTATTTTCATGCAGGCAACAATTGAATAATCCCACATGATTTAGGTCAAAGATGAATTTCGCTTATGTTTATGCAAACCGCCTGTTAAATATTAATTGCAAGCTTTAATGCTAAAAGTTATATTTCAGTCAGAAACGGATTTAACTTTTTGAGGAGTGGAGCTTACGCAGCAAAAATAAAGAAAAAAGGGGAAAAAGGGTGTTATTTTTGGTGATGTTAACGATCGGCAAACAAAGTGGCTAAAAATAATTGTCATCAAGTTTTGCGTGAGGCTAAATGAACAGCAAACCGTTGCTTAAAAAATTTTTCACCGAAGCACAATGCTGTTACTTTTACCTGAAAAGCTTAGAATGTACTTCCCTAAGGAATTTTTTTCTGCCGCCAGGTTTCGGAGTCGATCACACACGGGAGTACTCGGCGTCGCGACCTTCGCTTGTACAAATGGTCGCTGCCACCTCCTCCGCCACATTCCAGCCCTCGGACAACCACGGCGGTGGCAGCAGCGGCAGCTATGGCGGCGATGGTGATACAAGACTGGAGGACCAGCAGCCACCGGGTATCTTCACTTCTCCACCGCCGCCCAACCTCCTCACCAATCCCACCTCCTCTTCAGAGGAGCAAATTCGACTCGCCTACCAGCATCAGGTGAGAGGATCCAGTGGATTGATCGTATTCTATGTGCCATCGTGGAATCGGTTTTTATTGCGGTGGCTTCTTGAACTACTTGAGTCGTTAGTAAGTACAGTAGGCGGTTGTGAAAGTGGCGTAATGTGTGTGGCGACTCAAAGAAGAAGGTCATGGGCAACTGCTAGATGACTATGCCTATCAATGAACAGATTTTCAAAGAGGAATAAACGGTGGATTATTTCTTTTAATTTTTAGTAATTGTATGGGGCCTATAGATGTAAGCGCACAAAATTTGAGTTTTTTCACCAATCTTTATCGAACATTTTGGCGTCAGTTTATAGAATGATTTTGATGTGTGTTTAAAATCATCCCCGTAACTTGTCACATTTCTTTCAAAGTGGTTGTCTACGATGCTTTTATCTGCGACAAAAATTGTTGAATTTGAATGTTCTAGCCTAAATTTTCTTCGCATTTCGAAAGTAACCTCGTACTGATTTTGTGACTCCTTTACCATAAATGTCCCTTTTTTCCTGTTTTTGACGTTACGTTGTTACTTTGATGTCTTGATTCTGTCTATTTGGGGCTTGTCATTAACAAAGAAATTTTGTTTATGTTAACTAAGCTCTGATTATCATGATTGGCGCCACAAGAGAGAATTGGCTTTTTCTCTTGCAAACCATTCTTGCTAAATCTTCAGAATCAGTGTTGTATGCATGTGTGCTTGTGTGAAGGAAAATGTGGTGGACGAATGACCCCCTTTCATATGCAGTTGCACCGACGTATGTGGGAGGAATGGATGTGGAGGGCGAGCACAGCCTACCCATCACAGCGGGTGCCCGGGGAAGTCACCGAGCGACCCGAGCACCAACATCTCTCCGCCTACCCCTCTCCGGGCAGCGGAACCGGTGCCAGTGTCAGCGGCGGAGACGGCAGTGGAGCCCCATTTCGGCGCATGCCACCCCCACCACCTCCAAGGTCTGTTCCATATGCATTTTCCTTCCTCGAAATTGCGTTTAGTTAATTATCAACACCTTAGCAATTAGGTAAAATCGGGATTTCTTAATTAATTTTCTTATTTAATTCACACTGCACCAAGATTAATGCGCTTGCTAGAAAGGTTCGTCTTTCAGTATTTTAAGAGGCGGTTTTGCTTGGCTATACTGTTGGCTCATCCGGTTTCTTAGCTTAAATCTGATGGTATTTTAACTCAGCAAACGCATTCATAGAGTTATAACTCATCGTGTTTGTTTAATTTTCTGTTCTTAAGCAATTTATTCTGCTTATTTCTACACATTCTCAGAATATTCATTGTATTTCACAAATGCATTGCAAATGCGTTTCGCATAGTGGTGTTGCTGTGTCAATGTTGCAGCTACTCGCAGTATGTGGCCTCGGGCATATCACCACAGTCGGGACAACAGCACCTTACACCGATAGGCGCTGTGACGGACATCCGCGATCCCAGTGGACCCGACGGCTCTAGCTCGGTGGGCTACATGGGCCTCGACTTTCACGGGGTGACGGGGGCCGCTGCACTCTCCTCCGGTGCCTTGGCGGAGGTACCACCGCTACCCACATTGGACGAGCCCTTCCACCACCAAGAACACCTTCCTAGTTCATTCAGCAGTCTTCAACGTGGCCAACATCCTGGTAATCTGTCTTCCGCTCTATTATTTGCATATTGCTCATCAAAATCGAGCGCGATTTCTAGTTAGGCAAATGAAATAAGTCAGAACCACATTTTAATTTTTCACAAATTAGACTTATCTGATAATGGTGTCATTAAAATACAGAAAACTGCAAAAGATAATGTAGACGCTATTACGTCTGGATTGCTGGTTATCATTCACGAGTACCCTCTAGACTCAGGTGTTTGGGATTAATTGGCGCTGCAATTATAATATTGTAGAGTTTTTCAAATATAATTTTTTTAATTTTAGATGATACAATTAACTGTGCCGTTTGCCGAAAAAGCCAAAAACGATAGGAATCTTTGCGAATTCACAAGAATTTTTCCATTTCAGATTTCTCCATAATGATTCATTTATTCATTCATTCTTTTTATGTTTTTAGGATCAGTGGATCGATTAAGCACAATGGTCCGATTAAGCCGGTCTTCAGTGCTAGGTCATAAAACAAATAGCCATCTCTACGCTAACATGACTCTTGTGGATGGCAAACTGGTGCCACTGATGGGCCGCCCTGCCCCCATACTCCCCCACCAGCCAATGCGAGCGCCAGTGACCTTCAGTGAGACGCGTGCGGTGGGTGCTACGGGAGCTGTCTCGTCCCGAGGTGCCTCATCCGCTACCACCACCACTGCTGTCTCAGTCGTTCCTACCTCCTCACGTCAATCCCGTCCCCACACTAGATACCACTCCTCGCAGACCGTCTGGCTCACCGGTACCATCTGCGACGTGGAGGCCTCCCGTCAACCCTCTGAAAGCGCCTCACCGCAGTTTCCTCCATCCAAAGTGGAAATTCCCAAAGGTGTCGGCTTCTGGGAACCCCAGTGATGTTCTTGAAAGAGTGAAAACCCTTAGGCCTATTTTCAAATTCTCTTCCAGTCTTTCACGTATGCATTTGTAACTTTACTGTGCCTTGGTGTTACTCTTCTCCCGCTCTTCCCCTCCTCCCCCCTCCTCTCTCTCAAATTGCTAGCAATCACCCGCACCTTGCTCATGTGAACGGCCTAGAAGACTGTCAGCTCCATTAAACTCGCATATCAAACACTCTACTAGTCTTTCTTTCAAACGTGTACAAAATACAACAATGGAACATGAAAACCCCCCTTATTAATATTGCCCATGGTTTCCAGCCTATTTTTAGAGGCCTTGACTCGGTGGTCACTTTCAGGTAACGTAGCAAATCCAAGTCATCCAAGCATTTTCGCGTGGACCATCATAGATGTGTGTGCGGGGAATTCGCACATCATCCCCTGTTCGCGTACTTTGTAGATTGCAGGAGATACCCCAAAATTATAGTTATAACCTCTCAGATCATGTAAAATGTCTGAAGGTTAAAGAACAATTTCCCCAAACAAATTAGCGTTAACTTGTTGTAAACGAAAATTTGCCCGTTTTAGATGTAAACTGGATGAAGAGTTAATTTCCTTCCTATCTTAGACATATAATTGAAGCGAATTATTTATAAAAGTTGACTTTTGAACTTAATTCTTCCGCTAAATGCTTAGAATTGATGAAAAACATTAGCAAAGTCGTGTGTGGTCTGATGATTGTTGCAATTGCACTCGAAAAGTCTTTAACAAAAAAGATGAGATAAACCGGAAGAATGAAACTAATTAAAGAACTTTGCAAGCTTAAAAAACCTTTTCAAGCCCAAAAGTGTCTAGTGTTAATAGTAGGGTGGCTGTTCATCGTACAAATAATGAGGGTTACCTAGAGACGCAACACAACAAACATTTGTATTCCACTGGAACAGGGCACTTGATGAGGTTTCTGTTCAACTTTTATCTACGGACAGATACACTCACACCTGAGCAAAGGGATGACCCTTAACAAAGGTGATCTTTAACTTAAAGGCAAACAAATGAATGAAAAGCCTCTTGGGATGTTTTGTTTACTGTAACAATCACCGTAAGGCAATGTTCTATTATTCCTGTTTTGTAGGAGCAAAAAACCCAGATCTAGCCATCCTTGTTTCCGTTTCATTTTTATCTTCCACCTGTGCATCCTGGTGTGTATGTGATCATCTAATGCCAAGGTATGGTATCGTAATCATTACGAGGCGAAATGTGGGTTCTTCGGGGGAGGGGAGGTTGGGACGTGGGAGTATCTTTCTCCCTTTTACCCTAACGTGGGCACCTTCAAGTTGTATGGGATAGATCCCAGAAGTAATTATTTTAACCTCAGAAAGTCACCCACCTTACTTAAAGTAGGCACAGTCTTCTAGGAATGAAGTAGTAAGTTGATCGCCTGGGGATAACTAAGGTTCTGTTTCTTTGCTTAACGAAGGTTGAAATACAACAGCCATTCCTCATCACAAGCCAGTTCTTCATCTTTCAAACAATCCAAAGGACATGGAGCATTTTTTTTAACATGCGGGAAAGAGGTGGAGACCAAACTGAGAAACTTTAAAGCTTTTTGGCACCTGTCATTCGGTTAGCCTACGCCATGACTTTACCATTTGGCATAGATGCGAATGCTTTGTTTATTTTCTCCCAATAAACATTATTAAAAGTTTATGATATTAATGTTCAAATATTTTAGCAAATAGTGACACGTTTTTCTTCAGGAATACTAAAAAGAGAGAGTCCTCCTGAACTTCATTACCGGGATCCAATCCTTTGAGCCGTTTCCAGGTGGCACATTCTGCTATCAAATCTTCTCCAAATTCCATGCAAATTCTACAGAAAGCCTTTAGAGTTCTGGAAAAGCTTTTAACTTTGTAAAGCAGGCAGCCTCGAATTATGTGCTTGGTCCAGCCCACTTTTGTATGAGGGCTAATAATAACATAGAAATGGCGATGAACACAACAAACAGTATTAAGAGACCGAAGAATGTTTCTGCCTTATAGTGCATCCTTGTAAGCAGTCTGTATTCACAAGTCCCCATGAGCCGCAACAATGCTCTGAAGGGTGCTATACCACGAAGCGCCTGAACTTTTTTGGCCACCTGGTAAAAATGGATTAAGAAAATTAAAAGCGGGATACGTGCTTGGTGTTCTATGCTTCATGATAGGAGTAATAAATTAGTCAACCTCTGACAATGAGTTAAGGCTCAATCAAAGAGCAGATCTGACTTTTAAGAAAGATTTCCTTGGAAATTACGATTTTGACAATTTGTATGGTTAGTGGAGGGGTTTGGTAACAGTAATAGAATTTAGCAACAAATTTAAGCAAATATACCTCGATCGTACAAAGAATAAAGCATAAAACTTAGGGATGTCTAAATTTGTACCGCCTTACATATTCAACTCATTTAGTGATGCAAAAAGCATGTTTTCAAATTTACATTTGCGTCGTTGTCGGTGCTTGTGACAACAGCATCGATCAGTGTCACGTGTCAAACACTCATGCAAATCGTCTTTTCAATGTGCCGAAGATGATTCCGTCATCTGGGGACATCCGTTTGGCAGCCATGGCAGTGTGCAAGTCGAGAAGCATTCTGGTGGGAGGAGACACACCACAAACACTGTGTAAAGTTCAGACACTGGGTGATCACGATTTTGACAATTTGAAAAGTCCCCACTCTAAGCTACAAAGGGAACAGGCTTTCTTCAATCAACCGTTGACGGGGCCAAATAGTTGTATTACTGAGATTTCCTTGAGGAGCATCAAACCCACGATACCATCCTCAACTTGTAAGCGGAAAAAGAAAAAACCTGCTGTTCAATTTCACTCCAGAAGGACTCAGCAAGACGCAGAAGTGTATCCCTTCATTCCACTGATACAAAACCTTCCCATTGTTGAACAGGAAGTAATTGTTGTTGAGGATAAGCACGCTCGTACAGGCACCAAAACTGCTTCCGAAAAACACGCAGAAGTAGCCGGTGCCACAGTTCAAAAAAATACTCGTCAGTCATCCGCACTAAAATGTTCTAAAAAAGACACCTTCAACAGTCACCAGAGGCACGAATGTGGTACCTTTAACATGATAATGGAAAGGGATTACCTTAGTGATCTAAAACGACCAAAGGAATGTAAGGCAGTTCAGGTGTCTATGCGCTACCAACACACGTTATCTCCCACAGATGGTGAGTGGGTCCGTGCTCTAAAAAGCGAATCCTACACACTAGAAAACACCATTCAATCACGTCAGTATCACGAGTGTACGGTCATTGATAATAAAGACACTGACACAATAGTGTCGGACCAAGATATTTCTTCGGAGATGTTTTCGCAGCCATCCGAAAAGCACTGTCGACCTAGTAAAAGGAGTTACGGCGCCTCGAGGAGCGTTGAAACGCAGCCTTTATCAATTAATCACGCCCCACTGAGGGAGGAATTTTCCAAAACTTCGTGTACAGTGGATCTGGTTAACGCAGATGCAAGCTGTACCGATGAAGAGGCACAAGCATGCCCCTTAGATGAAAGCGTCGGATCGAAGGAGACACAAATCGGTCTCTCAGAGGCTTTCATAAATGCCCTCCTTCAGGTGCATGAAAAGTCCTTTGTAAATGGCCTTTTGGGCCGAATAGAACAAATAAGGTTCCGTTAAATCAAGACTGCTTACTTTGTCATTTTGTAATCTTCATTATATCATACGAATTCTTCCTACACTTTATTCTTTGAAGTTGTGCTTTTTGGCCAACTTTAAAAGATCTCATGCTTTCATTCATTTCGGTTGCATTTTTATTCCTGTAGAACGCACTTGTTCAGATGTAAACTTTTGGAATAAATGTGACTTACTCAAAAGCATTCAAAAATAACGCAAATAATGATGTCCTGTGGCACGCTTTATACGTTAGCCGTTTATTCACGATCTTGTTTTGTATCCTTGGGTAAGCTTTCATGTTGAATAAACATTCCTCCCTAATTTAATTGAACGGTCTTTGATTATGCGGTTGAATGCAATGAATATTTTTTGGAGGTAATGCGTATGACATATCTTTTATTAGGAGAAAATGAAATAATTAGCATTTGTTAATGCCACGAATTACTCCGCTCATCAGCGCATCTGGCTGCCTGTCAGCCTGCTTGCAGGATTGGTCAGATTTTGACACATACATTTCAAATATGCCTTAGTGAAGAGGGATTTTAATAAGTTCATCCAGAAAGTTGCCAGTTTTACACCTTCTGTATCACTGATTATCACTGTGAGGCGTCAAATAATTGTGAGCAAAAACAAGTGCTTGAGACGGTGAACGAATAGTATTGAAATAAAACAGGCCTATTGCAAAAAAATTAAGATAATTCGAGAAATGATTGGGTTTAAATGGGATTATGAAATTTAAAGCAGAAAATGAATATGTGAAAAGGAAGGCTGATTTTTGCAAACCCAACTTTTATTCCAAAATGGACTTCAACACTTAATTAGAGGCTGCAAATAAAACACAGCTTTTAGTTTTAAGTACAGCTATCAGGATTTTTAAAGTACATTAACTTTCATGGTTATGCGTATCTTGGTTTGAAAGTCTGATATGAAAAGCAGCGTTTATGGTGGATACGTTTTGCTTTTGGCTCAAGTAACCATTTGCAGTGTCACCCCATTCTTTCAGAGGTAGTAATATTATTAATAGGTAAATCAAAATGATGTATTTTTTTATTAGCAGAAAGTAATTAAACCTTACTTTTATATTATTAAATGGTTATCATCGGCTCCTCTGTTAAGCAAGCTCCCATTAAGAAGGACTTGTTTTAATGGCACCAAACATTAGCGAGCAAAATTTGTATTTTGATACAATTCATCGCCTATGCAAACGCCTTATTTTACAGAATGACAAAATGCCCTGAAAACAGCCCAGTTTCTATCACAACTTTCCGCACTAGGGGAAACATTGAAGAAATGTGTTGGAGAAATGGTGTAATCATAACCCGTACTTTGAAAAGCGCAACCAACCAAAAGAAACCCCAAACCTGGTATTTATCATTTTCCTGCCTTTGTCGATGATACATTAAACCAAGAAATGGATGTTTCAGTCAAAGATACCATAAAAGCGGGTGTAAAAATATGCATATATAAGGCCATTGGAGGTCCTTTTTGCCGTTGTTGCTGCTGCTTAGTTGTTAAGGCTATGGGTACACTAGGTAGCCTCAGTAGCCCTTGCGTCGAACCATGGCAAAGTGCGTCGTCTCCCAGTCATTCTTTCTTCGGTCGCCGCGCTGCAGAGTGCCTGTGAGGATGTAGCCAGCATGGAAGTCAGACTGGGTCACATTGCTGGTGAGGAAGATGCAGAAGTGCGGCTTGCCAGCCATCCCCTCCTCGTCGTCCTTGAACTTGCCCGTGACGAACAACGCACCGTCGTGCTTCGTGCACATAGCCTTCGCCCGTGCCACTAAGCGCTTATTTGGCCCGCATATCTAGTAGAGTGAGAGGCATTCTGATTGTTATTGTAATACCCGATGACACTCCTCGGACTTTGTTTTATCTAGAATGTTATGCTAAAAGCTATTTAATAATTCATCCGAAAAGTTACCTGGAAAAACAACTAATTCTGGCTAAAGTTTTGAGTAACACCGGGGTTCAATAATTAATTTAATTTATGTGCAGTATTCAGACAATGTTTGCCTTTTTCGTAAAGAATTTTGCGTGCCTTTCAAGAGAAATGCTCTTTGTAACCCTACTTCTATTCACCTAAACTAACTGGGAAAACACAGAGGGTTATTATTAACTTTCGGGAATAGTACAATGTACCACAAATAAGTAGAGTTTCAACTCCGGTGCTATGACGGAGGGAAAATGCGTGCAGTGAGTATGCTTTGACCTGAGGGAATGTGATAGAAGAGGGTGTGCATTAGAACCCTTTGATTCACCTTGACAACAGAGCAGTAGCGGTAGGTGAACCAAGGAAACCTGAGCTCCCATCGATTGCACATGCTGGTAGAAGGAACGCTCTCGAAGGCGTAGAGTTCCAGCGATATCTGCCGACCATTGATCTGAATGAGCTTGTCGCATCGTCGACCCAGCGTCTCGTAGTAGAACAATTGTACCATTGCTGTCTAGCCATCCGGTAAAACGTTTAGTGTTGGGTTATTCATCAAAGACTTATTCGTGTTCAGAAGGTTTAATTGCTTTGTACTTGTCAGTTACTATATTAAAACATTCTTTCAGAAAATCCAATTATACTAGAATACTTGTTAAACCTTGAATAAATAGATAACACGGAACAATATCGTAGCGTCTTTTGGTATACCAACTATAAGCGGGGATTTTCGTGCTTACTACTGAACGACGAAATTTAATGGATCCAGTCAAGCTGGACGTTATATTCCTTGCTTAAACAAAATGATGAAAATGTGTTAACCTGTGAAATCATCGACTGTGGAAATTTTATTGCAGCGCAAATAATTTACAAGTGTGCAATAACACTTTGTAATTGTGATCAAAACATAAGTGCTGTTTGTTGCAAAATGAAGCATTTCAATTCGTAAAAATAAAAGTAGACGGCAAATGTACAGCTGCCTTCGCTCCCAAAAGAGTGAAACAGCTGCTCTCTGTGAAAGACGCATTCTTAAACGGGAGATGGAGAGCTTTTCCTACCTTAGTTCCTCACCCTAGCATAGATAAATTGCACCCCCCTACAAATAAAAATTCACTAGAATTTATTCGACGTGAAAATTATTAAACAGTCGAGAGAGCAGTTAACATTTGCCATGCACATGTGCACAAAACAGCTTTGAAGTATAAAGACAAATGTGTTTTGAATGAGCGAAAGTTAGTCTGTGCAATGCTGACACCGCTACTATGCTGTCTGAAACACATGCCCCGAATGCTGGGTGCGTGTAGATTAAGAGTACATCGTAATGAAATCCTTATTTCTCCCAAAACCGATTTTTCGTTCCAATTTTCTGACGAAGAAGTGTGTTTTGGCCTAGACCAATTTGTAATAAAGTGCTCTGCATATGAAGCTAAATCGACCAATTTTCATGATATCAATGGATGATTTTTGCAGTGATCAATGTGGAAGCTTTAAGGATTTATAACTATAATGTTAACACTGAAAGGATATGCGAAATGCATAACATGGATGACAAGTTTGAAATTGTTACAGTGTGAGTAGACACGAGGGAATTGAAGTAGCTCCTTAAATGTCATGTGGAGAAAATCAGTAAATAATCAGAGTTAAACAAAATTAAAATTCCGGTATTGTTGCCAAATTTTAATCATTAGGATTCAAATGTTGATAACACTTGAATGAATTAGAGATCTCGATATTAATATTAATGATAATATTAATATTGAGTATTCGTGAAGAGGATGCCACTTGCTTAAGATATTATTCCATTTGATGGTGATGCGCATAGCAATACTCTGTCCATGATCTGGGAAAAGCTAGCCAATTGAAGGTTAGAGAATCAAACATCGTTTTCCCAAACGTCGTTCAAACAATACAAGTAGGATAATCAGAATAATTGTCATAGACTAAACAAATGTTGCTTTCAAATGGCAGACAGGGTTGGCCAAACAGATGCAAATGTCACTGTTATAAATTACTTCTTAGGAGTTGAGAACCTAGTTATTCGACAGCTACTGTACGACATCATAATATCAGTTTGAAGATGGGCTCTGAGTTCCAAGCACACTTTATTACAAAACCAACCCTTTTTGCGTTAAAACAAGTACCTCAGACCAAGAAAGAGGGGAAGACCGAGAGCAAAGCAATTCAATTACCATGAAATAAATCTAATTTTTCACGATTGGTGATACACAACAAATTGGAGTAGGATTTCGCAATGCGTTCAAACAGATTAAAAATTAATCACTTCCTGAGATCATTCGAGTTTCCGCTGAAAACACTAGAGATATTTGACGTGACGTCTTTATACGGATGTTAATTTTAGCTAGCGAAAAATCTGTTGTGCTTTAAAAGTCGACTTGGATGAAAACATGTTGCAGTTAAAAAGGACTGTAGGTGCACTGCTGACCAAATGCATAAAAATTGGATTCCATTGTGCTTAGCGTTATTTTCTATAGAAGCTAGTCTGGGTTTAGATTTGTAAAAGGCCTCCACCTCAAGGCTGGGAGCAATACATAAATAGGAGATTATTACTAGCTACACGTGGACTTCCTTTCCAGACCTTTTGTATCGGCATGCTATCCGCCGATGGCAACTGATTCTAATCGTAAACATTGACAACGGGTTGACAATTTAAAAGCAGATGATTCTTCTCCTCCATCATTATTGTTAAACATATTTGTGCTGGTAGGCCCATTACAAATGCAAAATAGATACAACATTCATTTAGTGACGAGACAATATCTTTCTTGACCTCGCAAAAGTGGGATAAAATTTAGCATACTTACTCAGGTGCTGCGCTGAATTCATGGCCATTTATTTGAAACCGGGGTGCTAATTTTAATCTATTATGTTTTAAAAAACCTAAGCCATGGCACCTCAAAAGGTAGTAGAGGTGTATTTTTTGGTGGGATAGCAGCGTACATAGCTACCACTAGCTTTATGAGCATTCATACAAAATGTCTAAATAGAGCTTGTAATTTTTCACCTGCGCAACAAAAATTAAATAAATTAGAAGGAAAATAATGACACAAACAAACTAATTTAACTTAGATCAAATTCGAACAAAAATCTAACAATGTGACTGAAGAATACTTAATGATTGAGTGAAGCTGCCTTACGAAAGCAGTGTCCATGAGATGGGTTAGTTAAATGCATTATTGAATGTGAGAATTTCATTATTTAACTTCATCTGCATCTACTATTATAGTCAATCATTAATATGGCCTTTCTTAAGTTAAAAAACCCAATTTCCTAACCTCACCGATTTTAGCTGTTGAGCTTAATAAATCATCGAGGGACCCAAAGATAGGTTTGACATGCTTACTGTCAGCACGAACAATAGAATAAGGGGACATTTGCTGTAGGAAACACGCCTCACTGCAGGACCATTTCTGGATTTTTGGGCGAACACAAGTCGAGACACAGAAAGATTTGGGAAAAAGTCATCCCATACCGGACAAAGTGCTCACAGGTAATAAAAAAATATTATTGTTAAGAAATCGAAAATGTATTTTAATACAATTTAATCATTGATGATAATGACTGTTCTTCGGTAAGGAACTATCTTCTAGGCTAGAAAGCAACGTGCCCAAATAATGAGCAAATCGACTTTACGTATATATATATACAATTTTTGAACTAAAAAGAATGGGAAGTAAGTACTAAACATTTGGAAGATAGGTGAAAAAAATACTCCTTTGAGGAAGTCGGCGTTGCATTCTTTTTGAGACAGGTAACTTGGATCACATTGATAAACTTTTCAATTTATATGTCTCAGCCAAATTAGTCCAAATTGAGAGTCCATGTTTATCAATGGTCATGAAATGGAAGAAAAGTTACTTTTTGCTTCAAACTGATGTAATTGCTGTTTATAGTCGAGGAGTCTAGTTCAGTGTCTCAGTCAACGCCTATTAATTTATTAGAAATGTTTACCGTCCCATGTAACGGTTTTACAAAGATTCAGTCGCCGCGCGTGGCTCACAACGGGAGATGGGAGAGCGACCACTAGATCTGATACCTCAGCTATTTTCAAAGAAAGTCGTTTTTGCGCTTTTTTGTTTCCATCTCCATAAATGCTATGGTAGGATGAATTGAACGTGAATTCATCTTGACTGTACCAATAAGTGACTACCATTTGACCTTCTGAATGAAAAATATGCCTATCCATAAGCCAGATGCAGAAACACTTTTTGAAGAATCTCGGACAAATGCACAAGTATCTTTCTGTTTCGTTTTAAGTAATTCGCTAAATTAATGTTTAAAATACCAATGGCTACATGTGGGAGGTGTAATCTCTGTAAACCGGGAACTTTCATTTTTCAAGATGATTTTTAGATGCCAACTTTTGCATTCTCAACATATTTTAATTAGCTCATTAAACCGCAGAGCCAAACCACGCCAATCAATGCTGGTGTACACGAAAGAGGATCTCGGTGAAGAGAATACAACATACCCACATTTGTGGAGTAAAATTTTATTTAGTTGGAATTGGAGCTAGTTATTTTAGGACGTAATCGGTGCACTTCACTACACAACTAATTCTAACCTAACTCCAGATTTACCTTCTACAAAAACAATAAAAAGAGCAGTCCCTCCCATTGACTATAGCATTGAAATCCACGCATTGAACGATAACCATAAACAAAATCCAGAATGTCAATTTGCTTCTAAAGCTCGAGACCAGGGTATGCTTCCTCCCATGACTCTACAGACCTAAGTAAATGAAAACTGAACACCCCTTATTAGCGAAGATTCTAGCCACTTTTCACTCCCACGAATCGGGGTCATTTGGATTTATATCTTCTTATAGCTAATCCTATTAGTTAGTAATAAGTCACCAGAAAGTGGAAAACAGTAGCCCATCTATTATTTTAGAGGAATTCCGCTGCTCTCGATTTCACACCAACTACCTCGATTTCGCATCTTATTACTTAGCGCTTTTGAAGAACCTTGCCACGATTCCCACTTAATAAGACAAAAATTCATATCCTGAAGATAGGTAGCATAAATGTTCAAGGTAAATATATTTTTATTTGTTAGGTTTACTACTTCATTAATGTGACTAAGTTGGTTACTATAACACAGCATGGAGTTTGGTAGTCAAATAAATGACTAAAAGAAACGATTAAAATAAGATCTGTTAATTAAATATTGCCCTTATCTTTTATAAAGGAATCATTTATGGGAGTTCGTAGTCATAAATAAATGTCACAATTTGCGTAGGTTTTGATCATAGAGCAGGCAAGATTGTGGTCACAAGTAGCAGTTCGGGGGAAAATTTTAAAGTGAAAGTGATTTGGGTAGGAAATAATTTAGGCATCCGCATACATCCTTCAGTGTATAAGGTAATGTTCCAGTACTTTTTACTTCTGCTCACCAGTACCAACCAACTTGTCAACTTTTATTACTCATTTAAAATTGGCCTTTAGCATTGAAATATGTCCCAACAATAACAAAATTCTAATTTCATTAATTTTTTAATGTCCTAAGGAGATAAGTGTAAGTTTATTTGAATTCAATGCATTTGTAATACTATTCAAGCATCTCAACGAAAACCTTATCAAGCCTAAAACCAATGGAAAATTTTTACTTGTCCTAATACGCTTTGGTAAATCGCACTTATGGAAGACCGACTGACAATGTGACACACGTTCGGATTACCAGATATGCATCTTGGTAGTAGATCAAGCAGGTAGTTTGAACTCTACTTCGCTGCCATCATTTGCTTAGTACTCCACTTAAATGTACATTGCAACCACGTGTTACAGTGAAATGTCTGAATATAATCCATCCTTAGTCCAACCATGATAATAAACTCGGCTACATTAAACCATTCAAAAATGCATCGGGCACCGCCTAGTGGAAGGTCTAGCAATATAAATACTCCAAATTGGTGATCAGTCCATTGTGCTGCATGCAACTCACCCTGTCAACCTACGAGTACGGTTTTCAGTCACATTTTTTTACGACAGACTCTATCGTATTAATGTTGAATTCTTCGCCTTTTGAAAATTGAAGCACAATCTTAAATTTCGGGGTGGAATTTTAGTTGCAAACCTAAGAGCATTGGCAGCTCTAGTTTGATGCTGCAATTAACAAGTACTTTACACGTGTCAGTTGAACGGGCCGTGAAGCCATGACATCCTAAACCCAAATGAATATGTATGTGCATTATAACCTTCGCTACAGGCATTACACAGGTTTGGTATACCCTTTACCATTTTATGATAACTGATTGCTCCAAGTCGTGTTGCAAACGGATTGGTTGAACTTAAAACAATAGCTTCAGGGTGGTTATATTCCCAAACCTAAAAACAGTTTAGGTTTAAAACAGCATCACTTTTTGTGGGCTGTGATGAACCTTTTTTCTCAGATAGGCCCTGGTAGCAAATATGTAAAAAAAGGTGCTATAGAGAGATGTTTTAACAATTTTTCGAAATTATTTTTTTTAAGTGTTAATTTAGATCTGACCAACCTACATACCTGAGGTGATGCAAAAACTCGGTAGAAGCATTAATGGTTTAAATATTTAAATAGCATCGAAGCCTCAAACGCAGTAGGCAGGCTGGGCTTATTTAGGTAGATGGAAACTGATAAGCAGGTTCACACTGAGGCATATGCAGAGGGAATGTTCCACGATGACGCGGACATTGGTGCGCCGTATACGTTCACAAGAACCCTAATTACGCGCTTTTACCCTGAAGTAAGTCGGTGCTCGACAGCGTCAATCCCACGTGAATACGACGGTGCCTTAAAGACCCTGGAATAGGGCTAAATGTTCCCAAAGATCTCCCAGTGATCGTTGCATTCGAAAGGAAAAGTATTTCGCTTTAAATCTCATCAGTTACCAGAGAACTTCAGAGCGTGAAGTTAGGTCAGGCCAAAACTAGGGCTTGTAGTCAGAGGTATTAGATCGAGGGGCCATGAAAATCTGGAAAAGGCAATACACTTGAACATACATGAGGATTTTTTTAAAATTCCTTTGTAGCTGATCTACTTTTGCTTAACCAAATATACAAAGTTTTTACTCTTACATCTAGAAATACAAGAAATTTGCATTTAGAATTTGCACTTTGTGATACTAAACAAGAATTAAACACGCTTAACTGAATCGCACTGGTCTACTAAAAATTTAGCACTTCGATAAATTTCAAATTAGATATTTGTAAAATAATTCATGGTTACTTAAATAAAAAAATATCTGCTTACCTCTATGAACTATTAGGCCTAACCTTATGAAGGTAGTTGTACCATTTAACATTAACTTGTGCTTAGAATGGAAAAAAGCGTCATGCCTCAGGGGCGTACCCTGATCCCCTGCCAGAAAGACGGAGACAAAAATTTGCGGTCAGGGTATAATTCTGTCAAACTTCGGCAAAAATTATGCACGATATTTCCTTTTATGCTACCGCTGCACATAAAGAAAGACATTGTGCTCGAATAAAAGATGGCTATCTGGTTTTCCTTTAGCTAAAAATAGATTTTTTTTCAAAAAAATTATTTAGATCTATTGTATTGGCAGTGAATAAATGGGTCAAAATAACCCATTTGGTTGCCTTAAAAACTGTTCATTTGCTAGGCAAAATAAACAACCTAGAGATGCAAAGACCATCTTCTACTTCACCTGGGCTGATGGCATTATTGGGAACTAATTGAACAAGGTTGTAAGGTAAAATGAGCGCCTTCTTTTAATCTGCTATGACTATCAGGTAATCTTTGATTTGGTCAGATAGAGTAAACTGAAAGTGCCATAACATTATGAGTATGTTGCATAGGAATTCCACTCCTGATTGGGAAGTTATGGAAAATGAGGTTTTATTTCCGAAACCGGAAATGACGCGCAAACGCAAGAACGATAAAACTTTACTAGTGGCCAGAAACTGAACGCCTATCGACTTCGCGGTGGGACAAATGGAAATATACATCAGAGTAGCCATTATTCGAGGCGATCTTCCCTACTGTCCACGTAAGCCGAAAAGAACTTTATTCTTTAATGCAAAGTACAAGTATAGTAGTCTTGCTTCTAAATAATCACTTCTTTATGTCCTTAAAATAAAATAATTGGAGATAAGTGCCATTAGATAATAGGTGCAGATTTTTGGAATAAAATGAGTAAACTCTCTTACTAAATCGGCGTATACAATGGTATAATAATCCTGTCACTCTACTACCTGTGTAAATACATTCATGCTTGTTTACCCGGGCTAAACACTAAGTATAAAATTGAAGATTTCCGATGCTTGAATTGAAACTAATGATATGAATGCATTGTAAAAGTCTTCATTGCCTGTTCATAGTTCATCCCAGAGGTTGCTAGTGTAGAAACGTATCTGGCCGAAGCCAAAAATTTATTCGAAAGCTGGTCAATTTATTCTGCTTTAGATTTACGGTCTCGCAATTGACAATAATGGTTTGTATTGGGCAAAAATGCTTATAGAATACAATTTAATAAGTGGTTTTTAGGCGAAAGATGGAAAAGACAACAAGTACTTTAGTTTTTTCTTGGACTCTGCAAGTCAAATTAGTTATGCACCGACAAAATAACAAGATATAGTATATTCATTGTTACATTTTTTAATGTTTAATGTGATGAACACAAAGAGATTTACCAAGATTTCGCTGGCCACGTAGCAGTCCATAAATCGTAAAGATTTTAATATTCACTTCTAATTGACAACCAAATAATCCGGGAAATTGCAGAGACCTGTCATTTACAGCAATTAGTTCTGATAGTAACGCAAATCTACGTGGATTGACAGCTCTTCACTTTGTAGAAAAAGTGATTCACTTAGGTAATTTAGTTATGTCACTATCAGACAATTGGCGTAACCCTAAATGCCATAGCTAACAAATCCGCTTCAGTACCTCACGAAACATCAGCGGCACGATTTATGGTCTCATCCACCGTAAGTCATTAAATGCACTGCATTCAATCCATTGTAATTGCATGACACACAGGGGTATGTGTAATAAGGACTAAGAGGTAGTCTATCTGTCGTAGGTAAGGGTAGCTGAATGTTTAACAGTGTTTTCATTTATGATCATCGTTATCTTTAAAAGCAAACTTAAAAAATGGGACTTACGAAAGCCTGTTGATTTAAATCCCTGAATCAGCGCGAAATTTTTATTTTCCGCAGATTTAAGGGTGACAATATCCCACTGAAGTAGTCTTGGCCAATGGGACCCTTCAGTTTTCTGATTGGTCACTCAGCGACACCCAGTAAAGCTGAAAAAGGCTTCGACGTGATGGACTGTTAAATAAGTAGAGGTTGCTCTAACCACTGTTTTTCATCTATTATGAAATAATTTTTGGATCACAGACAAAAAGTTCAGTAGAAATCTTGGAAGGAAAGGCTAATCTTAATTACATAATTACAAGTTTTCAGGTGTGCAAAATCAACGAGTCCTAACATGAAGACCAGCTAATTTTTCATTACGAAATGTTATTTGACTTCAATTTGCTCGTCCCGTCCAGTTGCATTTACAATGAGCAAACGTCAGGTGGCAGATTCTCCTGCTGTGATTTGAAATAAGTGAAAATTGTCAACTGTTTGAATCTTGTAACTTAGGAGGTGTAAGTCTCAATGATAGCGTGCCAGTAAACATCTCTTTATCAGTATTTCAAAGGCAACATCAGTATCTAGCACAATTCCTGTGCTAATATGAATTGTAATGGCTTGATTTGCCCACTTTCACACTCGATGCCTATTATATTAAGGTTTATAAAAAATTTTGGAACTACTTCTAGGAGCCTGTTCATTTTGCACTTGGACTTTTGTCTTTTTCGCTTCTTTGTACCAGCTTTCAACTACTTTTCCCTTGTTCGTCCACCACCAACTCTTATCATAAACCCTTTCTTATGGCAATATACAGAACTGTTGAGCCCTATTGGAGTTTTCTTCTTCCATACACTTCACAAATTTATCAGATTTATATTTTAATGCCCTTGATTCACGCGAAAAATTATTGTCCCATTTATTAGTACAGATAGACTAAATGATGCTTCCCCCTCAGTGTCTGCGTATGGAAAACGAGTGGAACTACTTAGATTACTCATTAACTTGTCTTATTTAATAATCACTCTTTTCCGATTGAGTGATTATGAGCTGGTAAAAGTGTACCTCAGAATTTATCATCAACCAGGAAATCGAACAATGTGCCTTCGGCTGCTTTTAGTACAAATCGAGGGAAGAAAACTCACATCCATGTGTGCGAAAAAGGCATTAAAATAATGATGCAAGTGTAATTATTTAACCGCCTATAGTAAACGGTGCCGCTGAGCTGAAGTGGCGGTAAAAATCCCCTCAGATGCTATCAATGGGAATTTTCTTATCCAACATAGGGTCACATGGATGACAGATTTCAAGGGGCAAATTTGTTGAAAGTTAGCCTTGGCTTCAACGCACCGTTGACCCAAACCCTAATTTTCAATTATCAAAGCCTATGCTTTACATACATCGGAGTATCTTTCTAAAACCTTTAAACATCAAAATTCTCTTTAGTGGGATCAAATGACTTACTGGCGAAAAAGGTGATTTATTTTACCCTGTAATATAGCTTGTACGTAAGTCGAAATTAAGGGCAAACTCTCCTAATGTTTAAAGCTGTAAATTGTGAATTAAATTCCATAGCCCTGAGGGATTTTGAACCGGGTTTACGAAATCCTACACATCAAAAATGGGATACTGGAATTCTTTTAAAAGCATCACATGAGAAATTGCTTGTGTAGCTCAGTTGGAGGAAATAAGAAATATACCATAGTTTAAAGTTTAGGCTTTAAATTTCGTTGATCTGGTTAATAAGTTGATATGCTTTCACGAAATACCGGAACTTACACTCATTATAGGAAATTGGACATGAAGACACTTCACAGCCAAGTTACAATTCATTTCTAGATGCTAGGGCTCCCATTAGCAAAATCGTTTGCCTTAATTTATTTCACCATTCGGGTTGAATAAATTGTACTTTAGTTTATTTTTTGCCTCCTAACCTAATAATCCTTGCTCAAAATTTGTAATGACGGGGTGCAATCAAGCATTTCCATTTTGCAGCCTCATATCGCTGCTTTTAACTCAACCTGGTACGAATACCGACAAAGAGTGTCCCCTTTGTGGGAATTGACTGCAGCGGATCCTAAAGGCTGTAGCTCCAACTGTTTGGAGTGGTACAAATAGCCCGTCACGGTGTGAACTTTACTGTAATTTTGCACGCTGCGTCCCCGACCAAAGTCATCTTCTACGTGAAAGATTTGTTTTCTGTTTACCAAGTTGCTGTTGTTTTATTGTATAGCTACTTTTCACCAAAGTCGTGCGGAATTGTAAAAATACAAATTTGTTTCTCAAACCGGTGGACTGTCTTATTTGTGAATATTGCCTGCGTAATTCGAGTCCTATTGACATTAAATTATCTACCTGCTTCTACCAAAACCGACCAAAATAGAAATTCATAATCTGCAAGTTTAATTCCCAAAAATGTCACAAATACGTTCCGTACTTTTGGAAAGTTTCGTCTACAAAGCCAATTCCTCCCATTAACAGAGGTAAATGTGTAAACACAGTAAGTAACAAGATCTTTTTGGCACTTCACATTATCCCGGTTTCATCTTCTCTTTTGCCCTTGTTAACCTGTAAAATAAAAAGTCCATCATGATGGATAGATGACACCAATCATTAGGCTTTTGTAAAAGGCCGTAGTTCCAGTCAATTGTTCATATCCTGTGAAAAAGGTATTTTAAGCTATTTTACAAGATTATCTACCCGATTAATTTCTGATACTTGTTATTTTGCTCCTAAGAAAGTACTCTTTTTGTATTTCAAACCCAATTTCCACATAAAAGACATATAGGCAAGGTCAACAAGTAATTTTCTGCCATTTTGTCTCGATGGAACTCTGCAAGACATTTGAAGTCGCATTAGTCGGCTGTTCTTTGCTCCAAACTGGAGAACGGTAACAGCAGCGGTAGTGGCTGTGCGCGTTCTCCGGTTAAAGGCTCAATGAAAAATAGTCAAACAAATAAAATATTTTGACGAAAAGCGACCGGCTTAAATGTTAGAAGGTTCTTAAATCTTATGCAACATCAAGAAATTAAATAACCAAGCCCAGTCTTTACATCTTGTCTAGGCCAGCCCGGGGTAGGTAGTTACAAGATCAGATAATGGCAAATTTAAATATGAGAATGCAACTGGAAAACAACGGTTTCGAGCTTTGAGTTAGGTTCTACTTCTGTGTTGGTGGCATCGATGTTTAAGCGTCCAAAACAAGATCTCAGCAACCTTTTCATGATTCATCTCTCTAAATAGGTATTGCTTACTGCCTTCCATTACGAATGGCATCTACCGTTTTACTGCCTTCGTGGGGCCTAACAAGGGATTAAATGTGGACCATAACATTTAATTTTGCCTGTGCGTGATTTCAGATGATAAAATACGGTAAATTAATGAAAGATTCAGGCAAAAATTAAACATTCTAGCCTCAAAGATAACGTGTGGAAACTGAAATGGATATTTAAATGCCGGATTAGATATTTCTAATTAATTCAAAAATTTTTGGAGGCAAGTTCGAAAACTGAGTTTGATATGCTGTTGGGTGCTGCAAAGAACTTTGAATTCAAATTATTCATCATAAGCTTCCGATTCCTACTAGCGGATCTGATTTCGCCTTTTATAATGAACTTCACTGAACTCCACTTTGACGCTTAATTTGGGTAAATTAAATTTATTTTATTTTTTGTTTGTATTCCTGAGAAAAGCAGGCAGATTACTGTAGCTTCCCAAGTAATCCATACGTCAAAGTGAGTATAATGGAACAGTGAGTAACTTCTAGTGGTAAGACTGCAAATGTGGATGAAATACCTCCAGATTTTCTCCACCCTAAAAACAGTAATTAGCATTATAAACACCCGCAGTTTCGTTGTAAGTTTTGGATTATTGCAACGAGGTGGCATTTTTTAAAGAAATTGCTATAACCGCCATCATCAGTTTTTGTTGACCTGGATTGTACCGAGCCCACCAGCTAGATCGTCAAAAGGCAGACCTCAGTGCAGAAGGTTTTAGTAACAGAGACGGGCTAGTGTGTACAGTGATACAATATGCTTATACGAATCTGGCTGATGGCTTGTGAAGACTGCTGAAGACGGAGTCTGAGTCAATAGGTCGTCTCAGTTACGTTTATCGACAGTTTTTGGGTTGGCCTTGACCTTAAAGTGAGCGTTGGCGCACTTGAAATGTATCTAAGCGTTGTCACATTCAGCCAGGACGGACTGAGCCAGGAGCGATTCCTACAATGTTTGCGAAATTAACCACGAAAATTCTAAAAAGTTAAACAAGAAATTGAAACACATCTAATCAGATTAAATTAATAGATTAATACATCATCTGGAAAAATGACATTTTACCTTAGAATGTGTTGTCAGTCTTGGTTGTGTAAGATCTGGTTCGGTATATAACAACTGTTGTTTAACAATCAGCTTCTCTGAATGTCAAATATGTACGTACAAACATCTCGTTGGCTTTTATTAGTCAAACCGCCTGTTCTAGCAAAACTTAAAGTAACCGTGCTACTTATTTGATTGCAGTAAGCTTGCTGCAGCATTTGTCGCTTAATCAAGGAGGCACATTTGCGACGCTGGCATTCCGATGGCTGCAAAAGTTGTTGAGCAGATGCGTTGTGATTTTAAAAATCCGAGTCGCATTTATAAACCCCTTGTGTACACTGTCATCTGACCTTTTGTAAATAACCGGGGAGTGGATGTTTTGCAATCACATTCGCTTTCATAAATACTAACACATGTAAATCCACATAGATCCAATAGGATTCATTATATCACTTGGCTGACGGTACATATCCCCCAGATTGTATGCGAATAATTCATTTTCTTTTAAGTATTTGTCAGTGACAAGTGAGTACTAACAGTAAACAAGAGGCAACGGACTAACATCACTGCTTCAATAGTTGGCGCATTGCGGATAAGTGTAGATTTGGTGTGGATCGTGGTGAATGTTTCGAAATGTGGAGGCTTAAAAGTGAGAGTAATAACTCTCTGAAAAAAGGGCAATCGAACACGCATTGGTCAACCCTATACTTCGTCCTGCTGAAGTGAACACTACAAATTTGACAATGTGCATTGACAATCACACTTACACTGTGATCAGCTGGTTAGCTTATTTTACCTATTTATCTATACTGTCACTGGATTACAGTGGAATGTAGCTTTCAGAAACGTGTTCTAATATAATAAGAAGAATTACTATCTCTGCTGAAATTCCGTGCATGGGCAGAATATGTTATGCTCATTCTGATAAATTTCAAATAGCCAATTTACTCAAAAAAATTTCCTATCAGTTAACAAACCATCCATTGGTTTCAAACAAATTTTCTTTGAACTCCAAAAGCTTTCTCTTTAAATAGACTCTGAGGCAAAATTATATGGTTTTTACTTATTTGTCGTCATTGTAATGTTCCTCAAGGGATGGTAAAAAAGCGAGGACAGATCATGGTTAGATTTTGAATCAAATTATCTCCTCTTGGTAGAAGTGGGAATATGCAGGAGTAGCATTTCAACTTTTGGCATCAATCTAGTCTTAGAGCATTGTCTCCTTTGTGCAGACCACAGCGTAATGTTCTGGCAGTTTTTAAGCTCATTCATTTTGTCACACACATATCCGATTTAAAATGGTAGCATTAGTTCACAACTACGAATTATCTAAAAATGAACTTTGAAGTTGTGGACATCTGCTGAGAATTCCTTTAAAAATGTGTCCAGGACTCAATTCCTACTTATCATTGCGGTCAGATTTTGCATTAACTTACAATAGACTTTGACATTTTCGAGAATTCAAAACTGTACAAAAAAGGTTTTAGAAGTAAAAACAATTAAATCACAAATCTGGACTAAGCGATATCAAAAATCCCGTCTTCAGACTTTTGCAGTAATTACTTCTATGGCTAGGCTTTTAACAACTTTATTTACAAAATCCTGGTTGAACAGGCTGTAGTATTGCCTTGAGGACAAAATAGTAATGAAATGCCTACCAAGAAGAGTAACTCTCTAGGCCCAACTTGTTCTTCCAGGCTCACGCAAAACGCGCACTCGCCTTGTTCCACCAAGTCGCCGGCATGTGGTCAACGCACCTGGTGATAGTATCTTCCAGAGCCTCAGTTGGGATCTCACCACCTCCCTCCCTTCTCTCCATTCAGCCCACTTCTGCTGTCGCATCACCGACATTCACTCACCTTCCCACAATAAACATCTGTCGAACTTTTTTATGCATGAAAATTGGACAATGAGTGTCGAAGCAAAGGTGGTACATTACGATATCATTGAGGGCGCTCTATCGAAACTCTAACTGCGCATTTCCACTTTGCACGCGTCAGCAGACTTCGAGGACCACGGTCCACCCCTCTTTCAGGATTTGACCAATTCACTGTCATCAGAGCTGCCTTTAAAATCAACTTTTACATTGTACCATCTAGCATGCCTTGAGTGAGTTTAAATTTTTATTCCAATAAGATGCAAGAAAGCTCTCCACTGTTTCTTAATTTCTGTGAGAAGCAGCTTAGTGGTTTTCACAGTAATCAGACGCTATATTCTGCATCATTGATTTTATGTAAGCATAAAAGGAATTCTTATTTATTTGTCCCATTGACTTCTTCATCAATTGTATTATAAAATCACAAATACTTGGGTTTCTTCTGTTCTAATGAACTCGATTTTTTGCCCAAAAGGAACGATCATCTCCTTTAAGCGCCATTGTAGTACATACCAGACTATTTACCTGGCGCTAGAATTATCATTATTTCCCTCAAATAGTATTTGTGGACAACATCTAGTTCCGACTTTGTGTTCGTGCACGAGGCAGTCTTTCTGAAAGCTATGCATTGCAGTAAAGTCAGAAATTTGGAAGAGGTTTTCAAAATGCGTTATTATTCCAAGTCGAAGGGATACCATTTCAATCCAATTTTAATGAAGAAGTTCACAGTGGAGACTGATGCAGTTAAATGAGATTTCCTACTACTTACGCTTGTGCACCACTAAATTGAACAAGTTCTGTTAGCAGTAGTTCTCCGATTATGATGGTCGCCGTCGCTCGTCAGGAGTTTAATCGGCCTTTCAGTTCGGGGAGTTCAATATTCCACTGCTTCGAGTTATGTTGGAAAGGATATTCCATTGACCATTGTAGTTTTTACACAGAAAATACTATGTAAAACCTGAAGTATGCAATGTTTTACTGGATTTTCCCTTTAAATGAATCGTCTTGTCCAACAATTAATCTTCACTCCACAAACACTCGTTAAATGGGTATAGTTTTTCCTTAATTTCTTCTAAGGCGACATTTGCTGTAGGCTGATTGTCATTTCCCATCACTAGAGCACTCTACAATGTACCTTGGTAGCCTGAGTTGGATGACTGAAAGCGACATCTGTTCTGCAGCCAAAACGAATATTCAAAAAGCTTGTTTTCTACGTTTTTATGGTTCACATGTTTTTTAATTCTGCTATTTCAAATGTACCTGAAAGATTTTATCGGTCAATCGTCCATCATATCATTAACTGATCGTGATGCAGTGTACTTGGCTGATCCCGGCTCTACTATAACCGCGTCTACACAGGTACACGTAAGTATATAATGTCTTTAAATGGTAACTTTCAAGACCAACAGAGAGAAGTAATGTGTAATAAGGCGGAAGATTTTAGTTCCTCTGACGCATATTTTAAGTTGTTCCTTAGTTCCTCAGCTAGTGGGAAAATTTTAAAGCCCTACTTTGTACTAATTAATTGCCTACTTAAATTCCAGTTCGCCAGTTTTGGAAACTGATTGTCAGGAAATAAAGTGAACAAAATTATGCGTTCCCTATTCATTTTTAAAAAATCCAAGAAGTACCAACATGGCAATGATTTAATGTACAAATTACTTTATTTGCTAGAAGGAGTAAGTTTTCATTGCTGGGTATTTCGACATGGGGCCTGGTTAAACTATTGCACGGGATCGAGCACTTTTACACCTCTTCACGTTGTCGTAGCAAAGCCCACTTGGTAGTTGGCCGTCTCGCAGAGGCCGGTGTCACCAACACAGGACGGCTGAAAGCAGAAGAATGGCATTTAGAGGGATCAGGAGTTCGTAGTTGATGCAAATCAGGTATAATAATTCATTTATTTTACCCGGTTTTCGAAATGATTCCAGGGTATTAGGTTGCCACACTGAACGGATTCCATAACGCCATCGTGGCCGTACCTATAATAAAGTAATTCATTTAACACCAGGCCCAGTGAGATGCGATGCCGTATAGGGTTTGGTACGTGAATGGGTTAAAGGTTGTCTGCGAAAGCTTTGCTTAACGCCAAGTTTTGCAATAAACCTCCTTAGTTTTTTGTAACGTTGGGTCATTCCTAAATTTCTTTTTATTAAAGCCGCGTATCACAGCTTTACTGTGAATTAAGTAGGGAAGGGGAATCGTATTTTCTTATTGCCGTGCCGAATTGGGAGTTTAGCTAAGTCAAATTAATTTGCTCCACTTCCTAAGCCCCTTATACATCAAGCAAATGATTCTTACAGTAAAATTCAGGACCATTTTGAAATTTCAATCAGGTTGACGTTTTCAGATAGCAATAAATTAGACTTTATATTCATACAATCATGAAGCGAAGATTATTTTCACAGAATTTCATCTTAATACTAAATAATAATTTAGCTAGGTGGTTGCACACATCTGATAAATAAATCAGAATTTTCAATATCAGCTTTAGTGTCGAAAACCAAGCACCGTTCGTTCTAACATTTCCATATCCTGCTTCTGCACGATACACCTGAACTTATTTAATAACTAATGATAAATATAACTAGCCAACGTCACTGTTGCTGAAGAAAATAAAAATTTTGGAAAAGTGCACTCACGCACTGCTATCCCTCGTTGCTGCGTCCGTGGTGCTGTTGAGGTGTTGCTGGTGATGTTGGTGGTAAACAGCCATTTGAGACTGGGGCTGTGATTTTGCATCTTCATTCACTTCCCCTGGTACGGTCTGACTGAGGGTGTTGATATGCGAGAACCATGTCGGCTGAACAACCCGTGTCCCCACATCCGCCTTCAGAGCCAATTCGGAGATAAGGTCACCGCCAATACTTTCCACACCCTCCTCCTTATGTTGAAGGTAGCCTGAAAAGGAGGGCAGAGCTTGGTGCTGAGGGGGTGTGGCATGCACAGAGTGATGTTGGTGAGATACGTAGGTCTGTTGCTCATGTGTGGTTGTATTGTAGATCAGGGGACTACGAATTACACGCACCGCACCATCATACGCCTCTGATTCGTGTGTCTGAGGCAGGTTGTTAGGTGCTGTGTATTCGCTACATTGGTTCTGCCCGCTGGCAGCCGCTACCACTGCTGCCGCTGCCACGGCTGCAGAATAGGCCTCGTACGCTGAACTGTAGTCGTTGTTGCCGTAGGGTAGTGTGTACGGGAAGCCATTCGGCTGAACATGTTCACCATTCAGCATCGCACAGTAGGCGTCCTCTTCGCTCTTTGTTCGGTCGAAGTCCCATCCATGGTAGCCGTAGGTATGCCGATTTGAGCCATTGTTATAGCCATACATAGTGTAATTTTGCATGTAATCGTCAGTCTTCGTTCCTGTCGAGCTGAGGAAGTTTCTACCAAAGAGATTTCGATAGTTATACCAGCTAGCGGAAGAATATCCCGTCTCAAGGCCTGGATAGTAGCTGGTGGAGGAGCGTGTCAAGTTCTTTGCTGTAACAGTAGAAGCCTTAAAGGGAGTCTTTCTTCGACGAGTTGTTTGAAGATAATTCTTTGACTGTCCCTTGAACTTCTTGATTCCTGACGGCTTAATCTCACTACCACAGTTTGGCTCTTGACTGCTGCTTTCGTAAGATTTCCAGAGTTTCCCCGACCCTGACTCCTTTTCAGAATCCAGGGGGAGCGAAACCTTTACTTGGGCATCGTTGGAGTCATCTGTGAAAGACTTTACTTCGGGAAGTGATGTAGCCTCTCTCGCTGACACGTCGTTTCCGTTGATTTCGTTTGAGTCATCCTCAGACATAAGAGTTTCCGGCTCAAGGAGGGGAAACGGTAGTTTGTACTCGGAATTCCGGCGGTAATAGAGCTCATTACCCTCAGCGTCACTAAGGAAATAAGAGGGAGTAGAAATTGGTAAGTTGATGTAATGGGAAGATATTACTCATTTCGAAATAAACTTACTCCAATTTCCGGTGGATTGCGACGATATGGTCAGCTTTATTGTCCTTGTAAACAATTCGTAGCCGTGATTGTAGCCATATCCAGGTGCCCGTGTTGGAAAGCCACCGATGTGACAAGAGACCTATGGAGCCCTGTTTGCATACTACAACAAAAAAATATTTTGTATTTTACAGAAATATCAAACTTGGGTTGTTAAATAGAGCGAATGAAAACACAAGAGTTAGTGATAATTCATGATAAAACTGCATGCCGATTCAAAATGAGTTTCTTTTCAAACAGCATTATGCGACCCTGATTCTCACTGTGTCGATATAGTTTAATCATGATTTTACTCTTTAATATTGAGTGAAAACTGATAGGGTTGCTCCAACTCTCCAAAAATATTCTACTTAGTGGTTCTAATAATTTGAGAAAATTATCTCCGGGTGACAGTTTATCCTCAAGTCACTAAAATTAAAATCTACCTCAACGTAATTAGAGCTTTTTCTCTGCTCCTACTGCCAAAAACTGCAAAGCTATTGAGTAAAACTTTAACGGTTAGTAAATACCTTCTCTGTGTCCCTGAGCAACGTAGCTGAGATCGTCATAATGGATGAGGTCGTAAACCTTGATACGACCATCCTCTTTGCCATTGAAACCGAACATGGAGCGGGCACTAGAAATCGTATAGGAAACCCGGAATGCCTCTCATTTTTGCCATCGTTGACGGAAAAACACTTTTTGTTTGTTTGATCTTTTATTACCTATTTCGCAAAGCCAGTTACGCTAATTTGATGGGCGCCTTAAAGGACAACTTTAACTCTCATTGAGCCCTTTTATACAGATGGGTGTCGTTTCAGATCAACGATTTGCAGTATTGCTTGTGTTCCTTAGTATTTTTACATGAGGAAGTAAGCTAGTGGTGAAAATAAGCTTGACTTTATTATTCACAGTTTCATTTTTTATGATGTACGAAAATTTGTCCAAAAATTGATTTGATAATAAAACTGACACTTGATTAATTCAAGTGAACCTATGTAATTTTTAATCCACTTGGGGAGATGAATGTAGGTATTTGGTTTAGGAATTAAGCTCTGGTTTTGCCATATACATAAGGAATGCTTGTTGATGGCTCGTGGCAATTACGAAACGCGTTTGAAGAAGGTGCGGAAACACCTGTAGCAGCTATTTGTTGTAAATCACAAAATATTCGAAACCAAACCCACCGGGCGTCCATGCTAGTGATAGTGAGGTCCATTTTGTGCTTTGTTTTAAAGGAGGTCTCGCGCTGAGACCCATCCAGACTGGGCAAAGAGCCGAGGGGACTGCAGACTCCGAAGAGGCCAAAGGAGGAAGGGCAGATGGAGGCGACGGACGAGGAGATGGGGCATGCGGTGGGTGCCATCCCATGACCTTCAACTGTCACACTCTGTCTACCCTGCCTGCCAGCTCCCTCCTGCACACCTTCCCCTTTACGTGAGGGAGACGAAGTGAGCTGAAAGTTTCTTGTGTGACCGTGGAGAAACTGAAGGCGACCGCTTATTTCTAGCGTCTTTAAGGAAACAGTTAAAATCAAAGCATGCGAAAACCGGTAATAACTGGGAGAATTCATTTAAAACAGCGACGACTTTTAGTATCTTGTTGGTTGTCATAGCAGTTACTATATATATACGCATTTTCAACTTAAAAATATTCATTAGCACCAAGAGCAACTTATAGACTTACGATAAAGCCGGAAGTGTTGTCGAGTAGACAGCGGAAGCGAACGGTGAAACATCGCTGGAGGAGATGACTGTAAGCTACGATTTTAAAAGTATATAACTTTATTTCGGGAAAATAACACATCATTTTGGGAAAAAAAGACTGAATATTAGCAAATGGCACAAATCAATATGGATTTAGTAAACAAAATAAAGGCTTTTTAGTGCCAGAACACTCACAAATGGTCTATTCAGTTTTAAATAAGGAAATTGGATAGCTCAACTGCATGGTTGAAAGTGTCCACCAAAAGATCATAACTTTAGTCATGTATCAATTAGATTTATGTCTCATTTCATCCCGTCTGCACTTCCTACGTATTATCCCAGAAACCATCTTCAATATTTTATTTTTCAAGTCGTTTATCACATTAAAAAGATTGTACCGCACATTCCCTAAATTCTTCAAAATATCTTTTTGCATTTGTGCTTACGCTTGTGCATTGAAAACCCTTGACAATCACTGAAAATGACAGTGCCAACACGAGAAATCGAAATTGATGATGCTTACAATTACTTAAATTCACTGATACTTTATCCATGAGGAGAAAATAGTCTCACATCAAACAAAATAATGCCCCTCCGCCTCATAAGCACAGAATTTTGCAAGGATTCCAATTTAAAATGGCAACTGCATCGACTCATTTTGCTGGGTTCCTTAAGTTTAAGCAATTATCTGTTGGCGTCGGGGTCACTTCCCCACTACATACTTAGGCCTTAAGTGGAGGCATGGCTATTTTTACCTCTGCACGGGAACGAAAACGCACTCTACTCCAGCAAGTCCATTAAGACCAGAAATGCCTAGGTTACAAGAGAGCTCTCGCATACAACTCCCCTCCCGCCTTGGTCAACGCCTAAAAGCAACCGGGACTAAAATGCTATCAGGTGGTGAATCAGTAGGGCAATTTAATTGAAGATAGCAAATGGTAGCTCAGTGCTACTAGTCAAAATGCTGTGTTTAACAATGCATTTAGACATGATAATGCTTCCCCAAGGTCTCATGCACAAGGCCATCCCGCTAACAGAGAGCAAGTTATGTTGGCCAGGTTGTAGTCCACTAAAGTGTGTTATAAATTTCCAAGCAATGAGATAATGCAGATGAGTAGTGCAAGATACCTGGTGAAAGCACTTCTTGGAGGGTGAGATTGCGATGTTCGGGAGGAAGCATCGCTTGCCAGGATAGTTGCCGGTGGAATTCGTCCCTATCTTCGGAGTGTATCAGTTCCATCACACTCTGGTGCAGGATGTCAGACTGAAATTCGGAATATCTTGACAATAGCGTTGTTATACCAAAATGCGCTTTTCCATATAGATTAAGAGTTCACGAAAACCTAGAATTGATAATTGTAACCTAATGCGCTTTTACTCGCATTTTTGCCTTTACAGTGACATTGGTCATCATGATACTGTGAATTAAGAGTTAATTCAGACTTAGGAATTGGTCAATAAATAATCTCATCCATAAAGAGTCTATGAATGAATCCCAGTTTTCCTAATTATTGAATCACAACTTATGAAACAATTTGTTTCAAAACTTATCGCTTGTTCGCAGTTTCCTGATTGCGTTAATTTTTCGGGTTTCTTTTTATAAATTTGAAACATTTGAATGCAAATGAGATTTTTGATATCTCTACCATTTGCCCACAAACGAATGCAAAAGACCCCACCATGCCTTTCACACATTCAGCTTTCAATTTGGAACACGCAAGTTGTGGGCCAAAGTGCAAGTTAGGCGACACTGTAGCTTGTCAAATTGTCCGCTTTTGCAGCCCAAGGCGAATGCAGACACTTTTGAGTCATAAATTCGCCCCCGCCACACTGACCAGAAATAGTTTTACAGGCGGTTGGTAGCTCCACCTGAGTGAGTTTCCCTTCCATAAAATAAATACAACGTTCCACATTCACCCCCGCCGCCCCTCCCCCGCTCTTGCAAGTTCTTGAAGACCCCTTCTTCTTGACATGAATCATTGTTGCATTAATGGCGCATTTTGCACGCCTGTGGCCTTTGCAATTGTGTTAAGGCATTCATCCCACTTATCTGATTTAAGATGAGAGAGATGCAATGCCGACTATCTGTACGAAAAATTCCTCTATCTCAGCAAGTTAAAATGGAAGTTGGGCGTGGCAAGAAGTTTATGCCTCCACCTTTCAAGCTGTACATTTAAAGTGCCGACAATTTAAAAACGGGATCGGGATATGCACTAGAGCCCTTACTACAACCTGGAGTTATCCATTTATTTTAGTAAAGAATGCATCTAAGTCACGTGGTCGCATTCCCTTTCTACACCTGGTGTTAAGTAAAGCACAAAATTTGTTTACGATATTTACTTTTGAATTCATACGCAACCCTGAAGTAGATTTCGGGTATAGGTAGTAGTCGTCATTGTGCAGAACATTAACGGTTTATTATTGCATAAAATACGGTCGGTTTCAATAACTTCTCTCGAGCGACGTGGCTGACCGCCATGAAGACATTGCGTGACAGTGCTAATTGGGGTAATGTCTATCAACCATGTAAATTTCCTCCTTCTGCACGCAACACAAATTAACTACACTACAGATAACCAGCTTTCCCTTTAAAAGTTACATCGGCGGATACAAACCAAACACTTTCCGAACTCACTACTGTGTTACAAGTAAATATCATTTATGTTATTTTGTTTATTTTATTTCGTCTTGGTGATCCAACAACTCTAATCACCGTTTGCAACCCGACTTATTCGAACCAATTTATATTTTACAAATGAAGAGCGGAATTTACGTTTGTTATTCCAATTTTTTTTTATGTCGACGCCACCCCTTTTAAAATAAGGCAGAGTGGTAAGGGTACACAAAGAACGGCGGAGACACTATGCCACTCCAAGAATTTTCATTAACGCTCCCGCCAGAAGTTACGGAGAGGGGTAAATAGCTTACGCTTCATATTTAAGAAGGAAGTGCCTTCACTGTTCTGATTTACTATTGCGGCTGGAGAACATCAGATTGATTAGAAATTTGAGAAAATAAGTAGTGTGGTGAGTAGTGTTAATTATTGGCGATTTCCCTTCCAAAAGAAATTCTTAGTTTTACTGCACTACGACAAGCAAAATATAGGGCATATATGGAAAATTTCTCTAAAATTCTGCTTAGCAATCGCAGTAATGTTCATTGCAGCAGAAAGAATTTCTTGGAATAAACAGGAATAATCTTAAATGAATAGACCAGTAAACCGTTATATGGAACCAATTCCAGTAATTTTACGATCCTATTAACTATTTTTGGAATTAGAAATGAAGGGAAGGCCTTTCGGCTGTGGTCGTCAGTATGAGAGCTGGCGCCGCAGTCGGACATGTGACATCTGGGAGAAGGGATTGGATTGTGTAGATTTTAGGGGGTGGAGGTCGTAGGGTGAGGGGTCCCATCCCTTCCCAGTTGGAGCAGTTGTGCGAATAGCCTTTGAACCTTTCATTAATCAAGTCGCAAGAATCTATTCAGACACGAGACGACATGTGGTCTCCTATGGCCTACTCTCATCGTGAGGGATACAAATAGTTTAAGGGAGAATCAGTCAGGTGTCAACGTTTGAATGTTTGCTATTTCGCATGGTAATGCAATCTATAACTTTTACTTTGAGAGATTTTTCTCATGCGTCAAGTAAATTGATAAAATAAAATCCATTTTTTATTCGATAAAAGTGGTTTACAACTTTTCGTAGTGGGTTAAATAAGTCTCATTTGATGTCACTTAATGTACTACAAGAGCATCGCTTGTTAAATTTAAAAAAAAGACTTCCTCTAAACTTAAAAAATTCTATGACCATTATCGAAATGAGTAAAAAAACAAATCGGCTGTAGTACCTGATGAAACCCCAAGTAGTGTTCCACAGTCTTGCACACCGAGAAGACTTCGCCATCACAAGAGACGATGAAAATGAATCCGTTTAATGCCTTCAAAATAAAAATACAAAGTATTATTAAATAATTTTTAAAACTAACCATGATAATATGCATTATTTTTTTGAACTTTACTCTATGCACATTTTGAGGATTCTCACATATTCACAGATAGCGACACTGGGATTCCTCATAAATGCAAAATTATGTTCACTTTATTGTTCTTGGTTGATACTATCGCTCAAGGTAATGATATATATGCCTTCCCTTACATTTATGCACAAGTCTATCTTTTTAATTGTCCATCATTAAAAATTCATAACAGTGCACATACCTGCAAACTGGCCTCGCCTTCCATTTGCACGATGTCAAGTGGACAGTGGTAGAGATGAGACACCAGTCGGTGCTGCTCTAGCATCGGGTGATCGTAGCTGAGTGCTTTTCATGGCCAGATAAACAAACGTTCAATGAAACACCGTGCTCAAAAGAAAGTAGGCTAACGTTAATAACTAATATTATATTTAAAACAGACGCTCAGTACCTAAATGATTCTTACCAACCTCCTCAGTGGTCTCCTCGAAAGCAGTGTTTTCAGGTTTGGAGTAGTATTTAGGCCGGTTGTAATGGGTTCCATAGATCTATAGCTGTTTTATTTGATTGTAACACCCAATTTTGATTAAAAGAGTAATGACTGACAAACACTTTAATAACCTGTGCTATTCATTTTATTGAGATCCCTTAAGCACTGCTAAATGCGCGAAAAGGCGGAATTTGCGGCACATGTTGACTACTTCCATGACTTTTGTCAGCCAGACCAGCTGTTCTCAACTCTCGGGTCCGCCCTCCTCCCCTCTCCCACAGCCTATTGCAATTCTCACCAAAGTCCGCATTTTGCCACTATCACCACCACTGACTCCACTGCTGCTGATTCTATTGCCATCTGTCTCTTACACACACACACACACGTACACGCACACTTGACCAAACCACCTTCACTCCACCACACCCTTTTCCTAGTGCCTCGAAGCGAATCCGGTGGATTCGGGTCCACATGACCACGCGTTTGTTATCACTGCATCTTTTGGCTGCAGGGTGGGAGAGAGAGGGAGGGGGAATATTGTCGTTCGCTCAGTTTGCATGTGGTTGGCGCGGCTGCGCGAGGGAGGGGAATGAGGGCGAGATGGGGAAGAGGTGAAAGCAACGGTTCAGGCAGTCCGTCTCGCCACCGCCATCCCCCTTCGAATAAACTGGCTTCTCGAAACGAAATATGGCACGCACGCAATGCTGCCACAACTGCTTTTGCTGTTGCTGCTTCTGCTGATTTATAGAGGGGCGCTTTTTGTGCTGGTGCGTGAAGAAGAGGAGGAGGAGGAGGAGGAAAAGAAGGGGAAGTGGGTAAACTCGAAAGCTATTGATTAAACTCACCACCGATGATTCAACAGTCAGACAGTAAATTAAATTAAAAATGTTTTATATATTTCGAATAGTATTATCGAAGAGGACTTATTAAATAAGCATTGTATGAGACCCAGGTGTTTAAATTTCTAACGTTACGATTTATTTTTATTTAACTATTAAAAGCGCCTGAAAAGAATTTAAAACTACTGCAGAATTCTGAGGGCAGGGAGTAAAAGGTATTATGAGGCTCTTCAGGCTCTTTTTTATAGACAAATATTGTATCAAATGCAATCAAAAATAGCAGGGTAACTACAAGTTAATGAACCTCTAAAAAGGCGATTACTTTCCAATTTTTTTACAAAGTCCTTTGAAGTGAAAGAGTCTTAGCTATTTGTGCTGCGTAAATTATTGCCAATGCATCAAGATAGCGGACGTCTTAGGAGGGACTGGAAATTCGAATAACCACTCAACCTGCTTCTTGGTGGACAGGTGAACTGCGACTCTTCGCAGTATTCACAAAGGTAGTTCCTCTCCCGTCTACATAATTTGCATAAATGCCGACATTGAACCAAGAAATGTAAGACAGGTGGTTTTCACTTAGCAAGACCATTTCTTTGTGTCCTCCTGATTTAAACTAACTAAAAATCTTTTACTAGCGTTTTTCGGAATCGTTACCTCTATTTTTAAGTTCACTCATCTTATTACGTTTCCTAAAATGCAAAACTAGATTACTGCCTTAAAAATATGCTGTCCCTAGTGGCCAAAACAATAAAATGGCTAAATTGGTTCTTCGAAATGCTTTTTGAATGGTAGGCCCTATGCACGTCTCCTCCGAAAAAGTAAAGTCGTTTTCAAACAGGCGAAAAGTACCTTGAAAGTAGCCTTTCATCCTCAGGTAAGAGACAGCGAGTCGTAGAATAGAGAGTTTGTCTAGCTTCGCAATGACTGATTGCTCAAAGGGGAGAAGACTGGCTAGGTGCTCCAGTTCAGCATTCAAACGTTCTCTATGTCGCTTGCTGGGATTCGACTTCGTGTTGCCCGTTCCACACTCCACTTTGTAGCCAACTTCTGTAAGTTGATTGGTTACCCTGAAGAGTCATACAGCTTTTATACTCCATTGTGTTACTTCTCAAAAATGCAAAATGCATCAGAAGCTGTTGTAACATATCGCTCAACCGATATTTTAAAACGAGTTTTGTGGTTCCGGTAGTTTGTAAATGTAAAGAATGCGAATCCGCCGACGCCAAGGAGTCCTTAACCTACTGGAATGAATGTAACATCAGCTCCACGCATGGATTTCAAATTTATATGTTTATGTGTCCAACCTAAATAAGTTTGAGTCCTCTAAGTATAGACTCCACTTCCTAAATTATTCACCGCTTCCAGAACAAATTGGTCATGGCTTCACCAGTCTTCCCTTCTCCTCCTCCTTCGCATCTCTCCCTCTTGCCCTGCCCACCCATTCAAGTGAGTTAGATGGCTGTAGACTCGCTGAATTATTGATGTTTATAGTCACGTACAGCAGAGTTGAAGTTGATAGCATTTAATATGCGTGCGTTGTTTTCGGGGGTTGCAGTTAAGATGGGGGAGGGGCGGGTCGGTTTGGATTTATTCCAATTTTTTTCATTCTGTTTGCATATATTAGTAGGACGCGTCTTTTGACAAATTGTTTGGTGTAGAAACCAAACACGATGCTTAACTTAATCGACTTGCTGGGACGTAACGAGTTTGATTAATATTCATGGCTGCTAACAATAGGGAAGTTGATGCAGTATTTCTTGATTTAAATAATCTTGCAAATAATTTAAATTTCGAGAGCAACTTTCATTTTATTTAGCCTTAAATATGCCCATTCCTCCATAAACGCTTCTTTAAACATTTTAAAATGTAAAACGATGATGTATGGGTAAGTGTTTGAAATACCCTAGGTGGGCACAAATGTTACGGTTTGTGAAGTCACTTTGGTTACACATTCAGTCCTACCACCTATAGGTACTTGAAAGCACTATAATATAGCGTTTGGAACGTACAGGCGACCGCAATTTTTCTGGTGACTCACAGCTTTCCAATTGAATTGCAGGGCACGTGGAGGTACTACTACTGATGACGGCAGGGGCCAAACGTCGTCTGGTCAAAAGGTTAACCTTAGGTTTTGGTTAAAAACGGATTAACAGACGGTTTTCATACCACTTGTTGGTAATGCAACGAAAACAAATCACCTATTTGCATACACAGAGTTGGTCACTGCCCCAGTTTAATCAGTCATTATTAAGACTCGTTCATTCGCTTGACATTTATTACGGAGGACGACTAGTTTACAAAGAAAAGAAATAGTTTCTTAGCTAATCTGAAATGCAGAAGAGGTGAGAAAATCTTTGAATTTTTCGATCATGCCTTATACAGCACTTGAAAGTAGAAACTGGTAGTTACAAAATAAGACCAACCAAATCAAGATTTAGTGTACACTGGAAAAAGACAGATAGTAAAGGTTCCTTAAAAATAATGCATTTCTCCATAATTTTTGGAAAATATTTAACTAGAGCGTTTGTATATCCTTGGGAAATATGTGACACATGTCATATTTTTAAGTCGTTTTTTTGTGTTTTACTTTGCAAATATGGTGTGGATAAATGTGTGGTTAGTTTGCGGGAGAGCCGAAAAGCCTAAACAATGCCTACTGAATCACATTCATTGACCAACGGCCTGCCAATTAATGATGCTATCGCAAACCTCTGCCCCACCACCCTAATTCTCACGCCTATGTGTGTGTGGGGTGGGGCGATAGTATCGTATCCTTCTAGACTTGATTACGGCTCACTCTTAAACAGCCCCTTCCCTCTCTCCCCTCTTCTCCTCTCCACCCCGAATAGATGATAACATCAGCAACCGCTGCAGGAGCAGTAGTTGTGGTAGTAGCCATCTCTGGTCTTCCTGTAAGTGACATCCAAAAGGGGAAGAAGAATGACCTCTACTTGCTTGGAGGCCACTCATTTGATTATCATTTTGCAGTTTTCGTCCCCAAGCCAATGTTCCTTTATGGATGGCTTAGTAGCAAGCATTAAATTTTTTGCTCTTATCCACAGAAATGACCCCGTCACATTTTCAACGGAGGCACTTTGGCCAGTGCCAAAAATCATACAGATCAGCCAAACTCAGTTTTTAGTAAAGTGATCATGATCGAGTTTCTTATTTAAAACTTCTGTTTCCTCTAAAGTTTTTCAGTTAAAAAAGCCCAAAACCGTTGTTTTTAAAGAATTATAAAATTTGAAAATGCAAGTGTGGGGAACAAGTTTAGTGATATCTTTAAAAAACTGTTAACGTAAAAGCAAACTCACATTTTGGTATTCTTCCGCCGGCGTTTGGTGGCATACATGGTTTTGATAACCCAATCATCAACCATATTGACAGTTCTGATGACAATGTTCGTGCCGATATATACTAAGTCCCTTTTAGCAACTAGAAAGTGGGCTCGTAGCTTCTACGCCTGTTTCTCTTCTGGTCGATTGTATAGCCTTAATGCACGCAAAATTGCCGTCTAGCCTCTCTTGATTGGTTACCGCTGCCCGATGTTTCGGCCGGACTCACCCCTACTCAAAAGCTTACATCCCATTGGCTGATTGGCATCGCGTGTCGCGTAGGTCGCCGTAATGTGACTTTGCTGCCCTTTCACCTGTTGATTATCAGTATTAAGGAAAGGAGGTCAATCAGAGTGCCTAAACGTAGCCCTTTAAATTATTTACTATCAAAACAGCTCCGCTATTATCGTATTTTATTGGCTCAAGTTTATTAAAAATGTGCAAGGCTCTCTACCGCTAATTTTGTGATGCAAGGTGCACATACTACAAATAGATAAATTGGAAATAAAGATAAGATTTACTGGCGAGTCCGTTTGTTTTAAAAATTTGAATAGGAGGTTGCCTAGGTTACAAAGTGATCATGAAAATTATCATCTAAACATCTAGATAATTGGTCTGATTATTTTACTTGCATTGAAGGGCCAATAGAATACAACGCTTATAAGATCCTACTTTACCACTAAAATATCATTATAATGTCTACATAGAGCTCCATTATTTACACCCTATATGCAGGAATTGCACATTTTATAAAAGATTTTTTGGATACTCAGAGCCTAAAGCCATAAAAGGCTAACGATACATTTAATTCTACTAGCAATACGCTTATTCAACTTGTTAAACAGTTCTACTTCACAAATGGTTAATGTGCATTGATCCCATTTTTACTAAGAACTTACGGCACTTGAATTAAATCATTTCCAAAGTTCAGCATCTTTGTGCATAAATAAAGTGGAAAGTTAGCTATGTGGAATGCATTCGTGCATGTTGGTTTTGAGGAGAGACGATACTTCTAATCGTTGTGTGTGCCGACTTGATACTGTCCCCCATGGGCAAAAGGTGACAGTGTCAGGAAGCAGACACAGACTTCAATGCATTCGCTCGTCACAGATCCTTCGCAGTCGGATTCTATTTAGTGAACTAAGAATCCTAATTGTACCTACTTTGTTTTTTGTATTAGTCAAAATTGTTTTACTGGTGACATCTAAGCAAATTTTCAAGCACAATAATTTGTCGCTTACCTATACTTACGCAGCACACATTCTTTGAAATCGCATTAGAGAATTTCTTTTGATTCCTATAAAAACGAAGATGACATCATTTGAATTTCTATGGTTGCATTAGGACCCTGTAATATGGTCTCACACAATCATCCAGGAAAGATAGGAGGGATGATTTCAATCTGGCCGGATCACCATAATTTTGGAACCACAGGTGCATTTGCCCTTGGGAACAAAAGAACCCATAATAAAATTAATGGAAGCGATGACTAGGGAGTTTAGAGTCAATTTGCTTTATTTTTTCTTCACTGCAGGGATTGCAGTGATGACTGTTTCATTCCCTCGCCTTTTATACTGCCAAACATTTGCGCATGATCAAGGGAGATGTTAAAGCTTTTGGATAAATCATGCTCGTGCTTTATATGGAAGGAGAAAGAAATGTAAAAAGTAACCATCACAATCACATTTAATTTATAACTAGTCTGTCAAATTTAATAGTTAAGCATCGTTAACCTGATCAGGCTGCAAAAGAAAATCCATGTAAGCTCGCATTTCTTAAACACCCGAATGATTTTTACAGAGCATCCAATTTTGATTAATTCCTGTGGCTTTTTAATTTTCAAATTTAACGTTCAAATACTTGAATCGATGAGCTGGAATATAAGGATATCGTTTAGACGCAGTCGTGGCTGCAATTAAAATGGTTGCTCTACGAGTTGACGTTAACTTTGAATGAATACCTCTGCTACCTGTGTAGCGCTTTTGTGCATGCAAGCCAACTCCGTGGTGTGGGGTGTTTATCACCAGTGGATTAATTCTGCTCGTTTGCGTGACTCGTCGTCTGGCGAGTTGAGTCGGAATGACGCCTAACTACGAAGCCGATCCTGTACCACCGCTACTTTAAAAGTCGGACATTTGGGTTGTTAGTGCTTTAAAGCGCCCTATTCTTGTAGGTCAGAGCTAAAATATCCTGCTCACTATAGGGCATATCAAAATTAGTAGAGTTGGCGATTTGACAACCTTGCTGAGCATGAATGTTTAGCTTATGCATATGCCTCCCTGAAATTGCAAAATGAAGTTGAGCGCATGCATAATGACTTTAAGCAAGACCAGTATGGTGGTAATACTGAGTTATTTTATCGTAAATTTAGGTCAAGACATCTCTGTGTTACCTACAGCTTCTCTGCCAAAAATAGGTTTTCTTCCTCAGTATTTTATGAGAAAAACCTTTGGAATAAGGTGCCACAGGACACAAGTTTCCTCTTCTCTTGGAACAATCATGCAAAAATATTTGTACCTGCGTATAACGCCTTTTTGTCTATGTGAAAATCTTAAAATAAAACTTGAATGACTTTCACAAGTTTGCAGATTTTGCTTTGTCGACGTGGTTAAAAAACGAAACTATTTAGAGATCAAATTTATGCAGGATTCACTTGAACATTCTGAGCTAGGATTACTCATTTAATAATTGAGTGTTATACTTATTCATCAATTTAAAGTAAGCAATACTTTATATGCACTTTGCACAGGACCTACTGTTTGCTTCCAGCGTCAAAGACCAACTGAGATAAATGCCTTACAGCCATTTGTGAATCCTGCACAACTCACTCACACTTTGCCTACAAAGTTTGTTAAAAAAATAGGACCACACTCAATCGGAATTGCGTGAATGATACTTTGAACCTGCGGTTACGCATTAATACAGACCATTTACCATAAAAACCATCAAAGGACAACTTCCGGTCATCCAAATAAGTCATTATTTTAAGAAGCCTAATTCAATTGGGCCTGAACGAAAGTAAATAAGCCACCTGGACGAGAGAACACTGCAGCGCTGGAGTCGGGGGGGGGAGGTTGTAAGGAGTGCGACGCTATACTTCCTTCCCTTCCTCTCCCCCATTCCCCCACCAATTCCCTATTCATTAAGTGTCAACATTCATATCGCACGCTATTCACAATGCTTTGCCATTTTTGCATCCAGTCATTCAACTTTGCATGCTGTCCATTCAACATGCATTGGGAAGTCTAATTGGATAGTTTATAGCCGGTTATATAAGAGTGATTACATTTTCGAACCATTTGACAAAAGCATACTTGACGAAGGAAGATAATGGACGGATTTGACGTTGGTAGTTTTTAGGCACTGACAAGAAGAAAATTGCCACTAGTACACAATCTACTTAAATAAATGGGAAAATTCTTCGAATTATAATTCCAGCGTGGAAAGGATTGCCACAAAATCTTCCTCCTCGTAGTGAGTAAAGCTTTCTTTATTGAGCAACACCACTGCATCATCTTTTAACTTCCTCAGATACTCAGGTTCTACTGTAATACGTTGGTTGTTCGTTTAACTCTTAATGTTGGTAAAGGGGCCAATTAGTTGCTCGCCATTGTACCTTCACGGGATGGGCTGGCCTATGGACGATGTTAGTAGCCCCATGCCCCAATGTATGTCGAATATACACGTATTCTGCCCGAGTAATATGTCTCCTCCAGTGTTCGAAGAAAGTCTCCAAAGGCTGCACCACTGCCTGACATTATTTGTTAGTAGCGTCATACTTTTTACCGCTGGAGAAAATAAGCAATACGCGTTATCTGCTATTTGCATTGAGAATATAAACTGAAGAATTTAAATTGTAAAGCGAATTTACAAGGCAGAGAATAGGTGAGAAGAAGGAATTTTATGGGTTTATGTACGCTATTACTTATTAACCAAACTCTGATACTTTCGCTATCAGTAGCATGTTTAGGGCAGATTGTACCTATTTTTAGGACCATCGAAGGAAGCTGCGTATAGACCATCCCAACCACTGCGAATCACTTTCGTACTGCGCCAAATTGAAAATTATTATTCCTAACTAAAGGAACAAGTGGTACAGAAAGTAGTGGTCCGAAAGGTCTTCACATTTTATGTCAATCTAAATAAATAAATTAGTGTACCTGTACATATGGTACCAGTAAATCATGTCCAATTATGAGAGCAAAGTTAGATTGAGATGTCAGCAATGAAGTGTGAAAAGGACAGCGTTAAAATGACATGTTAAAGTGACGGATTATTATAAAGAACTGCGGATAAAATGACAATGAAACCGAAAGAAAAGACATTCCTCTAATTCATTATATCTAGAAACGAGCACCTGCACTGAAGACATGTTGCAGTGAACTGAAACCTTGTTCAACTGTATACCAGACGATGGAGAGCCTTCAGCCGCCGTGATTTGTACCTTCGTACTGTAGCACGAACATTGCTTCATACTACTACTATTCCTGTTCTTCTATACGCCAACAATATATGTTCTTCCACACTACTTCGACTTAATACATCATAGCGAGCCCAGTGGGAAAAATAATCCCCGTGATCAGGGGTATAGTTGCAGAAGGGGTTGGTTACTGACATATTCGTCTAAAAAAAACAAGTGACGACGTGATTCAGCTAGAAGTTGTAGTGTATTATGAGGCGATTTGTACATGAAACAGCCACTTCAATAAGCCCCCATCTTAGGAGTGATTTTTAAAAATCGCCTAAGAGGATACGATACAAGACAAATAACAAAACGTAAGAAGATTAAAGCATCTGTAGTGTCACTTTATGCAATCGACGTAGCTCTAACGAATTAAACACTTCTGTAATGGGGCAATTGTTTGTTTAACCCTCGATTTTGGCAATGGACCAATCAGGAGACGCTACGCTTGTACGTTCGCTAAGCGGCCTGGCCTTGGGTAATGCTTGTAACCCCAATTTTTTTCCTGTATTTCAGCAGTACATATTCTGTTTGAGTGGTTTGTCTTCTTTCATTTTCATGGAGTTCTCAAAGATCCAAATTTCTGTGCTGAGAACTATAAGATCACTGAGTTTAAAAGAACTAGAACCATAAGACTGTTATGAACAGAAAAGTTGGCTAAAGTACAGAATACCCACGTTTTCGGAGAAAGATTTCCGCTGTAGTGGGCATTTTAAATTCCCAAATGAGAATTTCGATACCACATCTAAGGAAAAAAAACACCTAAGCTGACTGAACCACAAGCGTCTATAAAATAAAGCATATCTCGAAAATACATTTCTTCGCCTTCCTGCCATAGGGTATCCCTAAAATTAGTAGACTAATTTACCAAAAAAAAAACAAGAAGCCTGAACCTAGAACATTTTTGCTATACGAATAGATTAGGATAGGTTTTTGGATAGCTTACTTCAATTTTCACCCGTAAAATGTCAATCTAAACGACGATAATTCCTGTAAGACGAAAAGTAAATTCGGAGGTGAAAAATACATTTGAGCAATGTTTTTACTAGTCTGGTTTCAAGGCAAAGCTTTTAAGTCTCAGAGGTTGTAGTATTGTAGCCGATGGGAGACATGCTAAAGATAATTCGAGAGGTTATTCCCCCATTAAATAATGCCCTGCATAAAGGGCAGATGGGTCGTATAGGTGTTGTTGGTGGATCGAAAGAGTACTGAACCTCCTCTATTAAGTCTGTTAATTGTAGATATACAGGCGCGCCTTATTTCGCTGCAATTACAGCTCTCTCTTGTGTACGTTATCTCTTGCAAACGTGGAACTCTATAGGGAGCTGATTTGGTGCATGTGATTTGTGCAGCCTCTGCTGCCCAAGCTATCAAGTGCTACAGTCCTGAACTCATAGTGCATCCAACTTTGTATGTATAGTTAACCACATAATCCCAACTCTTTATAGAGACAATGATCTCACGGAGTCAGAAAAGTGGGCCTCTAAAATGCACTCGCTAGTAATTGGGCCTGGGCTTGGTGTGTCCGAAAATATGCTGAACACAATAGAGGTATTTTTGTGTTTTTAATTTTATTCGACCCTAGATAATGAAGGAATGTCGCATTGCACGAAAACCCATGGTCATAGATGCCGACGGTATATTTGTCGTTGCTAAGAACAGGGAATTAGTTTCTGGATATAAAAGCGTCATTCTAACTCCCAACGTTAACGAGTTTTCTCTTCTGTATAAGACGATCTTTGGTATGCAATGGCCTCCAGTAAATTATGTTTCTAAGGCACAGGACCTTCTGATGACCCACAGGAAACGTCTAAATTAGCAGCTGCCTTGGGGAACCTTACTATCATCCGAAAAGGACCGAAAGATATCATATCGGATGGAGAAAATCGTATGCTTTATTTTAGTTAATATGTTCTGAAGTGTGCATATTGTTTAATGGAGCAAGACTGACTAGAGAAAGTGCTGAAACTTATGTACTGCTATCGAGTATCCGTTTGCGTTTTACCTTGCAGTACTCTTCTGTGATATGGAAGGCTCTCCGAGGCGATGCGGGGGACAGGGAGATCTCCTCTCTGGTGCCGCTGCAGTCTTCTCTCATTGGTTATCGGAAAAACCTCTGGTGTGCTCGTAAGCGTAGATTACGTTGTTAAATCTCTCCAGATTGTCAAACGTGGCTCGCATTTCTGATATTTCACAGCGTAATTTATCGTTGTACACATGCGTTAGTGTTTCATTTGTTTAGACCTTCAGGCACAGTGGTCTCTGGTCTTGCCGCCTGTATGTTGGCGCGGCGATGTGCTGGACGTGCGTTCTCCAAGTACGGTCGTAGCACGGTGACGACGAAGATGATCGATGAAATTGCGACGGCGTTCGATGAGTTGTTTGGGACCTAATATTCAAGATGACATTATTTACGATTTTCTAATTTAATTCTTGTCGTCTGCACTCACTATAAAGTATCCCAATTTTCTTTGATTTCTCATGGCATTTCTTATGCTCTGTTCATTGTACGCCGATATATTCCGTTGCTTCAGTTTTAGCTACTGTTTGTGGGGGTCGCGACTTGTGCAGGTTGCCAAAAGTTAACTCGATTTTCGCGCTGGGGACTTCAGTGAAATTACTCATTATAATGGGACATGTGGTTACGTAAACCCCTCGGTTTTTGTAGTTTGCTCACCGTCCACTTACGTTAATGCCCTTCTAGCCCATTTGTATGTCAGTGATCAACGTCATTACGATACGAGTATGTCACAATTTAATCGGTTTGTTGCGAGTCCTGCGGTTAACCAACCGTCTACATGATACTTGACTTTCAGGGCGGGAGGGCGCATATGGGAGAGCCCGAGACGACACTAAGATAAGAAGCTGCGGCAGCGGTATGCCCATGGGAGCCTTTTTAATCTCATGGCCCGGGTTGAACAGTAGTGCAAAGCTGTGCACTTCGCCTCAGCGGCCACGACATCCGGCTAAACTAGGGGTGTGAACTCATTGTGGGCACTTTTGTCGTTAACTCCAAAATAAGGGAGGAGTTGGAGCCCAGGGCTTAACACTTGGGAGGAATTTGACACCCATCTTTGTGACAGCGCTCGACCTACGCTCACAGTCAATAATTCCCTCCCTACCCCGAAGATATTTGTTTGTTCGTGATAATATATCCAATATATCCAATGCTTCAATGCGCTAATTGATAGCTACGGTTTACTCATGAATCTGTATGAGGGCCATTGCCGCAGAGGGGAAGAAGAGTCAGTTCAGGCTTAAGCGCATGGGTAATCAAACGCAGAGGTGAACGAACTATCAAAACACTGCATTAATAATAAACCTACCTTTGAAAGGACAAGGAAGATTACGCCTTTCCTTCGTTTGTAAACGATGTCTTAGAATAAAGTCTACATGATGATATCAGAGAACTCAAGGGCTAACAAGCCCTTGAGCTAGACACAAAATTGATTTTAGAAATTTGAGAAGTAAAAACTTGTCTATTTTTCCCAGGTCTTCAAGACTAATGCCTTATATCAATAAATTTCTTTACCATTAGCCGAATATCAACGATTTATTTCCAAATATTCTACGGTTTTTTCACATTGATGACTTAAAGTCAAAAATGGCAAAAGCCTAACTTTTATTAGTTTGGTCATTTGATGAACAGCGTGGGACGCCTTACTGGTTGAACTCATTGTGTTCAATGTCTTCTAGGTCGTGTCGTAATGTCGAGCTACATGGATGACTTGTGTGACGACTATGAGGAAATTTCGCTTGAGAATTGCTCTTACTCAGACAGAACTAAGGCACTTTGTCACAAGTATGAAAATATGATTGACTTCAGCATGATAAACCGCGACCAGATTCGCGACAAGGGTGATAGAGCAACGACAGATCATGCTCTGGACAAGCGTTCAGTTGCCATTCTATATAAGATGATGAGTCAGGGCGAATTCGCTGTAATCAATGGGTGCATAAGTACTGGTAAGTGATAGGTCATTACCCTATTCTCATGATTGTAATGGTGGGTAAGAGAAATATCCATTACATTTTTTCAGTGCTCACCTCGTAGAGCCTGTCACTTTGACTTATGCGGTCGGTATTTGCTGCAATAGGTCCTCCTTTTTAAAGCCAGCTTGGTGAAATCCGTCCTGAAATTTCTCAGATCTGTAGGTAAACAGAGTTCAAGTGACTCCTTCTGAAAATGGTTAATCAAAATTTGCGACTGGTTTGTTTCAGGCAAAGAAGCCAATGTATACCATGCAATTGGTTCGAAGAGCGATCTAGCGATTAAGGTGTACATGACTTCAATTCTTCCCTTCAAATCTCGGAGCAAATATGTAGAGGGGGACTTTCGCATGCGTCATGGTTACTCCACCTGCAGCTCCTGGAGGCTTGTTTCTAAATGGGCCGAAAAGGAGTATCGGAATCTTATCCGGATTAACAAGGCTGGCAGCATACCTACTCCACTGCCTATCAAACTGAAAGGCGTCGTTCTTCTTATGACTCTTATAGGGAAAAATGGGTATCCTGCGCCAAAACTCAAGGACGTTGCGTCCGGTGACTGGCCTGAATTTGGCCCCCCTCCTGATTGGTCTGCAATCTATCGACAAATTCTCCAGAATGTACGAACTCTCTTCCAAAAATGTCGTCTTGTCCATGCCGACCTCAGTGAATACAACTTGCTCTACATGGATGGCCAGGCATGGCTCATTGACGTATCACAGGTACCGCCTCATTCATCACTTATTTAACTGGTCCTCTTGCAAGCCCTTTTGGTCAATTTGACTTTGTCAGAGCGTTAACAAGTGGATGCCATTTCAAAACAACACGTTATCGCGCGATTACTTTTCCTCATGTTTCAATGTGGCTGATGTGTAATCTTGTTTCTTTTCATATTTTCTCCCTTTTTTTTTCACCAGGCAGTAGAGCACGAATGCGAACAAGCACTTGAGTTCCTTCGAAAGGACTGCTACAACGTAAATGCTTTCTTTAGACGACAGGGTGTAAACACGCTAACGCTACGTGAGTTCTTCGAGTGGGTGGTGGATCCCACTCTTCCGCAGGAGGGGAAGGAGGCCTACGACTACTTGGATACTCTCCTCACGCGTGCACAAATGCGCGGATTTAACCAAACACTAGAAATAGAGGATGACGCCTTCCGACGTGTCTACGTGGCTCGCAGGCTTGAAGATGTCAAAAGATTTTTTAGCGACTTTAAGCGACTCAAAATGGGCCTAATCAAACCAGAGGACCTCTACTATACTGCCGTCACTGGTGTGCGATCTGGACTTCCAGGTGAGTCACGGTGATGAAGCACTTAACCGTAAAATGCTGATGAAGTAGCACCTAGATAAGTACAATTTTTGGATCCAAAAAGTCAAAGATATCAAACAATCAGGACGCTCTTTTTGAGTGCATGATTGTTCAATTTGCTTAAGTTGCTCCTCCTTTTGTTTTAGGAGGTAAAAGGGTAGGGGAGATCGTGAGTGAGGAGAATGAAGACAGTGAGCAGGAATGTAAGGATAAGATGGCGATGGAGTTGGAGGAAGAAGGCGAAGGTGGGAGAGGTGGCAGCGGAGATGAAGGGAGGAGGGTCTCCTCGCATAACTCCAGCCGGCGTCCACGTGACGAGTCTCTGGAGAGTAAACGCTCTCGCAAAAAAGCTGTTCAAGCTGCAAAGGCTCAGAAGAGGCTGACAAAAATCCCCAAGCACGTAAAGAAACGTGCTAGAAAGACAAAATCATAATTTCTTTTTTGCATCACCACGTCCTGTATATATACTTGTATATTAAAATATGAAGTTGAATGATTTTTTGGGGGAGTGGAGAGCTCTGCTCTACCGATTCCCAGTACAGGCATCATCATCAGTAGAGGATTTGCCCCATCAATTCTGCTTGCCAAGCTTTGTGAATCCCCAAAGATACTGTTTCGTTTCTAGGTGCAGTCCAACGCTATTACTGGTTGTACTGCTTGCGAAGTAAACATCCGCTCAGATGAGGCAGGTTTGGGAGGCGTCACTTCCTCCTTATTCTGATGCCATCTTTCAGTGACTTAATCTCCTCTACAGAAGGTGTCGTGATGACCAATGCAATTTCCATTCACTGCGTAGTTTTGCGCCATGTGCCGAAGCCACTTTACGAAGTGGTGGGGACTTATTCAGATTTGGCAATGACTGCTGGGTTTATGGGCCTTATTTGGGAAAGTAGGGGTGCTTAACGTATTTGGGTGCTTTTTTGTCTTAACAATGGTCTCGTATCCCGCGTAAACCATTTTTACGGCCTCTTTCTGGCTTTCTGGTAAGCACAGGGAATTGATAAGCGGTTTTACAGCCTTTCGAAACCACTTGGATTGCCTTGGGTCCTGTTTCAGACGTCGCGCAACTGGGGGTGCTATAGCCCATGTGTCAGATTTGTCTGCCGTCCTCTTAGCGACGGCATTTTTTAAGCATTCTTCCTCAGACTTATTGTCTCTACTGATATTGTGCTTTGCTCTGTCAGGAATTTTCAACAGTATTGTCATCAATGAGTCTCGAAAATCGGTCTCTGAAGCAGGCGTATGCTCTTCTGGGTTGAAGCTAAACGCAATGAATGATCGGTTAGACAAGGATTGCCTTTCGTTTTTACCTTCGGTTTTTGTTGAGTTCGAATCCTTAAATGCAACCTCAGTGTTGACTGTTTCGTGTTCTATACTACTGAGGAGTTCGACTCGGTCCAGCCACACGGCTTGCAAGTCCCACTGAGCCTTTAGTGCAACATCTTCTTGCGCAGCTTCATGCGCATCACCACGGCCGAGTTCAAACCGATCGAGAAGGTTGAGAAAGTGGAGTCGCGGACCAGGTAGGACCTTGTGTTTTGCTTGCAGATCACGGGGTATGATCTCCCAGAAGGACGTATGGTGTAGGTTGATGGTACGATTGAGTCGGTATATTCGATCCACTGACTCTTGTGTTCGATCCGGTGCCACCAGAAACATGAGTTCTAAGTTCCTCATATAGTCGGACATCGTGATCCAACCTGCACCCTCCCGCTGCAATATAACACGGGGATCATTGATCATGTAGGGCAAAATTTGCTCTTGAAAGGTCTCTACCCTTTCATCCCTACCATTTCGCTTACATTCTCGAGGTCCCAGTGCATTGCAAAACCTCGTATGCTTTTGTCTCATCTTCTCCAGCTTCTGAAAGACGAACTTGAGTGGTCGCAAAATTAGAGGCCAAAAATCAAGAAGACAATTGCGCACTTCAACCGAAGAGTTTACCAACTTATTGAAGATAGCGATTCCAGGACCTATTCCATTCCAGCTCTTACTAAACGGGTCAGCTCTTAGAAAGAGACGCCGCAGAGCGACAATGGCTCCACGTTGAAGGCTTTTAATAAGAAATTGTGTCCTTGCATGGGAGATAATATCCATCGCTCCCATAAATGCAACATTACCTCCCAATTTGCCGCGTTGGTGAATGATATCGATTAGTTGGCCGAGAGCTTGCGTGTCCTGGGGGATATTGACAGGATCTCGCCACTCCAGCCGACGATTCTCACTGACGCCTGCCGTATAGTCACTTTCAAAAGGGACTTGCAAGAGCATCTTTGATGATCCTTAGGAAATGCCAACCTCGCCGTGCCGTGACAATTTAGATGGCGGTGTATGAAGCAGAGGGAGGCTTTTAAAATGTATTGATTTTACCTTTTCAGTGAGCTTGCCAAGGACGCGGTATTGCAGTAGTAAAGAATTGAAGGCAGTGGTTCGATGATTTTCAGGAAGGATACTTCAAAGTAGTTGAATAAAGCACTTTAAAATCAGATCTAGTGGTACGGCAAAGGAGAACTCTTCAGGCTACTTACATTAGGTCATTCTTTGACTTTTAAATCATAATAGAAATAGTATGGATATTTAGGGTATAATGATAAGTTTAATTCAAAAGTATTTGTTTGTAGGTCGATAAGTCTTCACTAACTGCTTATTAGACAGTGATTTGACAATTTGCTAAACTGTGTGTTGAGCTACGAGGGCAGTTCAGCCTCCAAAGTTTGTGCTCCACTTAGGCATGGCCACCGGTCCATGCCGGTAGTCGCCGAATTCTTCTGTACATTTATCCTATATGGTTTTCTGCAGTACCTTGTATTGTTACGGCTTCGGGGAAGATTCGGGGCTCTACATTCGTGCCAGCGGCAAAAGAACCCAATCCACAAGTACAAATGCCTTGGTTTTAGGGCTGAATATAAAATTTAATTGGAAAAAAGAAGGACCTCTACCACGGATGTATGGATCCGTGAGGAATATAAGTGGAAAAGTTAAAAATGGTGTCTAATATTGCCACTTACTCTAATCACATCTTCTGCATGAAGGCTGATAGCAAATGAAGCTGTATCAGACTTAAACCGTTTGGAAAACCCATGCTGGAGTTGCCTTCGGTACCCATATGAAGGCATTAATTACATAAACAAGTGTTACTATATTTTTATTGCTGTCAGTTGAATGGACTCCAGATGGATGGCTGGGTGAAAGTGATATGAAAATAAAGCGATGAGGAAGAACAAATGGGACATGTTGGCGCCATGTTGAATGAAACGACTTTTATGCCTGGTTTCATGCTATTAGCGATTGGCATAAACGGGGCCTTCGTTGCAGGGCCTCATCCTGTCTTGGGCAGTATAGAGTCGCTGCATTTTCCTTTCGCAATACTATCAAAAGCAGGACGGAATGCCAGATGTTGTGGAATTGCCGAGACCCATCAGCGACGTTTGGACTAAAAGACTTTTCACACTCAAAAAATCGGAATAACTGGCGTATGTGACCTACTGTGTAACGCTTGCCCCTTAATTAAGTGTAATACGATGGTAGTTCATCCCTCAGTACTATAGAGCAGCCACTTTTGACTTGACTTTTTGTACCACACCAGGTGGACTGGTCCTCGGGCTACGCCAGTAGCCCAAATGCCTTCTCATTTGCCAAATATGTATATTCTGCCCAAGTATTATGTTTCCTTCCGTCTACAGGGAAGTCTCAGGACGCTATATATATGCTCTTATTTGACAAAATAAATGGAAAAAATTATCCAGAAGGACTTAGAAATGCCCATTTTACTCTAAAACTGAGAACTGCGAACACCTGGACGTTTTTTTACCATATAGAGGTGGAGATATTCCATGACACTATGTACAGTATGGTAGATTAAATGGTTGGATTGACTAGATGTTATTCTTAAAAGATTTTGGAAACCCATGAAATCCAAACATCTTTCCTAGTGTTTTAAATAGAATATAGCAGATCTACTTTAACATATAGTTGAAACAGACCAAATACTTCTTTATTGGAGTTACGTTAATACAATATATGGGCTTTTTTAGGCGTGGAAGTATAAATTCTACTTCACATAGCTAACTTTATCTTATAGAGCAATTGAGATAGATAGCAATATTTGAGCTGTATGATTCCGAGCATTGATTGGGTGATGTTTCAGCAAATTTCCCTTTACTCGAAGCGAAGGTCATTTTTTAACTGATAGCAAATTTTGTTGTTGGGGTGACTGCAGATAGCTCTAGGCATGGGCGGATCTAAGCCGCAGGACCTAGAAGGCTTGTTCACGAAAGTGGGGCAAGTTCTCCCTTTTATTATTGTCTAGACTTAAGTACCAAGGCAATGAGTGTGCAGATATTGCCACTTTTTCACTCCCTGCATCTGCGATTACTAGGGATTTGTGTCAAATCTATGGGACAAGCTGTTCTGTTGAAGCAGTTAGTCCTGATTCTCAATGTAACAAAACAGGTGACGCAAACTCTTCATATGTGGAGACCTTTTGTATGGAACTTTCTGATTTCTTACGTGAATATGGTAAGTGGTTGGGAATTCACTTTGACCTGGGGCTGTGATGAATAATGTAGGGCCTCTAAACCTTAGCGTGTATGTTAGGTTTGGGGTGTTTTTAACAATACTCGATGTTCTTGGGTGCATTTGCAGGCTTCTGTTTTCCTGTTTGCTATTATTTTAACATCTGTTGTTCTCATTATATTCGTAATTTTTTAAAGGATTTCCCTATATGCGTGTTATTGAGAGACCCATCAGTGAGCGGTTTGGTTCGCTGAATGATCGCGTTGTGACATTGAGTAAGTATATGCACGTTTCAAACCGTTTAAAATTGGTTTTAATCAGTCTTGGTGTCGTCATTTTCACCCTTTCAGGATTTCTTTGCGCAGAGCTTATAATTGCGCGTAAAGGCGGTCAAAAAGGCAAACAGAAATCCAATAGATCACAGATTACAGCCGACTTGACGGATTATCTAAAAAGGGCTTGTCTGGCTCTCAACTTACCCAGACCACCACCTGACATTGACGCCAGTAAACTTTTATCTTTGCTTCACAAGTCTGTGAGTTCTGTCAATTTTTTACATGCACTATCGCCTCTGTACAATTTTGCTTCATTAACTGACCCTTTTAACAAGGCAGTGTAGTTTGTGAGTCTGGATTTTTCGTCTTCATTGTAGCACGTTTGCTCTAGCCTTTCTTTTAAGAATTTCATTATGTAGAAGTAATTAATGCACATAAAATGTAGGGACAGAGCAAAAGCGTCTGCCGTTTTACTGACGAGACTTCACTTTCTTCGTCGTTTTACAAAACGTAGATGGATAGGAGCGATCTTTTTTGTGTACGTATTCAGGTAACTGGGTACTAGTGATTGCTGTTCGGTTATATTGAACTCTAGATTGGTGGAAACAATCCGTTTTTTATTGCAAATGATTTCTGCACTTTGTTGTTCAAATGCTTAAAATGAATAGGGGTACTTCTGACATTCTTCAATCGAATATAGGTGGGTCAGATCAATCAACGCCTTGATCATTCAGCCTTTTTTAATAATAAATCGTTGGTAGCCTGTAAGCCACTAATTCGAGATCACGGCTTTCCACTTTTTTTGCCACTCTATCCTTTTTTCAATCGTTGATGAATTTAACATGTAGTTTCAAATCGTACTTTTTTCAATGTACTTAATTTACTTGAGTACCACTTAGTCTAGTTTCTAAGGCGGTTTTTTGTGTTCGTCGTAAGCTGGAGGACTAGTATTTAATGCAAAAGATGGAGGACGCATATGCCCTAGTATTTCTGCCGTGCGCGAATTGTTTGTAAGGCCTCTTATATGCATATTTGGCATATCATGTTTGAATTTGTTATCATCACAATTTGTGTGCAAGTATACTACCTTCAATTCCTACTATGAAACTGCTTTTTACTCGGATTAACGTTGCCCGTCTCCTTTGCAGACGTAATAGTGGTGTGCTATATGATGCATGACCAGGTAATAACCGGAGCATAGGACTTACAAGAGGAAATATCGTTAGGTCATGATGTCTGTTAAACTAATATTTGTTAGTTAATTGCTTTGTTGACGTGTTTATTTGTGTCTGAACAAAATAAGGAAGCCTTACCCGTACTCCATAAATTGCAAGCTACAGATCATGTCTGCAAGGGTTATCGTATGTACAATTGGTAATTCTAACGATAAGATGACACCACATTCCGGTACCAGTTTATCTTTGCATGTGACAACGCTCGTTGTAAGCACAGTGTATAAAAAATAGCATGGAGCTGCAAACTAACTGTTTGGCTTTTCCAAATTCATCGGCGGGATGTCTTTAGAAATTAAGTCTAAAGTGCTCTATACGGTTTTGAACTGCGCTTTACTTCTATTGGCAGTGCTCCTGTTTTAAGCTCTAAATCCCCATATTTGAAAAAAGTGCTGCCCTCCGTGTAGCCTCTTCATTCATATCCTCTTAAGGGTATTTTTGCTTCATTTTAATCCTTCAAATTCTTTGAAGTGTCGTTGCGAAACCCGTGTCATCAAGTAGACCACGGTTTTTAAGTATTGGCAGATCTTGTTGCTTCGTGGCACCAGCACATCCTATTTTGGTCCAGTCACTTGCAGATTGTGTCCAAATTTTTGTCGTTTGTGCAAACTATGAGATTTAAACGATTACTAATTTTTGCCTTGAAAATAACATATACCTAACCCGAGAAATGAATGGCACTGTCTCTGAATAGACAGCCGTTCCACCTTTCACCGGTTTGAACGTTTTGTCGTTTAGGTCACAAAGGCTATTTCAAGCGCTCCACCCAACTATTTGGGTAAACCCATACTGCCACCTAAGGGGCTATCAGAGAAGCAGTGGTCAAACGTGTGTCGCATTGGGCAAATCCTTGACGCCGAGTACACCAGTCGACGTGAGACTCTTATTAAACGCGCCGACTGCACTGTGCAGAGCTTCAAGTGGTCTGATCGGGCGAAGGTGCGCAACTTGATTTTGAATCCATTCAACACCAGCATTACCTCTAGTTGATTGATGAGACATCTTCAAAAGCGACACATCTTCTCTGCTTCACTTTCCAAGTAGTTTTGTGTGCGTGTGTGGGGTTTTAGTCGAAGCTGGAGGAGATGGAGGCGGCCTATAGTCCTTTGCGCGCGTCGATGCAAGCGAGTCCTTGGGGAGACGTGGTGCCCCACCTCCTGGCCGCACGCAACATCCAATTGTTGCGCCTGGAGAAGACCTCAGGTTCGACGGCACGCGAGTTCACCTCTTGTCCCCTCAATCGTATCCTCATGGCTGGTCAGGTGCCCGACCGGGGTGGCCGCACCTGGGAGGTTGAGGCGCCCCCACCTGAAATGCCTGCATTCCAAAAGAGACGGGCCGGTGGTGGTAGAGGTGGAGGTCAGTGTCTTCTCTTCTCTCCCAAAAAAGTTTTCACTTCCACGCTCATCTGATTTATCTCTTATCTGAACCAAACTTGGTGTCCGTGCGCTTATTTGGCTAAATTTTTATTAAACTGTCTCCCGAAATCAAGCGGTTGGGAAAATTTATGCACGACTGAACCAGGGACTTAATGATAGTTTCGCCTAATTTTTAGTAGCATAAATCTTCACGTATATGCTCCTTTTGAAAAAATGTGTACATGAATTCTTTCAGACCATTGCGTGCATAGTGCAGACCGAAAGCATATATGATTAAGTAAACAATCATGAATATAATTGGATTAAACCTGGAAATGCTCATCTTAAAGGCTTATTGAAAGCGCTACTACTGGTGATCGAGAGAGGTATGATGAATTTGGAAGAAACCCTATATTTGGGGTGTATTACTCTCCGTTTGCCAAATCATTCAATCACAGGTCGCGGTCGTGGCGGCGGTGGACGCGGTGGCTACTCTAGTGGCGATGGTAGCGGTGGTGCTAGGGGTGGGAGAGGTGGTGCTGGAGGCGGCAGAGGTGGTGCTGGTGGCGGTGTCAGTTCTGAGTCGTTTGGTGCGAGACCCCCATCAGGTATATCCTTTGGGGCACAGGACATCCAAAATCTCGTTCAAAATAATATAAGTTTCCAAGTGAGTTATGCGCATTTGCTATTCCATGATAACGATATACCCTACTTGAATACATACTTTGTGGGTGCTCATTTTTACCCCATTATCTTCTTGCTTATGTTTCATTGTAGCTATTACAAATTATTCTAAAGCGTCGAGACTCAGACACATTATTTTTCTTAAAGCTTGCCGCTTTTTTATATCTATAATGATGGATATGTAACCGCGGGATTTTTTCGTAGTAACAATACTTACCTCAGTGCATCAATTGGAACTAGAAGGTATTTCTCCCATGATGCTTATTGGATAACTTCCTTATGTGATATAAAATGCTAACTTTTAGCGCATTTCATCGCACTCTTGTTTAAGTTGCTTGATATGAACCATAAGTAACTATGATTATCTATTGCTTAATGTTAAAGCGTAATCTTATCAGACGTGATTCTGTATACACGTCTAACTTTATGTCGACAAATAATCGCCACTGTACTATATTAAATCGAGATATTAAATTTCTTGGATAAGTTATGATTCGAACACTGGTTTAGCTACAAAAAGTTTTTAATTTAGAATGTGAATTGTACCAAGTCTTTTCTGACGTAAACACGTTTCCATTCCATTATTAACATCATCGCACTATCCGTCCCTTGCTGAAGTTTATTCGATGTAATGACATTTCATACTCCCGTGAGGAGATAGGCCTTTTGCAGTGATATTGGGGGAATGACTCTAGTACTACAATTTTTTGCAAAACAGTATATCGTATGGTTAAAAATAAATCCGTAGCATCTCAAAAAAGTGTTCTAGACAAGTTAGATTTCGTTCCTTTTACATAAGGTCAAATTCGCTTTTTGGAAAATATCAACTGTAGACAAGGCTTCCCTGCACCATGGTGCACTCGGGAATTTTCCAGGACGCCAAGAATGGGTTATTTTGTCGTGTTCTCAAAAATCTACGTTGTATTGTCAGGGACTGCTTTACCACTGCTTCTCAACCCTTAAGAAAGCTGTATGGTGCACCGGACTGATTTTTGGCGTTAGAGACTAACGAATCTTTATTTGGGAAAATTTATTTTACAATGCGTTGGTAATCGGGATCTTTGATAGATAGCACTGAAGTAAATGGGGCATGTAATTTATTGGCTTATGTGCAGACCATATGGTTAAGTTTAATTAAATTTCCCAAAGTAGCCTCCGTAGGGTTCTTAAATGGACGGGCATTTCTTAATGATTGGTTAATAACTTCATTGCAAAATTTGTGCTTGGTTTCCTGGATTTGTTTATAATCAGTTTAATAATGATTAGCTTTTTCTTTAAATAGGCTTACTCAGCTTGGACAGCTTACAATGATCCGAGAATTTGCACAGAGGGGGCATTCGAGCGAATTGGTACTGTATTCGCTTTAGAAATAAATACACCTAGCTTTTGGGCTTAATGAACTCAGTCATGCTTCCATGATGACATGATAACGTTCTTTCCAACGGCCTCCAAATGAAATTTTCATTTCCTGTTCCGAGTGCTAGTTCCCTTTTTAAAGATTTGGGCAAACTGCCTTTCCACGTTGTAGTTATGCCATTAATTCTGCTTCCGCAACATGTTTTCCTATGTTTATCCTTCCAGACCAGTTGCTTTTGCTAGACTTGTGTGTCTGGATCCAAACCACAATATCACGGTAGACGTCTTTGAGATCTAATACCCTTAGACCAAAACCTTTTTGTCCTATGTTTGTTCAACCTCTGGCAATTTTTCACTTCTTATAAATGCCACAAAATTCATTATTAATGCTTGTTTACATACTGTTTTGGTCGACAAACAAGCTTCTTCCTTCCGCACGCTTAAATATGCTCTGTATATCCGTGTAAGTTGCTGGCATTGCTCGAGTTTCACCAAAATTAGGATGTTCTAGTGTTTAATTACCTGCATTTCTTATGAGCAATTGACACGTGTTCGCTTAGCAGAGGCCCAAAATTTTGTTCCCATCCGTCGGCCTTTCGACTTGCGTCCAGTTGCCCTAGGTACACGTCCATCATTCCCGCTAGACGTACAACTCATCTTCCTTTCGTCAAATTTGTATTCCGCGTCTAACTTTACATCATTAAGGTCGTGAAATAAGCTAATTCGACTTCATTTATACATTCTCAAATCAAACAAATGAATGGCTATAGTGGGGATTCTTTCGATCATTTTCGGTATTCAAAGGAAACCATATTGAGGGGGAACGCTTGCAAATAACAATGAGACTTGTTGGTCATGTCATTGAAGGATCATTAAGTACTTAAACGTTGCTTTTTATAGGTTCATGTTTGAATCTGACATATGCCAAGCAAACATGGCTTTTCAGGCTTGAGATAGCTTAGTTTCATGTAATTCGTGCTCAAAAGTTGTTACCTTTGGCAGAAGAATTGAATGATTACTGGCCATAGAACTATTTGTAGCACTGAAAATGATTTCCCTCACTTCCTTGAGGTGAAAAATTTTGGAAGCCTGCTGGTTTTTTAACCTTGACTTCGATTCCAGACATCGTTTTGGGTAATATCTATGTCCTACGTAAAGCATCTTTTGAGGCTTTCGTACCGTTTAATAAATGCCATCGTAATGTTTTATTACATGGGTATTTCTTAGAAATGACTTATATGAAATAATTTATCATATGTATGAGATTTGGTAAGTTTGAAATAATTCCTTTTTTTCCTATCCAAGACTCAGACTGCGATAAAGGGCTTTTGTAATATTACTATGTATTTTAGCCTCAATTTTTCATCGGACGCGGTGGTCGAGGCCGTGGACGGAACAAACGTGGGTGATGAATTCTCACCCTTCTCTCGTTTACGTTTTCCTCCCGCCTTCTGTTGTCGTTTCTTGCTATGAGATGAATCAGTTGGATTCTTTGCCTATGAAAACACAAGGCTTACGTCTTCATAATATTGCCGGTTGGAGGAGGGGATTTGCGAGCCGGACTTCCCAAAAGAACTCCGAAATATCCTGGGAAATTTTTGAAGTGTTGTGGTTGAAAGGTATCGGAAGTAGTTGGTTTGAACTGCATTTATGCACTTGTGCATCCATTTCTGCTGGGGTATGAATGCATAGCTCATGAGTGAGTGTAAGTTACTGCCTTCAAATTCCTCTACTTTTACTTTGGGCGTTCAATTAGACTATCCCTGTTTTTAACGGAATTTCTTGATTAGCTTAGTATGGTTTTTGCGATGACCTTTGGGATTTTCTTTCATGGTGATGCTTTTAAATCACACGTTTAGTAACTCATTACATAGTTTCGAGTGTACTTCATCCCGCCTGTGTCGTCTATTGCATTTCAGCGCTTGTGAATAGTTCACTCACCATGGATTCCGCCTTAGTGATTAATTTACATTCCAACTACCACCATCCTGTCGGGCGCCGCTAGTAAGAGGTTATTAAGCAGTGTTTAGCCCATGTTCACCAATCTCACTGAACGAAGGCAAAGGCCGTTCTTACTCAAATTAAAACTAGGTATTTATTCAATCGAAAGCCTCCATTCAATTTTCTTGTCTTCAGGTAGTGGTCGTTTTCTGCAGGTAAGTTGTTTGCAAAGGAAATCTATGGCAATATTTATCGTACTGTCTGATGAGTCGTACCGTCCTACCACTGAGAGTTGATGGCCCAAAAGCGCTACACATTAAAAAAGGTGGATTTGTAAAGTATTCATTTTTCTCCAGCATTGTTTGAGAATTGCAGATCAATCGGTAAATTTGAATCGATGCATAACAAACAGGTACCGGCGTTTTTATAAGGAAAATTTCTTGACATTACTATGAGGTACCATTAAAAGGCACTTAAACTGCGGAATAGGCCAGATCGAAATGTTATAATTGCTTGATTCAGAGATGAGTATCCTGTCCATTGGCTAAATTCGCATTTGCTTTAACTGCGTATCCAATTTCAGGTATTTAACACGTCTGAGCTTGTAGTCTCCACTCTTGATTTATGCATGTCCAAGTATGGGAGTTAAAAATAAAAACTAACTTGAAGTTTGCTAATTTGTGCAAATTGTCTATTCCTTCGTCAGTAGATTACAGTCAGCTTGATTTCCCGTCAATGAATAGTGGGATCAGAGGGTTTGACTAACTGGGGTCGATTTGCTGCTTGAGTAGTCATATTTCCTACTAGTAGTCTGAAAGTATTTGAACCCGATTCTAGACCGTAAGTCTGACCTATAAGCACCAATGGATGTCAAAAAGCCTATTTACAACCAATATTACTTACTTTCAGGGGATGAAATCTTTAGATCTGGTTGGATTATGGCCTTCTGAATCGCCTTCCATCGAAGCATGTTAATTCAGATTTAGCAATTAGTGCACTACTATTTCATACTTGGACTTTGATCACAAAATATCATAACACCCAGTTAATCACTTCGGAAATAGTCTATTTGTGATGATTTGGTCAATTAATATTGACCACGCAGCATAGATTCAAACGGGCGTCACTACCTTATTTTTGATTGGTTAGTCTGTATATAAAATATGATAGGTCTCGCTGCGAGGGAATCCGTTTTGCAAGAACGCACGCAAGTCCCAATATTCACTGATGCATCTTCTCATTTTTACCTTGATTGCTCTCCTTCATACTACAACAGCTGCTCCGGCAGTACTTCCTCGTCACCGTTTGCTGTCTAATTCGGTCATCGAAAGAATTGAATACAACTCAACTCACGGTGAGGCCGAGTCTGATGGACATAGAAAATGGACATTAAAACCTAACATTGACCGCCCAGTTCTATTCCGAGTTATTTTGCATGAAGTTTTCTTCCCTGGCAATGGTCAAGACTGCTTGAGCGATGCCTATGTCATCCTCACCGACAATAGCAACAATTCTGCCATTTATTGCGGGTCAGTGAAAAATCGGGAGCTAAGAATACTTTCACTTCAATTAAGCATTCAAATTGTGGCTGTATCCAAATTTAAAGGAAGCATATTCGCAAATATCACCTATGAATTTGTTGATGCATCAGAACAACAGATATTGCCCATTTGCAGCGGTATAACCGAAAATTCCAAAATGTTCTGGTCCTGCAAACCGCACTTTCATGCACCTAACTTCTCTGAAACGATATGCATCCAGTTAACTGAATTCTGCGATGGTTATAACCAATGTCCAAATGGGGAGGATGAGGAAACAAGTGTTTGTAATGTGGTAAATATTACAAGTTCACAAGTCTGGTGGTCTAAGCTTGGGACTCGTTTCCCATGCCAAGAAAACGCTTCAATGTGCATCCCTTTAGCAGAGATCCGTGATGGTTTTGCTGACTGTCAGGATGATGATGATGATGAACGTCAGTGTACTGACCCTTCGGAGCGGAATGTTTCGTGCCCGAATGAAACACTCTACTGTCGAGAGGATGCCAAGTGCTTGCCCCTGGGTGACGTGTGTAATGGACTTCAAGATTGTATTGGACTTTCAGATGAGTCAATATCTGCTTGTGAATGGAGGAAAAACCACTCTGACAGTTTTGCTAATTTAACTTTTGTTTGGGGAGGTACTTTTGCTCCCTGTTCCCTCGATTATCCATTTTTTTGTCCCAGCGACAAAAGGTGTTTGGCTATTGGAGCCATCTGCAATGGATTGACGGACTGCTCTGATGGATTTGATGAAAGTGCAGTTGTTTGTAAAGTAGCTTCGGATTACGAGAGAGAGTCAATTATTCAGACACCAATGAACCATTCGACGGCACTTATGAAACCTACTAATTTAGACAAAATTACTACAAATCGTACCCTTGATGTACTGGGGGAAACTGCAGTAAATTCTAACAAAACAGATTTTGGTGGTTTCAGAGAAGTAATAGAAGTCGAAAGAAATAGCACGGAAGAACTTGGTAAGAGCTCTAGAAATGAGAGAGCAATTGCAGTAGACACTTTCATTAAGGCAGATCATTCGCTTGATAACCATTCTACAACTGTGAAGGATGCAGAGTATACTGAAACAATCTCGAATTGCACAGAGAATGAGCCGAAATCTAATCGAGAAAAGCCTGAGGACGATTTTTTTGGCATCGACGTTTTGGAGGCAACAATAACTGCTCTTGCAAAGGAAGAAGAAATGACAGATATAAAAGGACGTGCAGATGTCTGGAAAACTACCCGACCATCGGAGGAGACTTTGACTAATGAGGGCTTTCGTAGTTCTGACTATAACAGTACTGAAGAAGATGAAACTAGTAAGATTAAGGAAAATTCAGATCAAGCAGTCATTGATGCTTCAATGATCGAGGAGTCCATCGTGAATACAACCGAAGTCCCTATTGATACCGGAAGTAGTCAGCCTATTGCTGGTGATGCAGAACTGGATTTGAATTCACATAGTGTCACAAAAGAGCAAAGCACTCTTTTAAATGAAGCAATAAATGAAAATTCTACAGAAGAGAAGGAAGAGGTAGCACTGGTGACTTTACTGGAATCTGTCAATGATCTTTTAAAAATTGAACAAGAAATACACAAGTCGGCAATTGGAGGCAGAGTCGAATTGAGCAACACAGGTAACAGTGATAGTTCGCATACGCTTGAAGAAGACGATTCAGGAAAAAACTATACTGACGTCTTAACGGAACCTCCAGCCAAACTTCTTGAAGAGCCTGTTAAAATACCTTACACCACCGAATCAAATTTAGCAGAATCTACTTCAGTCCCTTGCATTTTGTTGTGTAAAATTAATGGATCGGAAGCAGGGAGTTTAAACAAGTCGGAACTCGGCTTCGCGCTCAGCACCCACAATTCCACTGAATCGACCGACGCAGCAGATGGACTTACACTGAAGAAGGCAGACATGCCATCCATAATAGTTCGTAGGCGAGAAGTTGAGGGCGAAATCGCCTTCCCTCCGCTGTGGATAGCCCGCGTTTCTAGCGGTTCTTTCTTCCTCTGCTACGGCATCCTTTTGGCAGACGATAGCCCCTTGCGCTGGGTACTCATCCCCGCCTCCTGTGGCCGCTACCTTCAGTTCTCCACCATGCTAGTCCACTTTGGAGCCGGTATCGACAACTACGAGTAAGCTCTCTGAACTTATAGCAAATCGTGTCATTCTAAAATCCTTTGAGTCCCGTCCTATAGCGGAGTTCGAGTGTTTAGTAACTTTATCAAAGGGTGGATTTATTTCAGACAAATGCATTATTGGAACTACTTCTATTTGACTGTTGAGCAAACTCTGATTGTTTAGTGCCCGGTCAAGTAAAAAATCAAATTGCTATACATTTAGTAGTATAAAATGAAATACGAGGCTTAGGTTTTACAATGTGCTAAATTTCTAAATGTGAGGAATGATAGCAGAATGAATGAGATACTGAAAATTGCTTTAAACAACTTTTTATCAAGCTTTTAAATGATTCAAACATTTTTCTTACTTCATGTAGAAGTTTGCGCTTTTAAAAATTCTGTTCTGTAAATTCCCCTTTTATCTACGAAACCAAGTTATTACCATATATGCACTAAAGCATATGACTGGAACTCAGTTTTTAGAGAACTGACGTCTATTTTTAAATTCAGAAGTTACGTAGATGACAGTTTTAAGGTGCAACGTTTTTCCGTTAGGTAAATAGGTGGATTAGAGAGTTAGCACACTAATAACACGGGCTTCCGCACACCGCCAATATATCACCAAAAGGTAAACCGGATGTTCGCTCGTTAAAGATATTTTATTCATTCTGTGTGGTTAAATATAAAACAATGTTTGGTGATTTGGAATTTCATGACCTATTACATGCAATAAATTTAAAATTTGCTTACAATACGTTACTGATTTGTAGTCAAAAATAGCAACTTAGGATTCTTGATTAGTTTCTTAGGGAGCAGCACTTTTTAAACAAGGCAACAAATTGTCAAATTTTGGAAATCGCCTCTAAGAATCACAGATTTCTTCTTTTCTGCAATCCTGGATATACATTGAGTTCCACTGAGTCAGGCTCAAAAATTATTCTTAATTAATTCAATTGCTGACTGTTAGGAAAGAAATACTTGTTCAATTTTTCTATTTTGTGTGTGTGGAAACACTCACCATGATTTGCAATGTCATTAAGAAAACTTACTGCATATTTGTCTTTAAACCACACTAATTGTTTGATATACTCCAAAAAGAACTGAAGTAAGTTTGGGCTACTCTTCCTTCCAGAATTGTCGCCCGGGTAGATCAAGGAGAATTTGGTCAAGATGTCAGGAATAGATTCAGTTTACTCCAGCTTAATTCATCAGAAAACATCAAACACTTTATACCTCAGGGTATTGCCTTAACAAGTCCAAATAACGATACAAAGACAACCTGTAAACTTCTGGCTCCACGGCACGGATACATCTACTCATTTCAACTTCAGAATGCTGCTACAGAAGATCCCACCGTATGCTCCCATAAATACGGCATCGATATTACCCAACACACGATGTGCTTTTCACAAAACCTTTGTCTTCGAAGCGGTCTTGGGGGTATACTCACGTGCACAAACTCAACGCTGGGATTCTATATTGAAGGCGCTGACTGTTATCAGGGTCAAATCGGCTGGCCTGTACTCGTCTCCATGGTGACCAATGATGTACTCAAGTGGATATGGATCACAACAAGCAAGCTGAGCGGTGTTTGTGGCTTCGCCAGAAACAATGGGAAGTCTTTTCCTTGGTTTACCTACTTCAACCTGACCAAGCAGCATGGTGGGCTTTGTTTGGGTGCCTACACGCAAAACGACACTTTCCCCCTCATCACCTCAGTACGGTGTCTGCGGCAATGCCTCCAGGCCATGAACTCAATGGGAGAAGGGTGTGTGCTGGAAAGTGTGTGGAGCGACAACAGCTGGGGTGAACTCTGCGCAGCGAAGAACATCGTCCAACGTGCCCTGGCTGCAGTGTTGCCGTGGCGGCAGTGCTTGGTAGCCCACCTCGTCTCACCGAACAAGAAGGGAGTGCGATTTGAGCGCGTGCGAGTGTCCACCTTCAATGATTGTGCTGGAGAACGTTTTTACAGTCCTTTCATGGTTGAACAGGGCCTCTGCATCAGCGCTATGGGAGCCGAGTTGAACTGCTCAACGTGGGGAGAGGCAGGGCTGGTGCAGTGTCAACGCGCCACTGATGGTCTGTGGGAGTTTGTGGGTGTCACGCAGGCCTGTTTTCGCACACCTTTACGGCGGTGGTTCATGCGAGCAATGGAGCTCTGATCAATTCCGACCACAGCTGCCGTTGGGTATCCTGTCAACTATAAGATGTTTGATTTTTCCATTTACATCCTGTGTTGTGAAAACGAATACACTTATGCGAAAAATACAGACACCTACATAATATACCAGCCGATTCATCAGTATTGTGGGCTATTTCATTTCGTCTTAAAGCAGAAGGCTAAGAAAAAAGGAAATCTAATAAAGTAACGGTGGTCACCGACGTTGAACACCAACAGATGTGAGCTGGGTTTATCGCAAAACATATGAAGGTATAGCACCACCCGAAAATGCCTTTTCAGAAATTTAATTTCATTTCAATTAAGTACCTTCATGGATGAGCAATTGCTAGGATACGACCTAAGCATTGTGGTATCTCTAGGTGCTATACGGCTACAATACTCTTGGTAAGTCTTAAGTGAATGTTGTTTTGACAATTTCAAAAAACTAGTCGACTTAAATCTACCTAGCAATTAGAATGCAGGAATTCTTTGGCAGAACAGTTAATTTAACTCCTCAAAACAAAATCTGAAGAAAATTTCCCAAAAAAAAACTAAATTTCAATTAGACAGCTGCGCTACTTTAAGCATTTAGTAACTCAGTATTTTTCCCAAGTTTTAATATCTCAAAACGTCGTTTTAGACTAAACATTTCAAAGAATAAAAATAGGGGATCCCATAAACAATTAATTAGACACCACTTGGTTAATGATTTCATTTTGTCATAAATCAATGGCACTCTCTGTAGGTCAGTCAGCAAAATCCGTTGTGCCCATCTTAACAGTAAACATTAAGACATACTATTGCATCAGCGAAAAAATTCATCCAAAATTCACTAAGACAGATTAAAAAAGTGTCACTTGTAGATTACCGAGAGAGACGAAAAAAATTGGAGTCAACTGTTTTGACTCAGAAGAAATCGGTCGCAATGGTAGCTCAATCTAAAGGTAAAAACTCTGTACCTAGTATTTTAACGGAATCTTCTTCCTTGGAATGAGGGTGTTGATCCACTCGAATAAACGCCAATCAACTGTTAGAAGCATTTTAAAGGCGCCATTTTATCGCCTAACCACATCATGCCGTATCAATATACATTTCGTCAAAATTTTGATGCTTATTCTAGTTAAATATATAAAGAAACAACAGTTCATTGTTGTCTATGTTTATTTGGTTTGACAATTTTTCTTAGGAATTTCTGCTTGGGATTTTATAATTTACTTAACACCATATCAAAATATAACGACAGGGATCTGATCACTTTGAGTTGCGCGTAAAAATGTATCTTATTGTGTAACAGCATCACCTTAAAGGCATCATCCACACAACAGCATTTTTAGTTGGGATTAATGTCTTGAAATAACTACAAGAAACTTAAAAGACCTCAAGTGATGATACCAAGTATTCTGCAACAACAAGGCGAGTCGAAACCTCTAAAGGCTTTAAAGCTTACTAGCTTAGAAAACAAGTCATGATGGGGAGTAGTAGGCACGATAAAATAAATTCAAAACCCTAAAATTAGTTAATGGTTAATTTGTAGAATATGCTAGATACCACTGAAATAAGCACGTCTCTCAAGGTGGAGATCAATCCTAAACTTCCAGATGTATTTTAAATTCTACAAATATTCTGTTAAGTTATTCAACTCCAAAAAGATTCTTATAAGATTGCACCATCAAAAACTGCAGCCAAGAGATTAAATTTCCATGAAGTCGATCAGCATAATCGGTCGTTGATTTCACGTGGTATCCAGGTTATGGTAGGCTCATCAAAGGTCACCTCTTTCTTTATTATTTCAGATTCTATGCATCAAATAACATCATTAATTGTAAATACTTTAAGTACGCTAATTTAGTGAGACAATCAGTTTGTTCATATTTGTCCCTGACTGACGAAAGTGCGATTTATCATTTCATTTTGAGCTCCGATTGGTAAAATCAGCGCATCTGATTATTTTAAAATGATAAAGCGGGAACTATTTCCCACGATCAAGGCGTAAGTCATTAATGCTAAATTCAGTGCTTATTTTGTCGCTCATTTAGACATAACTACTCTGGCACCCCTTAAGTCAGGATTGATAAAAACAGTAGACCCTCAGAAATTATGTTACTTTCATGAATCTACTTTGGTGGAGTGTTTGCTTCTAAACGTCAACAGGTACAACTGCAACCATTGTGTGCAGAGGAGTGTGCAACAAGCGGCAACGAAAGAGAATCAGTTTGAGACATCAGGGCAATCGAGACTTGCCGAATTATCATTGGAATGGATCATACTGGTTCTTTATTGTAATAGAAATAACTGCTTCATATTATTAAACTTTTCTGAAAGTAAATGTACTTTATGCAAATAACGAGTAACTATTTTTGTTCCCATTTTTGATGTTCTTGTTTCTGGCAATTTTGCTCGATCCTTATTTCTGAGTTCCGAATAAAGTGCACTAAGCCAACTGTCGGAAATCATATTCGATGTCTTCCCATCATCAATGCCATTAATATGTGAATTCGAGAAGATTAGCACACGCGTGTTTGCAAACCTAAAAATGCCTTAAGCCTAAATGAGTTAAGATTCCATCGGAATAATTAATGACTGGAGAAGGGAAATCTTTAAAATAATAATTTGGGAGTGATTTCAAATTTAAATCTTATATTAAAATACTCTTGACCCCGACGAACATTTCTGGAATGATGGAGTAAATGGGCATGAGTACGCTTATGTTGATTAGCGAAAATAGCACCACTAAACGTGCACCTTAGAAATCGGAAAGTGTAAATACAGAAGATGAAAGGAAATGCGGCGCAACTGATTTAACCAAATGGCATAAAATTTGCATAAATAAAGGCGGCTCTACGGTAGATAGCCATTCAGTTCTGAGTAAAACAACTACTAAAGTCAAAACATGAATAAAACCTATTTTAGATTGCCAAAGTGGGTACCTATTAAGTTGTACTATTGGAAAATCTATTGTGCATTACACTATTTAGAAATTTTAGAGTTTGCAGAGTTCTGAGGGAGGAGAATCAGTATCTCTCTATTGTTGAGTTGTGAAGCCACAAGATAAATTTCACTTCAGCAAAGAATAAAAAACTGATTAAAGTGAATTCCGCTTGCGCAAAAACCATTACGGAACCTCGAAGACTCATTCCTTCAAGCAAGTAACTTATGCATCGATGAAAAATCGGTTCACACGTTTTAAGAAATACATTACGTGAAACAACGCAGACGTGAGCACAGACTTGCACTCTTCAATGTGCTAGGTGACAGAGAGGCACGCGCAACCAATGGAGTGGAGAGGCGTAGTGGCGAGGCTAGTGTGAGAGACGGTGCACCACCGCTATCGGATATCATTTTGCCACACGCCGGCATACTAATGATAGGCACCGAGTTCAAAGCTGTCATCTCACAGACGGCGATGTCTGATAGTATGCAGCAAATGGCCGCTGAGGTGTCCGCCGACGCATCCATTCGATACAACACTCTTGTGGGGATAAGCAAATTCATTAAAGAGGCATTTGAGAAGCAATACGGCAACATATGGCAATGTGTAGTCGGAAAAGAATTCGCAAGGTGAGCCGAGTATTGCATAAAAGTAGTATTTTATAGTTTCTTATTTGAAGTGGTCATTTAAGGAGCATATTAAGTCGCTTCTTTTGAATCTTCTTGATAATGTACGCGAATATGAGAAACATTTTTGCCCTATACTCACGAGATGGGAGATACTCAAGAAAAAAGCATAGGTCTATTAACTGATAATCTATTTTACCGTCAATCCACGCGAAACTGTGCCTTCGAGGTATATGCAGATAAATCTAAAGCTAGTGCAAATGCAATAATACACAAATTTAAGTACAAATTAGTTAATGCTAGTTTCTTCAATTTAACAATTAGTGGCAATTATGCCTGGAAGTCGTAAGCATTGAAAGACTGAGAGACTTAAACATTCTCGTCTAATTATTTATGTTGAGTACAATCCTTTTTTGGCGAAAAAATACTCAATCAAACTTTCTAAATAGAAATGTGGCAAATCTTGTGCAAATATATGCACACTGTCCAATTTGGACTTTCAGTGTTCGCTTTAACAGAAAATAAAAAACCAGGGTTTGTTGCTTGCAATGATAGCTTAAAAAGCCATAGCCCTTTAATGGATTTTTTTGACAAAATTTCATTCCCAATTAAAGAGGACGAGAAACCTTCATTTGGTAAGAGAGGACCTTAATTATTCCTTTAAAACAGCGACTTGAGTAATAGTAAGGACCATAATATCTCGGCTGAGCGAACTACCACGGTGAATATGCACTCACCATACGAACCGGAAGGAGTAGGTCAGCCTCGAAATTTGCGACCATACTTAAGGAGTATCGAACAGTCAAGTTTAGCGGAACCGTCATGATTTTGAAATATGAGGCTATTTCATTATACCTAGAATTACAAATGCCAAGATTATTCCAAATTCAGGTTTCCTTTGCCATGTACAATAATTACTGTAGTTTCAGGTTTTTTGGGACTAAAATGTCAATTTGATGTTGAAAATTTGCCATTCAGAAGTGATCTGAATAGAGCCTCTACCGCTAACATTATGCAAGATGTACTAATCGAGGAGCTGAGCATTACCAATAGTCAAAGTTTAGGTATTCCATACTAGAGGCGGCGACACCGTCGGGCTTTCTGTTCTTTGACGTTGTCCAAATGCAAATGCGATAGTGCAATGCCGGTGGCCAAGCCGCGATTTAATAATGCGAGCGCATGCTTGAATCCCACTCCGAGAAATTTAGCATATTTAATTACGTTTCGGAGTAAATGTAATGCTTAGAGTGAGATTTTCTATTCATGGCAGTTTAGTACTGCTTTAACCTAAAGCAATAGTTAACATAGCTCTAGTAAAGTTAGTGAATATAGCCTGATCAGAAGGCCAAAAATAAAAACAAGCCTTTACCACTCACGAGCACTTTTTGCTAAGCAAGAATGAACTACTCTTGCCTTTATACTTGGAAATTATGGATTTGCATGCAGTTATTCCTCAGGAATACGTTAACCATTATTTAGAGATAAAAATTCTACCTCATTTCATCCCGAAATGGTTACATACGCATTACTTTAACAACCCAAATTAACATCATTAATGGAAAGTTAAACAGTAGCAGGTAAATATTAACAGTCAACAACGACAGTAATAACTTGATTAGACTAATAATGCAAAATTTGTTTTACGGAATTCCTGGTTATGAAGAATTGGTTGAATTACCAGTCACATTAGAGTATCAGCTAGTCTCAAGCAGTATATTAAAATCCTAGTATTCTATAATTTTAGTTTCATTTCCTACAATGACAATGACTTCATACTATTCCGTCTTGGAGATATCTCAGTTCTTCTTTTCCGATGCAGCTAGAATTGCTACCTTCAATTTATTCTACTTAGAACCTGCAATACTTCGCATTCACTACCAAACCAAGTTTTACTTGTTGATTTTGAAAAATCAGTTTAAAATATATTCTTCAAACAAAAGCTTTATTTTTGAAATCAATTAGTGCTGGGCTACGATTAACAATTGTTTGCAAGGCCTTGTACTTTAAGGCATTCATATTTAGGAGTGATTTTAAATCCCCCTCTTCATGCAAAAACGTCTTCCGAAGGAACTCCAGAATTTCCCCATAAAAACGGTCCAGATTAACAGTGGAAAGATAGCCCTTGAAGCATGAAATCTAGCCATTAACTGAGTCTTGAGCACCCGTTGGTGTCGTTCGCGTTGCAGAACTGGTCTTAGGTGCCCATATGTATGGGCTGAAAGTGTTGGCTACGAAAATTCGGACTCATAATTAGCTGTGAATGTACTTCAGACCACCGACGCGAAAGTCATTCTCCGGTAATACCGATCAAACTGATTGTTGTTGGGAAATCTTTTGTGCACATTCAAAAAGCTCCCAAAATTCCATTCTACTCATTCACCTTAAAACTTAAAAGTCAAAACTGAATAAAATCAACCTGCATAAAAACCTGACAGTGCCGTACCTGAATAAAAAAACTCACTTCATGTATACAGCATCAATGAAAGTCCCGAACCCTCATTAAATCGTCCTCACAGATAAGACCACAAGACATTTATTTGAATCTGACTTCCTTAAAGCGCCTAAGGTGCCCAGACTCAAAACCTAAAAAGCAACTTTTCATTTTCTTACGCCGACCAAATCCACATTAAGCGCATTTTGGTGTATTAATGCGCTTGCCCAACATTCTAAACCAAAGGTCCTCGGCACTCAAAAAAGAGGTTCACCATTAACCAAAAGAGGCACCAGACAAAGCTTAAAGCAAAAGAGGATTTCAGGAATGGTTTTTACAAAAACGCCATTAAAAATATTTGCAAAGCGACTTTCCTTATATGCACTAATAATTAAATAAGTGAATATACCGGTTTAGATCCATATACGATAAAAAAATGTTCATACGGCAAAGTAGTTTAGGTGGGACACACAAGTTGTAATCTTTAATGGTTGGTCATATCACTGATTCAGTACCTTAACCAATAGCAACTTGTTTATGTCAGGTAATTTCTAGGCTATATGTATATGTCAGCATGTTTGCAGTCCGTGGAAAATAATACAGATATGCTATCTGTTATATTTGTTATAATAGCTTGAAACAAATCTCCTTATTACATAGCCTCAATAAATACATCGATTCGCAGGATTTTGCCGTCAAAAGATTTGTTATGCGCAACAGGATGTGTTTCCTTTATGCAATGGCTATATCAAAGCAAGATCCAAGGTCTCCAAGTCCACCCGCTGCGAGTCAATGTAAAGATTAATTTCCGTCACTCGATTTGTGTGTCGCGTGTTCTCGTCCTTCTCGTGTATGTCGTCCATCAGTTCACTGAACCATGAACGGATGGACTTTAGTATTCCCTCTTCAGTAAGGTCAATAACATTCACATGGGTCTCCTTCGAGTTACTTAGAGCATTAACCACAAATTCGCGATCTGCATATATCTAAGAGAGTAAAAAAAGCACCTGTATTTTCAAGTGTAAGTAAAATATCTCTTTAAATGCACAATCACTTCCAAAAATGTTTTGTGCCAAGTGACACCCACAGATTTAAGCAAAATGCCATAACCGAATGCACTTTATCGCAACCGTTAATTAACACAAAGTTACAAAGTTCAGCAACTTCACGCACCGCATAATTTTCATCTTGCGGCCCATCTGTCTTGGCTATCCTTTCGGTGTAGGTGAGTGTTAGCTCAGCAAGTCTCTCGTTAAATGTCAGAGCAGATTCACGAACCTTTGAGAAGCAAACCTATTAACGATAAATGTAAGTGATATTATGCATTGAAAATTTTACACACGTAATCTTTTATGGTGAAAAGAGTTCCGCCTTCGCTACTCACCTGAACTGTTTCGCAAAATGAAGACACCTTTTCCTCCAAATTCCGATCAAATTCATTTACAACATCTTCGATTTGATCAACCAGGGCAATCTCATTGGTCATCAAATCGTTCCAGAGATCATGGATGTGCCGACGAAGGTCGCAGAGCAGGGATTCAGTCAGCACTGGGAGGGCATCCATTTGGATCTCGTCAAGCTTTGCTAAAATCTAATGTTTGAATGCTCACCCAAATTTGGATCCTATCACGCTGCCAGTGCCATTTCTATTGTTGGAATGTGTTGGAATATTTTGGCAAGTCCCAAACGCTCAAGAACGTCACATATCACATCCACTAATCGTCAAAATCATGAGACCTCAAGTCATTTGAGATTTAATATCTATCCAGAGAATGATGAGTATAAAAATTGGTTTTACTGATTTGCACAATACTTTTAGGGATTTGATTAATAAAAATAACGCATTATTGAGTGACAATATTTGTGTTGAGTCCACTCTTTAATTAAAAAGCAACTAATAATTTAACTTTAATTAAAAATGCTTTGGTTCACTTCATTTGGTAGTTCGTACAGTAAGGATTAAAAGAGTGGCAGGTTATGCCACATGAAGTGACAGTGCCGCCTGAATGTTTCGGAAAAGTGTCAGCTATACAATGCTATTCACATGCATTCAATAAATTTTAACAAAACACCGACTTTTGACATATTTGAACCACACGCTTTGAAGTAAGGAGAGTGGTGGGCCCTACCTCGTTCTTTTTGATCTCGTAGGCGTGAATGGATGTGAGAGCCCTGGCCTTGGAGTCCTCCTTCGCTCCACTGATACAATCGCGCAAGGCTTTTTCCTCCTCCAGACGCTTTTGGTACTCCTCCTGACCCGAGATGAAGAGCTGCTTGCAGGCGTCGATTACTTTCTCTCTGTATGTGCACTAGTGGTCAAGGATACCTTGTGTCAAGGCTCAACTTTAACCAGTCCAATAGTTTTCTGTGTTAATTTGATATGATAATATGAAGCAGCTATATAGAACTGATTAACCATTGAAAAACGTGTGTGTAACAGTAACCCGGTTGGGTAAACCAAATGTTTTCTATGTTAATAACTAATTAAAACCGAATTTTAATGCCGCACCAACGAATTTTTTCAAAATAGAAGTTATTGTGAGGTTTCACGAAACCCATGCCTTCCCATACTTTATCATGTAAATGAACAATCTCCGACAAATTTGGTTCAAAGCAGTCTGGATAAAGTTTATTGCTGGAAGCCACAGACCTCATGGGATGCGGTTAAGGATAGGATTGTTCCAAACATTTGGGAATTAGTTTGTTTGGGAGAAAAGATAAAAGCTCTTTAAGCGTCAAAATATTTTCAAAGGTTTACTTTATTTGACTCAGTGCTGCATATCAAAAAAAATCCCGACTAAGTGAAATCCTCCTAGAAATCTTTTAACAGTTATGACATTAGCATGAGCTGAATCGGAGAAAACGATATTTAGAGTAACAAAGTTATTTCGGGATTTTGTCATCCGTAAAACTTTGATTAAATACTTAAAACTATTTCCTAGCCTTAACGGGACTATTATGAATAACTAAACAGCAATAGTAAAACTAGATGATTTCCGATTTAGCAAAAGCAATTCGCGAAAGTATCATAATTAACCAAAACATTCAGAAAGTACATTACAATTACTTGGTTTGAATTTGGAAGTAGCTAATTTCGTTTTGATGCTTAATTATAAATGCTCCGTTTTTCTGCTCCAACCTCATTAGGAAACCAGTGGAATAATATCAATGGCTCAGCAAAAGGATATTGTTCAACGAGTTCCTCAATCGACGGCACTTGACAAAGTTGTCGTCCATCGGTGTCCTTTTCAAAGATGGCCTTGAAGAGAGCATCCCCATAGATTTTATCAATGGAGGCAGCCCGACATCCCTCCATGAAAACGCGCTCCTCCTCCTTCTTTTGGTCCTGTCTCTCCTCCTCCAACTGCTGTTCCACCATTTGGTCCACCGCCATCTGGTACTTCTCATAGGCTTCGGCTCTCTAGGGCAGAACAGATCATCTCGTCTTCCGCTTCCACCTCACTCCTAGACGGTAGCACTTCCTCAAACAGAATTTTACGTAAACATTTGAGTTGGTATCTAATGGTTGCAAGGTAAAGGCCCTGATTATTCCTTTGCACTTAACATGACATCACTTTCTGGAGCAACAATGCATGTAGTAAACTTATATTTGTTTGAGTGCATGCTGGATGATGTAAGCTTTTCAGCCTACCTGAATATTACTAGCCGCTTGGTCCTTTTCATAGCATTCTCTGCTCCTCTATGCGCTAATGATAAACTATTCTTTCACATCAGTCTGTCCTATTACAGCTTAAAAGGTGGTTGAGGGCATTAAATTATAACTTTATATGCTTCAAGAACTGAAAAGGGCTTCACAAAAAAATGATATTACCAAGTGGTTTGTGCATTCGCCTCACTGACAGTGCTATGGTGGATCAACTGATGACAACGACGACTCTTACCCATTCCGGGAGAATATTCTTGTAGTCAAGGTATTTCAAGTGAGGCAAAAAGGCGAAAATGTACTGATCATATTCCGAATGACTGCTTATTGGATTATCTGCTAGAGAGAGGCAGTCGAGTTTCTTGAACCGTCGAAGATAGAGAATCTACAAAGTCCCAATGGACGGATCAAACCAAGGTCTTCAAAATAGACTTATCTGGCAAAGTGTATTCAAGATTGTTTTTATCGAATCAGTTCAATTAATGTTTCACAAAGTATTCCTGATGACATTTTTAAAGGACCGTCTATCACAATTTCAATGTTTTCATGAAATCTTTGAAATGTACATTATACGAAGAATAGAATGATATCAACAGTGACTATTTAATATAAAAAAGCATTGTAAGTTGAAAAAACGAATAAACTTCTGCATGCTCATTAAAATTACTTTTTGAATATACTCACATTTTTTAGATCCTCAACACTATTACTGCCGAGAGCAAGGTAGCGCAGTTTTTTGTTTTTATCCAGGTTTTCGATTTTTTCGATGGCGTTATGAAAGAGGCTCAGATCCTCCAAGTTGACAAGATTTTCCATATTTTCAATCTTTCTTAAGTTATTGAAAGAGAGATCTACAATTAAAGTGCAATACTTTGAAAAAACACACGAATTTACCACACTGACGACGCTAATTTCTACGACTTACCCAGTCGAACTAAATTCACGAGCATATCAAGCCCCTCGATCTTTTCGACAATGTTATTATCGAGACGAAGTTCCGTCAAACTAGTGAACTGATTTAAACCTCCAATAGTGAGTATATCTGAACAGAAAGTAATCATTAATTTGTGGTAGATTTGTTCTGTGTACTGATCTTCATGATTTGCAAAACAGTGTAGAAATAATAGAATGCCTAGCTAGCTACGATTCTAACTGTTTTTAGCTTATAATAAACAACGACACGTCCACATTTATAATAAAGATGATTTGAACTACCGAAAAGAATATGAATGATTGAGTCTATAATGAAAGTCGCTTTATAAAGGAAAAAATGCGATAACTGTAATGATGAAATAGGATGAATATGAAATCACTAGGTGACTGAACTATATCAGTTCAGAATGTTTAAGGAAATCAATTATCGGCAACAAAATTATCTATCCAGTAAAATCCTGATAATTATACAAACTTTTTTATGTCTGGTTGAATTGCATGACTGTCGACAAACTATTCAGTTCCAGCAATACAGTTGCCGATAACCTCAAAACTTGTTGCACACCAGCTTAGTGCATGCACTCGCTGATGATGGATGCATTGTGGTATTAACGTACAGGCAGAGGGAGTGTTTCACGGAGAGATCAACTTTAGCCAATAGGTTAAAGAATACAAGTTGTTGGAAAGTACTCATTAGGCTTTTGTCACCATCGTGAAGAATTACATTCCACCATACTACCATTCTGACAATTTTAAACATTTGATCATATAGCTGACAAATAAGTATTCAGTATGAATGGCTGAGCCAGTAGGACCAGAAAAGGCCTGGTTCGCTTAAAAGGAAGAATGAGGAGGGGGAAAAGAAGAAAGTCATACTTTGGTAGGAAAGGGTCAACGTTTTGACCGAGTCGAAAGCGATTCCCTCGATCTCCGCCAGCCGACCGGCCTCTCCTTTAGGACCCTCAGCAAAGCAGGCGTAGGTGAGGAGCTCCTCATTGATCACTGTTGGTTCCAGCTGGCCATATACTCGGTAGGCACCTTCAATGCCCAAAAACACCATTAGACTAATTTCCCACCACTTTAACCAGATTATCACGCACTACACCTTTAGCAGCTAAATTAGCTGTAATTTATCCACGACAAAGTTCATTGTGAATGAGGCAAACATGTCATAATTTGGATTGAGATAGTTGATATTCGTTTAAGAAAATTATTTTTCCGTGGTGATTAAAATACTAAAGACTGCGTAACTTATTAAATGGTCATGTTCCCTAGTGCTAGTCTCTCAAAATGCCTGTATACGATCGCCAAGAGCTGTAATACTTTTTCATTAGTATTAACCTATTTCTTTCTAAAATTTCCCCACTAAGTTTTATTTATTAACTCCTAGTGTTTTTGTTAAATAATTTAGATGTCGAACAATGCTAAACGCTAAGCAGATAGGATCAAGGGTATTCATAGCAATAAGAAAAAATCTGAGGACTTACGGTTATCTCTCGCTTTCTTGAACTCCGATATTTTATGCTGAAAATCTAGAACAGGAACATTTTGAGGGCTTTGGATACTTCAAATGCAAACTGCATATTATATAGCGATGCAACAATCAAAACCTATTAAATTTCGGTATCTAGGGTCTTCACGTTGATTTTCCTTCTCACTTACCTCTGAACACCCGGAAAGTAAAAGCTATGCCGATTTGCATCACAGGCATATTTTCTTATCTACAAGTGTTATTGCTCTAGAATCGAAATACGTTAATTCATCTCGCTATAATTCGGCTCTCAAAATTTCATCTGATGCACTTATTCTCGCAAAATTATATAAGAAATAAGTAAGGTGTGTGTGTGACTATCTTTATCACTTTTAAAAGGGTGATTATAAGTTTTGTACCATTAAATTACTGTAAATCAACTCACATATCATAAGTTAAAATATCAAACTTAAACGCCCGATTGCGTATCATCAGACTGATTCCCTAAAACACATTTTGAAGCCAAGATGGTTTACTTTGTAACCAATCTTTAAAAGAAAATGGAAAAAACGTATTCATTATGGGCAAAAGCTTTGCAAAATCTAGCTAAGAAAACACAATTGCAAACCTTTTCGAGAAGTAAGATTAGTATCCGCGCGGCTCATTCTCTCAAGCTGCAGGATGCTCCGTAATCAACCACCATGTGCGGTGGTATTCATTGATTAATCTCGACGGACATCGGTTTGAATTCCTGACGAGGCCGCATGAACCCAGTGAAGAGAGGTGGCATCGCTTGATGCATCATTAACTTATCTCTGTCAAGTATTATTTATAGTGATATTTAATTCTTTCCCTCCAAAGCTGTGTTTCTTCGGGAACAAATGAATGCGACTTAATTACAGAAGGTTCTGCATTACCTTGATTAACAACTTCAAATGAATACGTTAATAATTCGGTTTTGCGCCAGGATAAATTAGTGTTCCCTAATCGCTATTCTCTTAAGAAATAAAATTGCAGTATGATGACCTTACTTCGAGTGAGAGGCGAAAAAGCATTAAATAATTTAACCAACAATCGAGTTCTGAAGTCTGGACATAAACAACGCACCAAAAGCGGCCTCTGAAATATGCTAAGAAAAAGCGGAATCACATAACAAATGCAATTATTTTTGTGATCATAATGGCAGACACTCAAGAAGTCTGTTTTAATAAAAGTCAACCTCAAAAATTCGTGTAAACTGAGGAATAAAAAGCTTATTCTTCCATTCCTTCATCACGTTCATCCGCATTCATCACCTATAAAATTTAGAAAATGTGACTAGTCAATCACGACATCCGGTAATTATTGGTATTGTAGTTTCTTTGTTAATCAAAATTTTGGCTAAAATGTCTTGAATTGTTACTTATCACCCTTGGTGATATTAATAATGTAACTTGATCAGAAAGTAAAATTTTGTGTTGTTTCCCATATTTCATAAGAATTATGTCAAAAGCCTACTTCATCCAGGTTTTTCGGAGAAACTGAAGTTTTGTCATTATTAGGATTGTGAGTAATAGAGACTGGTTCCTACAAGTTATAAGGAGCATACAAATATCATTTTACTTGCTCATTTGCCACTCTGTTTTCTTTGTGTCTATCCATTTGGCTAAGCATCGTGCGATGTTGCAAGAACAATATTCCAGACTGTTCTGCAGTGACCATAGTGTTTTCAAAAGTAGTCATCAGTGTCTGCCATTTGTTTCACTGTGGTAGTCTTACCTCTATTTTCTGTTTTACTTGATCAAATGCGCGAAATTCCTCATTATAACAGGCTTCCTGATGCATGTCGTGAAAATCAAGTTTCACCCTACCGCATACTGGCTGATTTTACCTTCCAGATGAACCCGGCTTTTCAATGTTTCTTTCTCAGCCGTTAGTTGCAATATCGTCTCCTGTAACGAGCTTATCTTGTCCTTCGACTCCTCCAATTTTTGTTGTAATATATCTTTATCATATTCCAAGCGGTGGTTTTTCGACTTCACGGATGAAACTGAAGGCCTTTTAGTTCGACGTATATTTCGTACCAGTGGATTTAAAGCGAGCCAAGAATTCTTCCATCTTTTCATTACTGTTTTGAAGTTGTATCAACTGACTGCGCAAGGCAGTCAATCGACTCAATGCCAATTCAGTCTGACTTATTTGGAGAGAACTTTCAGATTCGTAAGATTTTACTTTGAGTTCTAGCTCCGTTACGTACCTCTAATTTGTTGTATTAGTAGATAAGAAGTACCAGACACTTTTGATGGTCATCAAAAAGGGCCCTCTTTTCGAGTTCAAGAACATTAGCGGTATTTTCATATCGTTTCTATGAGCAATGGATACTGGCACCTCAAAAATACCAAATCCCGCTCCAGTTCCAAAATCCTACTCGAGAGATTCTTTGTTTTTTCGTCAATAAGAATGTCGTCTTGTTTTAACCGTGTTTCCTAAAGACATGCCAATTTGCAGACCGATTATTACGTGGTCATTTCTTAGCTCCGTTAGATCGTGAGTTAGCTTATTGATCTTCTCCTCATATTTCAAATTTTTCAGCTAAAAGGATGGTTTATTGAAATCTACCTACACGCGTTTCTTTGACTTTTTCAATCAAGCACTTCGTATTCGCGAAAAAACGTGCTGTTTCTTGAAATTGCATCTTAGAAGTTGTTTAAATACACAACAGATCAGTTTGCAAATGTACTTTATACGTAAGTTTTCTAAAGTGTATCCATTGTATCATAAAGATTCATCTAAGCAAAAGCAATCATGGAATGCAATCACGTTTTACAACTGACACCATTGTGTTGACTAACAATTATAAAGTGAAAACGATAAAAAGCATTTTTAAAGAACATATATTCTAGAAAAAACCTGGGTAATAAAATAGGCTTTGATTTTGACCCGTAGACTAATCTTAGGTGTCATACCTAGAAATTTAAGAGGAACTTTCCACAGCAATGAACTATTTCACTATTTAAGACTTAAGATTGTAACGTAAGCCTCTGGAATTCAAAGCTGGGGCTGATTTGAAATAGGGGAGGGGGGGTGATGCACAGCAAGCTCTATTTCTAGAAAAAGGGGTATCCTTAACGGAGCCTACATTCCTTCTTAAAGAGTCTTTCTAATCGCCTATTAAAGCCACATTTTATAATAAATAGAAAATCAGAGGGGAGTGGACGTTTTCGCTCTAATTACAAAGCTACGTTTCTAAGTGAGTGCAATTATCTGATTTAGCTACACACTTGTCACATAAGTATGCACTTTTGTTTTGGATTTGTCATCTTGGTTAAGAATGAGCATTAACAAAAACTGGAAAGCTGAATACCGATGCCTCTTTTATTGCATGGGACATCGTCAGATAACAATGCAACACAACACATGCATTTCAGGCTTGGAAGTTAATTTAAGTGTTAATTTTTCGATTTGATCGTTTGCTTTTAATTTGTTATAATGTCCAGTCGAACAGTCCTGCTGATGAATTTTACATCCAGTGGTTTTGGGCGTTATAACCTTGCAGACCTCTTCCTTTTCTCACCATTGGATAGTGCGATGGAAGCCGCCTCGAGTGGTGAGTTACCTCAGAATGATGCAACCGTGGACTTGCATTCGGTCTTGAGGGATTTCCATGCTGATTTGGACCCAATAGATGCTGAAGATTTCGATGTTGTTCATTACATTAATGAGGTTTGTGACCATATTTAAATCATAGTTGAAATAGTTGTTTCCGTCTGAGCAATCATTACCAGCTATTGATGATATAATTGCCAGCATTCAAGAAAAGTTAGAGAATATTGATGCACAAACTCGTCAAATTGTCAGGGGTCAGTGGACACTTGAGGAGCAGGGTGAGCGACTCGTCAGTGAGGCTTCAGATCTCATTCAATCATTGTTTGCGAAGTAAGAGTTGCTGATGCCTGGATTCAAGTCTTTTCAAAGTGGATCATTTGGATTGTTACTAACTTAAAGTTGGCTCTCGTGCTCTGTAAGATGTAAATTTGTTCTACGCACATTGATTTTTTTGTTCCCTCTGAATTTTGCCTAAATTATATTGTAACAGCTGAAAAGGGTTTGTATCTAAGTTTTATTGTGATTTTGTGTTTATTTTGTGGCTTTGTCATCCGTTGTTGGCAGAATTCGTGAAGTTCAAAAGCGTGCGACATCTTCAGAGCTAATGGTAGCGGAAATTACCAAGGATATCCAGCAACTCGATCATGCAAAGCGAAACCTTACAGGCTCAATAACAACGCTTAATAATTTAGCCCTCATTGTCGGTGATGTTGATCACTTGAACGCGACTTTGTGTATCAATACACATGCTCTTGGGAATGGTTCTTCTTCCACAAATCCTTTCGGCCTGGGTGTGTTTTGTTGTATGGATTTCCTTCTTTCGAATCTAACAATGAGCTTATCGATTGCATTTGTTTTAGAAAACGCTCCCAAGGTTCTCCAGTCGGCAGAAATTGAAGACCACTTAGCTCGTGCTCAACGTCTAATGGAACCGATGATGGCCGCTTACTCATCCGTGCCTGCTATCGTGGAGCTGAACGAAGAGCTCAAAAATATTTACACGACTATAAATTCTCGACTGTTTATTGAAATGCGCGAACTTTTAGCGGTAGGTAATCCCTATATTTGCGTTTTTCTTACCATGTCATCGAATAGCAGGTGGTAGTTTAAAATGGACTCGCTCATGCTCTTTTCTATTTCGTTGCGCTTTCGCTTTTATAGAGCCCTTCCGCCCGCATATTGACCGAATATGCACCAAAAATTCTCACTGGCTGTCGTCTACTGGACCTGCTACCGACTGATAACATGAAAATGGAAATAATCAATTGGTTCATCACTCAACAACTTGCTGAATATCGTGAGCTGTATGAGCCCTCACAAGCCATCGCGTGGCTGGACAAAATTGATCATCGGTATGCTTGGCTGCGCACTAACGTCACTCCTTTGGAACGCAAGATTCGAACCCTTTTCCCACAAGAATGGCTTGTCCTCGAGAGGTAAAGTATTCCCTTCAATGAGGAAGTGATAACTCTGCTTTTCGTCTTGGCAGACTGATTGTAGAGTTCTGTCGTAATACGCGAGCAGATTTAGAGGTCGTTATGCAACGCCGGCGCGCGGAGATAACCCACAATCTCCTGGTATTTGCAATGCAGCGTACAATCGCATTTGAGAGCAGTCTCTCGAAGATTGCGACTGGCGCAATCTTGCTAGAAGAACAGAGGAAGTCCGAGGAAGAGAAAGAATTACCCAAAAAGGGTGGTGCAAATGCTGAAAAGGAACCTAGTAACCCATTCGACAAAGATGTGGAAGCCGAAGAGCAAAGTACTTTCGGCGCTTTTGATGAGTTTCGTCAAACTGATCCTAGTTACTTTAGTCTGATCTTCTTACTTGCAATTTGATTCAACTATAGCTACCTTTCGGCGTCTTTGCATTCGGTTTATACGATGTGTTTCAGAATTTGAAAATGAAATCAGTTTGCGCTTTATTTGCCGGCTATTCTGGCAAATTTTGTGTTATCCACTTTAAGGTCAATTTCAAAAACTACAATAAGGGTCTCTGCTGCTTTACCAATGGCTAGTGATACTTTACCTTAAGCATACTCGTCCGGTTTTACAGAATCTAAGCCCCTATACCCATCATTCGACCTTCCACAATTAAAAGTAAATGTGCCTGTATACCCCACGTTCTATTATATGCGCTCTTTAATCTACGCCCTATTTGTCTTCACTTGGTGAATAAACAGTTATTTTTTCCTGTATTTTTTAGAAAACATCGCTCAGAATCCTAAATCGCAACAGAGTGCATCTCCATTTGAGGGAATTATTTCGAAGTACGCGAAATTGCAAATCACAACTGTGACTGTCATGGGAGGTTTTTTTGATCTTTTAAATTTTCAGTTGCTTCGCTCCCTATTTTGATCTCTACTTGAACAACATTGAACGGGCTCTAAATGACCAGCTGACTACTCGACTAATAGGCGACTATACTATGAATAAATCGAGCCTGAAAAGCCGAGCCTTTGGGGATGTATTTCGAGACGGCACCGGTTGGTATCCACAACCATATTAGTGTTCTTACTGTCAAGTCTTTCAGTAGCATTATTACATGCTTATCGTTCTTACACAGCACCGGGAGCTCCAGCGAGTGGTGACTTGGCTGAAAACACGCTTTACTCGGCCACTGACTTGTTCCTCCTTTACAAGCAGCTTCTCAAGCAGACACTTCAGTTGACGAGAGGCCAAGGTCTTTTGGGACTGGTGGGATTGCTTCGAAAGTACCTCGGCGAGTACACTGAGAAAGTTCTCCTGCCAGGCATACCCGGGCTCACTTCGAATTCTTCATCTGGTAGTGTTCTTACAAAACCTTTCAGTCTCAGTAGTCTCGCTTCCTTGGGTTAGTTAACGCTTACTCTTATATCCTTACTGTTTTGAGGCTTCCGTTTATGTCTGTTTTAAAGTTGTAGCCGATACTCTTCTTTCGATTCTGTTTCAAGTATATGTACTTGATCGAAAGCTGAAGTCTTTGTAAAATAGTTTAGGTTTGTTCTTTTGCGTTTTCCTTTGAAACTATTTTTTAGCCTGTGCATTTCGTTAGCCGCCTTCTCTGCTTGCAGAGACTGCTAAACGAAAACATGCTGAGCACTACTGTCCCATTGCCGTTAGTTATTTGACGCAATATGGATTAATTTATTTGTGAATGCTTAGCATTTGATTTAGCATATCTATGGTCTGTTCACATCTGAATCTTAATGTTAGACAGTTTATGGCGGGAACTTTATAATGCACCGGGGAAATTGTCGACTTCAAATATGCTTAGTAGTAGCGTTTCTCACAATTGCACCGTTGACAACCCGATTACTTTTACCCAGTGGTGGATCCGTGAGTGAGCAGTTAGTCTCTGTCTTCATAGGGTTCAGCCAAAGAAGACTCCCTCATTGATTCATTTTCCCACAGAACTACGGGATAAAGCATACATACGAAAATGCTGACCCAGTGCGTCCAAAATTTTCAGTCTTGTGAAATTTCTCCGCTTTCCTTTTGTGAGTACTACTCATGATGCAACCATTAATTTAGTCCGGGATAATAATAGTGAGCTGTCGGATTGTCTCGAAGTCGTGTAATTAACTGCTAGCAGTAGGGAACTAGATCGCCGACTAGGTGTTTCTGCCAATTTGGATTTTGCGTTTTTCCCCTCTTTAAATTAGCTTATTTTTTTATTTCATTGCCATTTTTGTATTTTTGCTAAGATTTCAAGAATGGAATTCCTGAGAAAAAGTTCAGCAACACGTGTCCCAGGCACTGCATAATCAGTAGACGCTTGTTCATACTTTTTGAATTTGCTTATAAGGACAGTTACTGATTTGCTGATTATATTTCTCGCAAGTCTTTTATCTGAATTCCGCCTGGTAAAAATCAAATAAGCGTTTTGCTGAAGCGCATGATCTGTGCATATTAGTCCCCGACCATGCCACTCAAAAAGGGCTTTATTTGTAAGACGGAGGAGTATGTGCAGGTTGCTAATGGGATTGCTGTCATTGATAATCCTTGCTTTATTTTTTATTCGAGTGGTTTTGCTAGAGTAGGACGCACGCTTTCATGGCGTTCATCATGTACGCCCCTGAAAACTGTCATAGTTGACTGTTCAAGAACCCTAGACATAGTAACAATTATCTATAATGTTTTTGTAAATTTGGACTTTTCATTTGAACGGGGCCATTTAACAAGTAAAAATATCTTTTGAATCCACCATTTTCTACTGAATTAATACCGCTCCGGCTTGTAAGGCATGAGGACATTACGTAAATAACATTCTCTCTCTTTGCACATTTCCTTTTGTATGAGTCATCTAACTGAACGGTTTTTTATTCTCCAGTATGACTTACTAATTTTCCCAATTCCCACAATAAACTTTTAGTAGTTCCTGTCTTATCTATTGCCGTTTTTTAAAGCATTGATGCATTATGGAACTTAGTGTCGGGCGTGCACTATTCACTCAGTCCGTTTCTTCATGACAAGTAATCTGTCTTGAGGGCCTGTTTCATGAATGATCTATTCTTACCAACACGGCTTTTAGCGTAAAATTTGCACACTGCCAAACGTAAGGCCATCTTGACCGTACCCTTCATAAAAAATTTTATGACCTTGTACCTCGCACTTTTCTACTCGAAATACATCTTAGTGTAGTCTTTACCCTTGCCTTGCCTCTTAAATTTCGTTTTGCACAAATGATGGTTAACCGGTTCATTCTAATTTCAAATTTAGTCATCATTTATTGATTCTCACTATTTTTTCCCTGACTGGAATCACTTTGGTTAGAGCTCTACCCAGGAACTCCTATTCTACATTAAAGACAATTTGTAGCATGCTCATTTTGTGAGTTAGTTAGATTAAAATATACTTATTTGGAGTAAAAACAGAAATAAATGATATTGAGGAAGGTAAGTAGAATGCTTGGACTTATTTTCAATTCCAGTTTCGTGGACTAGTCTGTGAAGTTAAGGTCTGTTCGCCCACCTGCTCTTTTTTCACTCGGCGACAACGTGTCTCTTAGTCGGCACTGTCTGGCGAACCAACTCACACCAGGCTTGTTTTTAAAGAACTTAAAATGTCCTTCAATGCGGCGTTTACTTCGCATTTATGACCTACATTGTTAAGTGCTATGGAATTATTTGCATTTTTGAGGTTACGTAATTTTTCCACCCCGGTGAGCCGGCTTGTTTGCCCATGAAAAAGGGCTGTTTTTGAGTTAGTACCTGGAATTTTTTTGAGATTCTGTCTATTGGCTTCCCAAATCACTAGAATTGGTTCGTTAAGGATGTTCGTTTTGACAAAATCTTCGGTAATATTTTGTTAACTAACCTGGTCAATTTTTCAATGGCAGATGTAAGTTCACCGCTTTCTTTACAAGTTTAGCAGTAATTGTTTTTGAGTGATTCAACCAACTCATCACATCACTTTTTATTCCCTAAATTTATTGTCGCATTGCTCTTTACGCTTTCCTTTCATGAAGGCTTGAGCCAAGATGACAGCTCAGCGGCCAAGAAGGATAGCATAACCTTCTCGGCCAGCAATTTTTCCAACCAATTCTTTACCAACTTCCTTCGTGAGGATCAGGTGGGTGTCTTATTTCTTTTATTTTATAAACACTTAATAATGCAAAGTGCTTATTTTCCCAAATAATAAACGCTCTGGGTGAGTTACGCACTGCATCAACTCAGCCAACGTCAGGGGAAAATTAATGCTCGCTGATATATGCATTACATTTAAATTTTGATATTTTGTTTATTTTGCGTTTGGTGTTCTTAACCACGGTGTTATCTTTTTTCACTTAGCACCTTTTGTATTCACGCCTGTGAAGGGATAAACAGTGGTTTTACGACTAAGCCTCATGCTCATTTCACCGATGAGGAAGTAAAAAATTGGCTTAAATGCGAAGGCGTTCCCGTGCTCCAACACTTGCTCGATAACATGCATCTCCAAGTGGTTCTCGAAACCCAAGTCCTAATTTGATTACTTTTAATTTGATTAATGGACTTTTTCTGGGTCCCTCTCAAAGTCCACAGCAGCTAAAATAGCTTAACTTAAACCCGTTTTTCTGTTTGCTTTATTGCCTTTACCGTATCGAAGATTTGTGTGCTACCTGGCCCGTCTGAAACAATGAACGTTTTGAAGCCATAAAATGTTCCGGACTGGAAGAAGTTGAGTTAAATTAAATTAAAAGGCCTTCAAGTGGCTCGTAATAAGCGTGGGCTGTTGACTCTTTAACCCCCTGCTAATTCTTTTCCTTTCGGTATGCGGTGTATTCTTTTTCGTTCCCCACACTCGGTAAGCCTGTCTCCGACTTGGAGTCCGTCTTGTTTTAGGTAAAACGGAAATTATAAGTTGTGAATTTCATTTCACTTTCTGATTCTGCGTGTCTTGATTACCCTTGCCAGATAGAGGCAGGCTTTTCTTTAGCATTTGCGTGTATGTGATTTCTGCCTATTCCTCTATTTTCGGAGTAGTTTAATGTGGGGATGGAAATCGGACTTTCTTAGGCTCTTCTTTAACGGCCCTTTAATTTTGGGCAGTGCCTACTGCAAAGAAGGTTAATGGCCGATATGTGTAGTTGCGAGATGTCCCTTTAAACTTGGTGCTTTAAAAATGATAAGCTATTCTCTTGTTATTCAAATTTAATTAAATCAAACAAAATATTCATGCCATGACAATTCTTGTTGTTTTTTGGTGTAAAGGGAATTTATTTGAGCATTTAGTTCCGGATAAAGGACGACTTTATAAGAAAGCAAACTTTACCCTAAGCTGATGTTTTCAATCAATTGACAACTCGCAATGTTCACGTTTAATCCTTGCACATATCTAGGATTCTATTCAATCTAGTATCCACCATCTTTTGTTTGAAATATCGCTGTTACTGTGTTGGAACTTTTTATCACAGTTTTATATTAATCCTGCTGTTAACACAAACCCTGTAATAATAGCGTTTTACAGCCTTTTTCAAAGTAAGTTGAGCCTACATTTAAATTAAAACCATGGCATAGCATACCGCTTGCCTGCCTGTCTAGTGCATTACGATGTTTCTGTTTCTGTTTGAAGTGTTTTCTTTTTTTGGTTAAATGGTAAGCACTGCCATGGATATACTCTAGCAATATTCTACAACGCTTATAAATTATCAGCTCAACCGACTTCCCAGCCTGAGCTTGCTCATCACCCTTGCTCTTTTAACCTTATTTAGCCTATGCATCTGTCTAACGACGAAGTTATTCGTGTCTGCGTGATTATCGTCACCGCCACTTACTGTATGAAGACTGTTGAGGAATTGGAAAAGCGTCTCAAAGCTGAGGTAAGTGAGCGTTGGTGTGTGTGGGTGTGTGAATTTGAACGATAAATTGATATCTCTAGATGCCACTTTTATGTCCTTCAAGTAATTCCGATTGAATTTCGTTAATGTTTTGATAGTATGTTGTTTATTCTCCGTATTTGTTGGAGATTCGTGAATCTATAAAACTGCCGACTAGTTACACCGAATATGTCACACGGATTCTTCCCCTCTGGGTTTTTTTCCTCTCACTTGGTACCTAGATGTATTCATTTTATCCTAATGTAAACACACGGTGGACGTATTTGTCAAGAGACCTGTGTTGTTTGGTCGGGGTGTTACTTTAGTTTTTTTTTCCTACTCAATTTTGTACTTAAGTGTATGTGCACTGTTTCAGTAACTCATGTAAACTCTACTTTTTTCACAAAGAACATAGTGCCGGTGATTGGGGAATCTTCGCAGTTTTACCTATTTTGTAAACCTGTGCCTTTTGAAGCTGTTATTTTGCCGAAACTGCCAAAATTTTCATATTCACTACCATTGGCTGACTATCATGAATGCTAGTGTGTCCTGTAGAAAAGTGCCATTCTTTTTGTACTGGTATATGTTCGTCGTCAAATTTGTTTTTTTTTTTTGAATCAGTGGTGGTCAAGCGTACGCACCACCGACATTGGTCAGCAATACTCCATTTCCTGTTTTCTGTGTCACAGTGACTGACTATGTTGTGAATTTCCTTGACAATATTGCATTATATTTTCAATAGCATCACAATCCTTTTCACTTTGTGGCCTTGGGTTTCCCTGATGTTCTCCTTTAGATTACGTCTGAATAACTTTGGCTTTTTATAAGGAAGAAATACGCCGTATAAGTTATCATTCTCCCTTTCCTATCTGTACACTAAATAATAAAAGTGCATCTACCTGGTCCTCCCAGTGACAAATTTTTCAGTGTTTTATGCTCGCGGATGAGCATGTTGCATGTGACAGTTGGGGAAGATACCTTCTAAACATTTTTTTCTTATATATAAGCCTCTGTATTCTTTGAAAGATTCCTTTACTCAATCTGCCATTTATATCTACTGAGGTCCCTCCTACTTTGTGTGGTACGGGAGCGGATAAAATATTCACGAGCAGTGTTTTTGCATACCGGTTTAAAGTAATTGCCGCAGGAGCTTTAATCTCCTATGAAGCCCGATATTTCCTTTCTAACAACAGGCTTCGTATAAATAGCGTTTTCAACATACCCCCTCAGGACACCGCTCTAAAACGCATCGTCGACCACGTGTAACGAGTCCCCCGCGAGACTGCAAACTTTATTTTTTTAATGTCCAGGGTAAATTTTTGATGTTCTTAACTGTACCCGATGAATGATTTTTTTTCTCCTATCCTATACAACCTTCCGTAGTTTAATTTATCTCAGATGATGGTTGATAACTCCTAACTTCTCAATTCTCATTTCTGCGCAAAAAACCCGGGATTTTTCGCTATTACCATCTGATTGTTGCAGGTGTGACTGTCTTCATATGCCACTTTTCGCTCCACTGTTCTTTTTACAGTAAGCGGGCCTGCTAAAGCCTCATTTTTCAAGAATAATTGGGCGTTGATTTTCGTTGATTTTCCTCAAATCACACAAACACTGCTCCTGAAAATGATCGTTTTGTCCACCTTTCATATGTTTACGACCAGTGGTTCGGACTCTAGTTGATTGTATCACGAAATCCATGTCTTAAGTTTAACTAGGCTGGTATTCACCTGCCTTCAGTTCTCATTAATAATGACACATTTTGTCTCTGGGCCAGTTTTCAGCATTTATCACCTCTTGTGAACTCGAACCAGTTAAGCTTTATGCAGAATTAAATAAAATTCAGTTGCTAATTCATTGGTTTATTTGAAGCTAACTTATGCACCCAATCATTAGTTATCCCTTCGCCGAGTTTCCACCAGGCCTCAATCATAAATTTTTACTACTTTTCATCCAGAGAGGGTCTAACCTCTAGTTTGATTTTTGACGTCCCGTTTATTTTCAAAACGAATTGCAAACACAGTAAGAAGCTAATATCGCATCGCATTTGATGCAAAACATTATTTAATCGACACTAAATCAGTTGCATTATTATCAATCAACAATTAACGTCTTTTCTGTCTCTTGTGTGCTATCTTTTCTGCCTTCATTTCTGTTAATAAATGGCAAAAGCTTTCCAATATATCGCTTTATTAATGGGAAGTTAGTCGGTATCTCTTCAGGAAATCGCTTTCCTGGAAGAAATGAATTATTTGGGAACTATAGCCGTGAACACAGGAAATCATCACACAATTTACGGGAGGACATTCTACCTAAAATATCACTCGGCTGAAAGGTCCTGTTTAATTTTTAATTACTTCACTCTGGCAATGCCATCTTGTTGACTGTCATCCTTCAAGACAATCCTTCTGCATGCGTGCTGTTACGTGTCGGCACTCCATTGGATACGTTTTTGTCCTCATAGTCTCTTTGGCTCTTACTAATTAGTCAACTTTCTAATTACTCTTGAGCCAGACTCCTCAATTATGTATGTTCTGATTCAATACATCTAGGAACTTTCTTCGTGTCCTCTAAATGTTTATACTGCAGCTACTACTGCTACAGGCGTCCAAATTCATGTCTTTAATCAATGGGGGTTGAGCTAGCCACTCTCGGGTCCCTACTCTTCCTGTCAATCTGTACTCATTTTTAAAGCAGGTAAAAAGATTCCTTGCATAGGGATATGTCTGCTACCTAATAGCAGTGGTCACGAACTCGGAAGTGCCTACTTTAGCTTCTGCTTTCTAGTTTACCCTTGCATTCAATTCAGTGTCATTGCCTCAAGGTTAATTGTGCTCGTGATTTCCAACTTCCCTGTGGTTTTTAGCTTAAATTTTTATGCCCTATTTTATCAATAATGCGTTTGGAATGTCTTTAGTTGCAGTCCACTTTTGCAATACCCCATGTTACCTGTTTTACTCAGTTGGGATTTTGTTTTAGTTTCGGTTGATCTACCACAAACTTTTCTTGTCTAGATATGCGGACATGTTTACACATTTTATGCGTTCTAACAATTGCGTCCCCATAATCGAAAAACATCTTACTGGAAGTAGAAGTTTTTTTGTTTGGTGCAGTGTATGGATTTGCAGAAAGAATCGGTTGTTATCTTAAAATTTGGACCTACCTCACAAATAAGACTGCCCTTCACCGATGATACAAGCTCGTGGCTTGTGCTCATACAATACACACATAATGGTGCTTTTGCTGACGTTTTCATAGCTCATAATCCTCTTTACAAATATTTTTAGTTGGTATTTTTAGTTTAATTTTGAAATTTTCCAAGCGAAGAGGCTATGAATGTCAAGTCTGCAGACCGATGGTGTACCCTTTAGCATTAGTGTATGTGGTAGCTGGGAAATTAGTATCATAATCAGAGCCCATTCTGTATTCGTACGTGTCAGGCGCTGATGTCTGTAGTGGCTTGAGTCAGGAAGCGCTTTTTTTGCTGTACTACTGAAATGCCCGAGTTACCCCCAAAGATGTCCACAAGTGGTACATGGGAAGGCAAAAAACGTTGCATAAGTGACCCAAGCACAGTCCATGCCACTGTTGTGGAAGCCGAATCAGGACAGGATGAAATGCTTGCGCATCTCTTTATATGATTGGAAAAATTGCTATTACGTTATAACATATAACCGTTTCTTTATTTTTATGTGTTTTGTATAGTAATGTTCATGGAACTCAAAATCCGCTCTCAAGGAAAGCCCTTCTTCTTACCTACTGACTAACAATGGCCTTAAATAAAAACGAATTCGGTTCAGTTTATACTGGGGTGTCGCCTGAGTTACCGCTAAAGGCGTCTAGAGGTAGCATAAAGAAGAGTTGAGAAACTAGTCTCGTATCGTCGCCGTGGGGGCCGAATCAAGGTGGACCTAAAAGGCCGTCATGACCATGGATGTGTAATTGTAATATCATTCAATCTGCGTATGTACGCTCTGTAGGTGCGTCCTGCCTCGCTAGCAGGGGAGGTAAGTTTCGGTCCGGAGGTGAGCAGTCTGACAGACTGCCGATCGGCATGCGTGCACCGCCTTGTGGCGGACCTCGAGGCTTCCGTGGTGCCGCAGCTCACGGCTATGACGCGCATGCCCTGGGCCAGCCTTTCTGCTGTTGGTGACCAGTCGCCATACGTCACTGCCATCATTGCTCACCTCAAGTCTCAGGTACCGCTCATGAGGGATACCCTCTTCTCCGTTAGGTAACTACTTTCCCTCTTTAAAAATATTTTTGGGCTCAAATTATTTGTACTTCTCTACTGCAGTGTATTTTTACCGATCTTATATGCGTGATTCCGAGTCCCTGGTAAGTTTTTTATCTGCATAATTCATTTCAGCCTGATGGCTATATAGCAGAAAGTCTAACACCCTAGATAGAGAAATGTGACGTTATAATATGTGAATGCAAAGTGTGTGAAAGCAGAGTTGTTAAAAAATCTTGACATAAATGTGTCGTCTGCGGTAAAGATGCATCAAGGTTGAGTCAATGGCTATGTTCATTTTCGATGGCTTCATTCGCATTTCTTTTTACAAAATAACACATCCAGAAGGAATTCATAGCTAACTGCCTTGTGATAATGGAATATATCCAGCTTTTCACCGGCACTTGGTTGTGTTCGCTCCACCTATCAATTGATATTTGGCCAGTTATTGAAAATGTGTGGGTGATAAAACTGCAAATGGTAGGTGTATTCACGCGCAGCAGATTTTAGTATTTTGGTAACAATGAAGTAGCTCATGGCAATGGCAATAGCCTAAGTTTTGCTTTAGAATCGTTTGTTAAATGTTTGTGGTAAATGTTTAAGTTTATTTCACTGATACTGTACCAGCGTTTGTCCCCGTAGACTGCTGCTACCGATCTCGGTTTCCCAAATTTTATTCTTTCTTTCGGTCTGGCTTCTTTCCCTAGGAACAAAATATAAGGTGCGTTCTTTGCTAATTAAAAGTAGACCTTTAGTTAAAGAACATACGAATCAAGCGTTTAGTTACAAGCTTAAAATAACAACCAGTTAGAGACTGAGGTTCCTGATGTCTTTTGGTCGCGTTAAATGCTTTTGTGCTGCTCATCTATGATATTTCTATGGGATCTCTAACATTTCACGCGATAGGTTATTTCTGGTTAGGTGCCATTACTAATGGCCCTTTTTAATTGTCCTATTTTTGTTTAATTCACATTTCTCTTAATAAAAAGGCTTAGTAAAGCCAGATATTTATAGATTGCTGTTAGACTTTGATTAACTAGTACACTCATTCAAAGGGAAGGGAAGCAGCACTGCTTTCTTTCGATTGCCATTCCATTTACCTTTTATTAGATTATTGTCACTTGGATTATGAGGTAGCAAGTTAACCATACCTTCTTATTGGTAAAATCGTGCGAATTAAAGTGATATGTTATCTCATTGTCTTGTTTGGTGAAAATTATGACCGAAGGTGCGTCAATAGTGTGCCACTCGTGAGTGCTTTTTGGCGGCTGTAGGGCCCACTTCACGCAGATCTGCATAAAGTTTGCTGACGCGATAATCAATCGCTTTGTGGCCTCCCTCTACCGGTGCAAGCCACTCAATACATTTGGCGCTGAGCAGCTTCTTCTAGACACCCAATGCCTCAAATCTGCTCTCCTCCAGTTGCCTCTGTTCGGAACTAAGGTATGCCTACTTGTACTACCTTGCTTCTTGAAAACTCATGCTCTGAACAATAAATGTCAATATAATGCGCCATCTAGTAGGAAGATGTAAATACACTTTGAGATTGACTTCTTAAAGGCGTAGCTGGAAACTTCTCCATTGTGTAAGATCTTTTTTCAACTATTTAAATCGAGTTTGAAGCAGATCTTAACAGACTTCTGTTTTAACGCCTTAATAAAAACATTAACCAAATGGTCTGTGCGTACTGTCCCAGTTCGTTCTTATCTCCACGTCTCCACCTATTTCGTTACTTCCTATTGAGTCGTTTCCACCATATACCCGTAGCGTATATGCGTGTCAATTTAGATTGATTCATTTAACCAACTTTTCCCTCTCAGTGACTGAAAGTGTCGAATTACGGTGGTGTGTTCAGTTGAAAAACCGTGGTAACTTTTTAATCCATTCAAGCAGCGTCAATGTTTGCACTATTTCGTCTCAGTGTAATTTTATGTTGAACTTAGCGATTGCCCTATTCATTTTTGGTTATCGGTATATGTGTTTGTGTGTCTGTGCGTAAAGGGGACGCGAATCCATTCAAGAAGGGGCATTAGTTGAAATCGGATAGCAGGCAGCGTAACTTTTGTGCTCCAGCTTTTGGTGCGTGCTTGTGAAAGTGCCTCCATTCAATTGTGGACAGCAATGGATCGCTTTTAGTCAGGCGACTTGACTCAATAAAGGTGGTTGCGAAGTTTCATTTGGCAAAAGCGCAGTGTGGCATGAAAGAAAGTGTAGTGTGAGCATGAAACGAGCTGGCAATTTTAGAGTGGCCTCGAAGATACGTCCTGGTGAGAGCCGGAGTTTGTTAATTTGACCTCTTCTTGTCCGGTTCGACTATTTGGCTCAGACTTACTTGGTCCATCATCACACAGTCGCCACCGTTGCCCTACCCCATCTGTCATGTGTGTGCATCTCCAAAGTGCAGCGTGGAAGGAGAGGTGGGGAAACCGTTTTTGTGACCTGGACATTTTTCGCCTTGTAATCCATACGTTTTTTTGCCCGTTGTGCAAAATAAGAGTCAATTGAATATGCTTTTGCACTTGTTTAGGTTTTAGTCTATTCGCTTACAGAACTGAGGTAGATATCAGCAAAAATACATGTATTTAAACACATTGAGGAAGAAATGGGTTCTGCGCATTTACCTCGGTGATAGACGACATTGCTGTTGCTCAACAGGATTAAAAGCTTGGGCAAAATGGCTTGATTTAGTTCTATGTTCATCCCTCAATTGGGATTTCCACTTAGGTTCTTTTGCCTTTATGGTGATTAATAATTACTTCGTAAAATGCAGAAGCTGGTTATCTTTTGCGTACAGAGTAAATTTCGCTTGTATCGTATTTAGGTGCGATGATTACGGTTGTAACTTAGCGCTCTAGATTGCTAGACTAAGTAACAGTGAATGTTTACGCTACTAAAAATCATTAAAGCGGTTCGACAAATTATTCTTCTAAAAAAAGCTTAAAATGGCTTGTTTGGATGAGATGTTACCGTTCTCTTTCTTGAATAAGCAATTAATCTACCACTTTTTAAGCAAGATATGATTTGAACTTTTTGTGAACAAATGGCTTCGCATTTGGTTCATTCATATTTTGTATGCTTACTGTGTGAACCTTATGTATTGTAGAATTTTTGGAAAAATGTTCATACCGAACTGTTTTTTCATCGAACACAGAGTTATGCACCTGTTTTTTAATTCCTGGAATTCCACGGGAATTGGGATTTACATAAGACCTCATCTCTTGCGAACTTTTAGTTTAGATGTCATGGTGATGTAATTGATGCCTGAATTTGCCGGAATCGTTGTTATCACTCCAATTCGCTTGAAAGGGGTAGTTCTCTGCTCAACTCACATGCCTTCAGATTGTTTTTTTATCCGTTTTTACTTTTGCGTCCTCGGTCGAAAATATTATCAACTTGAAAGTGGCGTTGATGTCGATGTCGATAATCACATTTTCAGTAAAATATTTTTGTCTAGTAGCTCTTGGTTCAGGAGGCGTCTTCTAATAACCGTATGAAGGCTGGCCGATGTTTTAATGCTGATGCATTCAACAGTCTAGTGTTCTCATATGCGCTCGATTTTCCTTTCGTACACCAGGCGAAAACATTGCTTGCTAACATAATTTCAGGTTAGAAAGCCGATTTGGGCTTAATTAATCTTTGTACAGAATCTTTTAGTCCTTGAACCTTTTGGAACTTTTGACTTACAATTCTATTACTAGGTTGATTTGATATTTTTGCGACTTCTTGTTTTTTATTTAATTATTGTTTGTGTTTTGATTAACCACTTTATTCTTATATTAACTATATTGTTACTCATTAATAATATCTGATACATTATGGAAACTGTTTTTTGATTTACCCATTAATCGCCTACGGATACATTACGCTGCGTGATTTTGGTTTTGGTGCTGATGGGTGGTGTGATGCCTTTAATAGAGGGATTGGTTTTCATTGCGTAACTTCTGAACAGTATTCTATCCATCACTACTTCGTCGACGCATTCCAGTGGTTATCTCATATACAAAATTTTTTAGAAAAAAACTGCGGAAGCCGCATTTAGTGTGGGCTACTTTTTACAGGTAGTCTCGCCCGAAAACCCAATCCGTTACAGGCATTTAACAGTTTAGAAGATAACGGCTTTGAAATGCGCTGGTGCTCGACCCAATAAGTGTACTTTAAAGGCTGCATCTTTTGCTCACATGTGGAATGAATTGTTGTTTTTATCTATTCCTGCTTGCTGATTGCGTCCCCTTTCGACTCAATGTTACTACGAAAAGGTGAATCGTTTCTGACCAGTAGAACTTCTCAAATTATTTGATGCCAATGAGTTAACAGGACCCAACTTATTTGCTCTATTTCTTGGTCTTTTTTATTCATTACTTCCAAGGGGGTACATTGCTCAACTTATTCAAAGATCCATTTTAACTTCCTCTTCCCCGCCCTATATTTTCTAAAATCCTAGATTCTTTAAGTACTTTTTGGAATCTTATTAAAACTACAAATATATAAGCATTTTTCGCTATTATTGTTATCGTTTTGATGAAAGGTAAGGAAACACTTCAGTTCGCTAGGTTGGGAATTTTTTAGTATGTGGATGAATTTATTAAAACGGTATTTCACTTTAACGCTGCCCGAAACCTGAATTAACCGCTCTTAAGCTTGCAACGGAGCGATTAAAATCCTGTTTGCTCCCCTTTTCCACTAAAACTTAGATCGCTGCGCATTCGCTATTTATCTAGTTACTTCTAGCGTTTCAACTGAAACGAATTGTTTTAGTAGTTTGTGTAAAGGAAGTGTTACCTGATTCCTTTCGCTCTCTTGCCGTATTCACGTCCTTAAGAACGGAGGGCTCATTCTTATGGGTTTTGTTGCGAAATGCATTGTTGGTTTACCAAAGCAACAATGCCTTTACTGCCATAACTTATCAAAGATCACAGGCTTTTATGCCCGCGTAAATAACAAGTATTGTAAGGGAAATTTGAAGGATTACCGTGCGTGCTTTGTTGCAACGTTACGTCGATTATTAAAGTATATTTACCCATGGTGGGAATTAGTGTAACCCCATTCTTTCTCCCTTAGCTAAATCGTTACACAATGTATGTGTGAATAAATGAATACATGCCTGGAGGGTGAACGCATTTATCTGTTCTCACATAATTCTCTTGCCACTTTTCATTGTGTTTATAACGAGTTCCATCTATATAAAGAGGCACAGCCTATTTTTATCTCATGACATTCGGTTGTGTAATTTAATAGGCGAATTTATTGGAATGGTGCTACTTCACCTCGATTCTGAAATTTTCCGCTAGTTGGTCTTTTTGCAATGTTGACCATTCCTCACTTTTCCTCACTTAGCAGGGATTGTTCTATGCATGACATGTTTAGCTTTCTAAAGTGGTTGACCAGGTAATGGCGCTTTTTGAGAACCATGACAACAGTTCATCGTGCCTTAACTTTTCATTATCATTATGTTAAAATAATGCCTCTGTTAAATTCCGGTGACTCAATCTTATGCCAAATATTTCGGTGTGGATTTTTCATTGGAGCTAAGAATTTCTGCTGTAAAATGTGTTGCAAGCTAAAATTTCACCCTTTTATCCTTATTCTCCGCCATCATTCCACGCTATGCATAATTAGCTTCAAATTTTGATGTTTATGCGAACGAACGATAATTTGACCTCTAGTTGAGTTCCTTGCTGAAATAAGTGTCACTTTCACTCTTGTCATGTGTTATGTGATTTATTGAAGCTGGTCTTAACCGCCTGTATTCGTCTGCGCAAATTGTGATCGACTATTCTCGAACGCTTACGAACAGTGTTCCCCTGCCGACATTTCCGGCACCTTCCCTAGACCGATTTAAACCTCAAGCGCAATTACTGGGAATAGTCCCTATTCTTTTCAGGTATTGAAAATCCAGAAATATCTGGACAATTCGCAATATTTCAGATGTGGACCGACGTAATGCCGCAAAAAAATTAAGTCTCAAAGTTCCAAAATTATCAATTTAAAAAAAAAAAACTGTTTAAAAATCATTGTTTAATGAAGGGTGCTCCAAAATTGCATCGGACTATTATTTGCTATCTTTGATGAATGCATTACAGTAGATGACTGCTTTTTATTGGTGTACTGGTGTTATTTATAGGGAAACTGCCATTTTTTGGCAATAGAAACTATTGTTCAAACTTTACCAGATTCAATTTTATAGTATTTCCGTCATAGCTACTTGACACTAATTATCTGTGTACTCTTCAGACTAGACGATTATTGTTTTGGCTGCGTTAAAAGTCTATCATATCCCTTTTCATTAGTGCTCGACAGTCATTCTGCTTACTGACGAACCACATTTCTCAGTCGTGCGCTTCCGCGCTCCCAATATAAATTTACCAAGATTTATATTTTAGAAGTTTGTGAAGCGACTTACTCTCAATGTAAGGTTGGCAGTTTTTGATGCTTAGCCATTTGGTTAGCCAATCAAGCGCTATCTCTCCCTTCCCGTCCCATTTGCCAACCTCAGTGCGGGTGTATGGACTGAGGTGTGAAAATCACTGCTCCACTCGCCATCGCATTTTTGCATGCTAAAGGAGGGGTAAAATCACCTGTAACAGTCGAAAAACTCTTCTCCTTTTGGGGGCACTTTTTACCGCCGCAAGCACTTCAAGTGAGAGAGCTCACATTTTCTCCTCCTGACTCCTATCTTTGTGCCTCGCGTTCTACTTGATTCATTGGACGTGAAACTGTGGCATTTTGAGGGCAGCGCTGAGCTTTAATGTGTGGCAAGAGCTTTCCTAATTTTAGTTTCTTAAGCGATTTTCGCTGCCTCCTATAGTAGCTCTGGTGGTTCTCGGTTTGTCTGAATCGTTGTATGAATTTTTACCCAATTCCGTTGCGAGACTGATTCCTTCTGTGTCACATTACAAAGGCACACGCAGCAGTTAGGCTCCTAGGTAAAAGTAAGAGTTGCATTGCTACGTGCACCCGTCTTTGGGTGGGTGCAGATACGCCCTATAAATTGTTTATTTTAATGTCGCTGCTTTGCTAATAAATGGTGGCTTACATACTGACTGTAGTTATTACGTCAATTAATGCCAGAACTTGGTAAAATAGGTTGCGTTCATTAATTAGGTCTTTTGATTGGGATCAACGCGGAATATAATTGCACTTAAACTGAAAAGCTTATTTTAAATTTCATTACCTGCTTTGTCATCATTATTTTCTATTTTAGTGAGTTTTCTGGCTATTTACTCTTTAGTTTTCAGATCAAACGCTCTTCAACTTCAGTATCTACCAGTTCCCCTATAGGGATGCAGCAAACAAGCGTTACGCTTCAAATAGGAGTGGTGCACCAAATGCCTAACACGGACATTATTTCTCTCCACGCATTCCTAGCTATTCTGAACAAATCTCCATTTATTCAATGGCATAATTTGCGTTTTGTTTTGTGGCCTTATTTGGGGACTTATTTTTTTGCCAATTTTAGTTCATTTTACTTCTCGAAAATACATTTTGGATCAATCATTGCTTGCCTCTGAAGAGGGTTTAGCGCACGCAATGATGGTTTCTATGTTGATGCCTTTTGCCCATTAAAAATTGGTCTTGGTCACGAAATCGCACTATAAGTTAGCACCTAGATTAGTGAGATCTCCCTTACGCTTTTAGGTATATTTGGCACTGTTTTGTTAATAATCCCACCTCAGCGACTCTTCTAACCATTTCAGCTTGTTTTATCGTTAACTTTTCAAGCCTTATTTCGTAACGATAAAATGCATTCGTTTTAAACCATGCCTTGCGTCTCATTGCAGCACACCTTGGACATCCGCGTCTCCTATTTCTCACCGTTCCTTTCATCCCCATACCATTATGCGCGGTATAAGGAAATACTGTAGTTTAGGCGGTAGTTTGTTGTACGTTCTTTGATTCGAAATGGCGTTATAGGTAAAATGGCTAAAAAACGACCTGGAAGGTGTTTATCTTGGGTTCTTTTTTGAAACATCGTTGCGATACATTTTAGTAAAAATTCCTGTATGACTCAGGCCGTATTCTATGGCAATGCTCATTTTGAAAGGACTACCACAATGTATGAATCCTAGAACACGAAGGTTTTAAACTACCCTATCAGGTAAAAATGGATCTTGTAGAAGAATAGTACAAGGCGTTGCTCTTTTAAATTATCCATACAATGCAACGCTATTGTTGTTATTTGCTGGAGTTTTAAGTCATAAACACATCTCCCAGCTTATGGATTCTTAAAGTGTTTTTTTCGGCGAACTTATTCCAACTTATTTGTATGTCTAGCTTACCTTCCTAATTTGTTTGGTTTTTTCGCACTGTCTGGTTTTCACTCATTCACTTCGCGTCAGGTGCCTTCATCCTCTACCCATTGTGGGTGGGGGATAACTGGCTTGTTGCAGGCGTCTCATTTCACTCCCTGCTGTATGCACAATGCTCTAGCTAGCAAAAAACAGCTTTGATTTCCAGGTAAACTGACCCAGTGTGCTCTTTTAAGTCCTGTTTCAATCCTGGTTTTAGTGTCTCCCGCTAGGTAGACTCCTTTTCGTGCTTCAGAGCACAGTTATGCAAATCCGTCTCAGTATGATGGTAATTTCAGTTTATTCTATGAACTTAAATGAGATTATGCCATTAGGAAGCCAGCGCTTTACCTCGTACTCGATTGTCATATTTTAATGCAATCTATCTAATACTCAAGTCTCCATTCGGTTCATGTGTCAAGCACTTTTAAAATAAACTTGCCAGGTAGATGTTAGGATTATTCCTACAAATTTGGCCTTGGTAAATGAAGTGTGTAGTCGAAATGCTAACCTTTAACTTACCTCACTTGTTGTTGATGATATTGTGGCGCCCTAGTCATTCTTAAAGGCTCTGTAGGATGTACGTGTTCGGAAGTAGCTTTATTGTAAATGTGCGGAAGAGCTGGAAAATTTCCAGCATGCGTGGATTGGGCTTGGCTTAAACAGCCAGCATAGTCGAATATACAAACACAACAAATATTTCTTCAGGTTAAAGGGCAAGCGATAACTGCCTCCTGTTCGTGTAATTAGGACATCAATACCACAACGATGTGTGCACGCATTCACATTGCTGCTTTGTATTTGCTCAGATAACCCAGCAGCCACCGCGCACTTTCACAGCTCTGGTGCAAGAGGGCATGGCTCATGCAGAGCGAATAATCAAATCGGTCATGCTGCCCATTGGTTCGCCCGCTGGCGGCACATCTCCTCCTGCGTCCGTGCCCACGACCTCCGTCGCTGCTGGGGCCACCACAAACCCCTTCGACACGCCCGCTGCAAGCGACGCCCCTCCTCCACCCACACCCACCGGCTTTGTGATGGGTCCCATAAGCAGCAAGGCTGCTGACGCCTTCGTCAAGAGCTTTTTGCAGCTCATTCCCACGGCTGATCAGCAAGTCCTTCAGAAAGTCATGGACATGAAGGTGGGCTTTATGCTTCCCTCTCTTTTTACAACATCTTTCACCTTGTTCTACTGTTTTCGCCTGTTCCAGGGCATCAAACGTAGCGATCAGTTCGTAATCATTGACGAGTTTCGCGCGACGATCAAGACCAAAAATGCACAGGAGGATCAACAACAGCAGTCCTTCAAATCCAAGGCCGCGGACATGCATCACTCCGTATCCACTGGCAACGTGAAAAGTCTGCGGGGCAAGAAGTGAAAACATCGGAATCCTTCCTTACTTTTTCTCTGTGATAGCACCACCTCTCCTTTTTCGCCTTCCTTTATTTAAGTATATTTGATGTGTATTTGTGGCTGGCTACTTTCGATCTCTTGTTTTTTATTAGCTCGGTTATGATCTTCAGTAGCAATTGGAGCTTTGATTTTAAACAAATTTTACGACCGCTCACTTTGAAGACACTTTATCTGATAGTACTATGAGTACCATGTTTGCAAACCACTTTAGATGGCTAATCCTAATTAACCATAAATGCATAACTATGAATGCGAACGGTTTAAAATGCGACTTTTTAGATAGATCCCCCTTTGACATTCAAATCTTAAGTATTAGCGAAAGAAAAGGGGATCTTTCAAAATGAGAAACATTTCTGTTCAGATTATCTTCTAGTCTTTTATTAACAAAGCTGCCATGTATTTCTCGCACCATCCGGTATCTTGTGTCCACTTTTTCAGTTTCCCGGCAAAGTAGGCTTTAGTGGTGTATCGAACACTTCTTGTAGCGCTGCCAAGTTTGGTTATCCTGCAAGTGCCTTTTGTTTTAAAAATGGCGGAAGCAATCTTACTGCAGTGCGTTTCTCTTCGTCAAAACTGGTGCTGCTTAAGAACGCGGATCTGAATATCGCGTTTTTGAACTCTCATTTCTAGTTGATGTTTCGATGGTTTCGCCTTTGATTTGTGATAACGTAGCCACCTACCCCTAGCATTTCTCTTCCATCAAGCATTCTTATATTCGGAGATTTGATTATAAGGATGCATGTTTTCTTGGACGATTCGGATGCCGTGTTTTGCGAGCAGTGGATTAACTCAATCTCAGCTGAAGCTGTGTGCTTGCCGTACCCCTCAAGCGATCTTATGGCGCCCATTTTGTGTTGCTTAGTGGGTTTCTCGCTCGCTCAGTCTCAGGGGTGTCATTGTCTTGTAAATCTGACAGAGCTGTCTATCGATTACTGTTTGGTTCTTCCTTTGAAAAGAATGGCGGTTTGTAACGTTGAGCGATGGTTTGATTAAAGTAGATTTCACCAATGAAAGTGAAGTACATTTCTCGTTTATTCTGTCATGCCCACGTAGATGTAGCAGTCATGTTCAAGGTGCGAAAGCATGGGAATGGAGAGGTCCCTCATTTTACCGATTAACTTGAAATTAGTGTTTAAAGTAACTGCTCTAGTGTTAGTACTCAAGGAATCGTTTGTTTTATTTCAAGAATGTTTAACCATAGATGGGATTACCTGTTTTTATGTTTGACATTTGGTTTTGATTCGTTGATTACTCATTTGGGCGTTTTGATTGCTCGGTGTACTTCTGGGAGCGCCTGAAGGCCGTGAGTATTCTCCAATACTACACAAGGATGTGTTTTAAAATGACCAGAAACCTTCATCCTTTCTCTGGAGTTTCAATACAGAACAATATGTGTGACTACACTTGAATTGAAGTGATCTATCGCCATCGAGTAACCGGGATAGTTGGCGTATTGTCTGGTGTGACTTGCTCCACTGGCTTGAAGTGAGCTGTGGTGACTTGTAATATGCAGCCTTTTATATGCATTATAACTCCTAGCCCTGTGTTTTCCTAACAGGACTCTTTATTTGTGCTCTGACTCAGCGTAAAAGCTACAGAAGCCTTTCCTAAAATTTGTCGCCTTCCACTTGGGAATTGCAGTCGAAAAACCTATACCTGGAAATGGCTTAAATAAACTTGATTCTAGTGCTAGATCATGAGATGATAGTGTGTTATGTCCAGGAGGACCTTCTATTCTTGATGCTAGCAGAATAGGTGTCGCTATCCAGAGATACTTGAGAGCAGCACATCCAAGGTCTTCAGTGATGCGTAAGATGGGCGATGGAACAATTTTTCGTACCCACGTCGACAAGAAAAGTTGTGTAAGTTGCGCAGACAAGTCTTGGCCAAGCCCATTAACAGACTAGACAATCACCTAATGCGGAAGTGCGTCGTGCACTTGAGACTTTTGCCCCATACCTGACGGACTTATGATGAGTAATGGATTTTGTATCCCAACACTTGCTAAGCGCAAGAACATAACACTGTCTATCTTCCACCAACCTACTCACCTCTTGATCCCCGAGAAACTGTGCCTATTCTGTGCATGATGAACGACTCCAGTCGCAGTTGTTCACTGTATACTTCTTTTGAAGAGCAAAGTTTATCTGCTTGAAAGGTACAACTCGAATGCGCAGGAGAAGCTTCAAAAACAAACATGACTGCGAATCAGTCAGAAGAAACTGCTATTCTTGAAAGAGGATGCAAGACGTTATAATTCAAGACTTACCTATAAGAGGATCTGTTCTCTAGGATGGAGGGATGTAAATCCTAACCTTATTGCTATTTTCTGTATTCTTTTCAATTTTTAAAGTGGTGAGAATCACCTTATCTTGGCAGTGGACAATCAAGCACCAAATTCTGGAGTTTTAAAATAAGGGTCGAATTTGTTAGCTTGTATTTCGTTGAGAAAGGATCGTTGATTGTAATTGCAATTATCCCAGCTAATAAGAATTAGCATTTTGCAAATTTGGACTCTTAGAAACCGCTCAAAGTTGTTTGATTCCCTTATAGTTAAAACATTTTAAAGTGGCACAATCCATGTACGGCAGGTATAGCACGAATACGAATACCCACCCAATAATTTCGCACTCTGTATCTTCTGCTTCTTTAAAATGCTTTTTAATTGCCTCAAACACCATGAAAGGTGAAATGAAGATGGTTCCTTTTAATCAGCACGCGATGCTGTCATGAGCTACTAGCGTTTGATCACAGACATGGGGGTGGTGGAGTGACTACCAGAAGACCCAAGGTAGATTTCTCCGAGGACAGATCTTTGCCGCCCTAAGACGGTATGGCCCCCCTAAGGTGCACAGAGGGCCCAACTATCGCACCCTTATATCTTTTTTCTCCATAAAAGGATACCGGCGCCTAAAGTGCATCCTCAAACACGAACAACGAAATTTTCCAGAATATTTGGAAATAAGACACAAAGAAAGATCTAGTATTACCTTCTAGAATGCCAAAATAGGAGCCTTTTTCGGTGGTGTAAATGCTTGCAACAATGTATTCTTAAGTTTTGTATTACTTTTCGCCTTTACATGAAATACTGGGAAGGAACTTTTATTCCACTCTTTAAGACATTTAAAAAGCTGTTTCTGGTGAGTTTATAGGATTCTTTTTTCGTTTGCATACGTAATTCAATCCCCTGCTCACAAAATCTGCTAGTTGCTATGACAACGCTTTTGGTATGTTAGTGTCAGAAATAAACCATCTTAAGGAATGTTCGAAGACCAATGACGATAAGTTGGTACACAGGTCAAATCATATTGCTCGTCATTCAGTGTGTGCTCACTTCTTTGATAAATGCGAAAAGGTCCATTCAACATAGCTAACCAAACAGGACTTGCACTACCTCGCCCTATAATCACTTTAACAAGTGATAGGAAGTGGAACCCTCTGCGTGCGTCTTTTGACCTCCTAAAAGAGGGTGCCTGTTTGCTTGATTGGTTCCGACAGCGAATTGTCTCCATTTTTAAATTTCCCACTGACCTTGGTAACCTCATATACGGAACAGAAGGTTTATTCTTTCATTGGCTCGTTCAACCTTTTAAAATGAGATGTGAAAGAAAGTGAAGTTGGGGCTGTTGCCTTAAAAAGATTTTTCATCCCAATCTTTTGAATGCTTAAATTAATCGAACAATTTGATAGTAATTTTCTCTGTATCGGCAACAGCTTGTAAAATAAGTATTATTCTTTGCTGATTTTACTCATCCATTTGATAAAATTGGCATAGATGACGCATCGTTCTCATTATAGTTCTTCCAGTTAGTTTGTTCTGCAAACGAGATTACGCGATATGCCAGGAAATAGCATTGTGGGTTGATAATTTTCGCTAGTCTGGACTGCACTGCTCTGAACATTGTAGGATATAGCTAAACCAGGATGACCTATCCCATTCAGTTAACATAGAATCGTATAAATTGAAGACTCACTGGTATCTTTCCGTATGATCAAGGACCAGTGCCGTTGTTTTGGTAGGCTCTCGTTTGCACGACTCTGAGGACTTGTTATTAAAGGATAGGTTTTTATAGATGCGCCTACCAATTCAATGGGTTCTCAACACCGGTTTTACGCCATGCACACAGCACTGGTGCACGTTGTGCTCTAGCTCAGTGAAATTTTTCCATTCCAACTTCGTTCATACTATTTTTAACAGGTTTTAACGTTGAAAAATAAGACTAATCGGGAAATGAGGACTTTCAACCGAATTTTTTAAATATGGGAAGTAAATTTTCAACCCAGATATCTTATTAATGGGGATCAAAAATGGGGATTTTATGTTTGCCCTTTTTAAAACCAACTGTCTATGCATAATATGCTTCCATTGAAAGACATGTGGACTATTAAAACTTCTCAGATAGCATATTGTCTTTTTGCCTTCATCCAGATAGTTTAATGCGTATGCACTTTTTATCTTCGCTAAAAGCAATGTTGCACTCTTCACCACGCATTGTCATTTAAATAACTGCCATCCTCATCTCTACATGCTACCTCACTCATACTAATTTGCCAGTAGCCAGATTAGGAAGTGTGTTTGCTGTCTTACTCAATTTGTTCCAACTTAAATGTCAGCAAACACTGATTTAGTAGTTCAAACGTCTTCAAAACGCGAGACCTACTCCAATGGCCTCGTGAAATATCGTTGCTTCATTTCTGCCGTTACTTGTTTTTGACTGAAAATTCTTACGATTGACAGATTTTCTGGCTTTTTTATGCCTCTTTCACCTTACCACGTCCCATGTATAAGGTAATTGAAAATTGGTTTGAATAGGAAAATCCAGTAGTCCTCTATCTTTCCAATTACGTAGTCACGTGTTTGTTTATATTTTGGTTCAGAAATCGTATTTGCGCTTATCTCAATGAGTATCAGCAAGCACTGTTTTCCTGTGGTTATGAAGCAATTTTAAATTCGAAAATATTTTGCTTGTTCTCTCCCAAACTTTTCTTTTAGGCAGGCCAATGGAAATATTTTGGGCACAACCTTCGAATTCGATTCTGAAAATACTCTTTTCCTCTAGTATTTTTTAGGTATAACTTATTGTATTCACTGTGCACCACCGTTTCAGTGACTCCATCAATTCAGCTACAGTTGTGCCCCTAGCCAACCAAGAAGCTAAAAAATGCGTTAAAGGTCACCCGTTGACAGGACGTTTTGGTTCACGGGAATTTTGCATGCACCCATGCTAAAAGAGACTGCAAAGAGGGATGAATTATCCTCCTCCACTTTCTTCTGCACAAAGTGTCGCCTGAAGCTGGGAAAACTGCAAATTTTGAGGTCACAGACGTGCTTACAACAGCCCATAAATTCCGGCAGGCTAATGCAACAAATGAAGAGCAAGAGGAAGCAGCGAGCGCCTTTTATTTTGTGCTTCAGCATCTGGTAAGACATCTCGAAAACAGCCTTACGTTGGGGGGTTATATTTACCCAGCCAAATACATACATCTGTACAAATCGACGCAAGTTCGTGTCTTAATTTTAAAAGCGTCTTTTACATTACTTTATTTCTTTACTGTTACATCACCAAACGGGGATATGACTTTTGGTTTTTGGAATGAGAGAGTTCCTTTAATTACCGAAAGTCCCAAGAGTGAATTCATTAATAAGTATGCGTAGAAAATTCATCGTCTGTACAAAACACGGCGTCCATTAATCTTTAGGCACAGCTCAGTTCACTATCCAAAATCATTAGAACAACTCGTTAAAATCCGCTAAAATGGTGTCAAAGTAAGGTAACTTCACAAAGCTAACGGACAAAACAACTATTACTTGGACAAGTGCAAACAGGGGATTTGTTAACATTTTTAGTTGTTTAATAAGATTTTTGTTCATATCAGGCAAGGTTACTACTATTTCAGCCCATCTACCTCCTTTAAGGTGGCTGTTTATTTTCTCATTTTATTAGAGAGGGGTTTATATGCTTAATGGTTTTAAAAACACCACAGAATCACTATGGAGAAGTTGGATTTTATCCACAGTTGATGAAGTCATTTTTTGAATATGTACGAAGGTGTTTTGATGCTCATCACCCCTTTTTCCTTGTGTATGCTGCCTTCGCTCATACTTCCGCTTATAATTGCTATCATGAAGCGCTTGGCTTATCTTCCAGACATCATCGGCCATACAGCGTGACTGACAACTTTAAATAAGGCAACCTGTGAAAATATTTGCTACAAATGACGATCGCTACATAATGGCAATTATTCAAAATTAGTAAATGGGTTATAATGGGAAGGCATGTGAAAAGAATTGAAGTGCCTTTTTTGAATGATGAAGAACCTTTCTTTAAATTTTTGTAAAATTCTAAGGTTTGTCAATCGGGTTTCTGTTTTGTCTTTGATTTTATGCAACTCCTTTAAGCGTTTTTATAGCTGAAATTTTCTATGGCCCATGGTATCGCCCGCGAATAGATGAGCACCAGCCCAGAAACTATTTACATTCTGTTATTCCGCAGTCTTTGGTGCGGAATAATTTAGGAAAGCGGCGAATTTTGTCAATTAGCATTGCCTTCCAATGGTCGTCTTCATGTTTTCGCCATATGACAAATTATACCTTCGTGTTCATCTTGTAAATGCATTGCCTTTGCAACCTTACTTTCCTATTTGGGTAAAGGAATCTGCAAAGGACTACTGAAAGAAAATCCCTACCTGTATTTCTAATTATAAACTCCAAAGTGATTATCGCTTTGAAGTGCAAATCCTGTTGACTTCAGCGGCATCGGAACAATGCGAAAAAGTAACTTCCTTAAAATTTTGCCGAAGAGACCCCTGAATTCACACATCTAGAATAAACGTTGCCCACTTTTGATTTGAAAACTAAGTCAGTTTACAATGTCTTTATTCTATAACACCAAAAATTGCTCAGGTGATAATTTTAATTCAGCACAAGAGTAGATGTAGTGAAAGGGGATTTTGCTCTAAATTTTGCAATAGTGGCAGTAGAGGTTCCTACCCTGCCTTGTAAAGGAGGACAGCCGTGTTTCCGAGGTAGAAGTAAATGAAATGGTTTGCTTCATGAGTTACATAGCTAAAATAGTAAAGATTATGAAATAATAAAGTGGGTGACTACATTTTTACTTCAACAAATGCTTTTAAAGTATCTCTTTTTAGACACAATAAGTAAAAGTTTGGTTTTTAGTCCTGCAAAGCACAGTATATTTAACTAGACAGGGGAAAGGTGTCTGACTTGCAGAGGTAAATGCGAAAAGTCCTGAAGTCTAAATGATCCCAATTTAAAAATCTTGTCTGCCATAACAGATTGCTTGGAGGATATCGATGATAAAGGTGTTTTAGTCACTAAAATGGAGTACAAAGCGAGTGAAATGTACGGTACATTTATCCCAAATACGTGTCATTGCTTGTGCAGTTTAATTTTGCCTCAAATACAAGTAACTTCAAATGCGCAACCAAACGGAACGAAAGGGGACTGGAAGAGGTATTCAGAAGGATCTTACCTGCCAAAGTTTTTGCCCACAATGCAGTGCCAGTTGGGTGCATATCGTTTGTCGAACTCCCTTTTGATGTGAGCAGCGACATCCTTTTCAATGCTGAACTTTTCAAAGGCCTCAGTTGCTACACTCACAGCATCCTTCTGCATCGCTGAGTCCATGTCAGCATTTTTTATGATTGCATCCTCTTGTGATGACATTGTACCCCGCTACTACGAATAAATGATTTCTTCCCTTTCTTTTATTGAAGCACTGGTAATTTATACCCTGTAATCTGTGGCCTTAAAGAATGGATTCATACGGGTAGTGGTGGCATGCGGGTTGAATGAGCATCTTTTTAATCATACGAGGCAGGATGTTTGAAAAGGTGCAGTGTACCGATGTAGCACTGTGAATGTTGGTGTGCACCAAATACCTTTCTTCTAATACAACTTAAGATGTTTCACTATTTTTCAGCAGTTACATATTCATGCTTCTGCTCCACCCACTATCTGAACTCCTTTAAGCTTAAAAATTGCTTCTAAGTGCGGAACTATTTGTGGAATGAGACACAAATAAAAGACTGCTGTGTATGTAGAATTGATAAATTAAGCAATTTAGGTTGGCTTGCTCTGCTTTTGCATGGACAGGAATCACCGAATTTGAAATATCCATACGGGCTAATATAACGTCTAACTTTTCACTGTATAATGCATCTGCATGCACACATATGAAAACACTAGTTCATTTTGGCGGACCGAAGGTTATGCGTTTATAGCAAGTTATACGCTTGTCAAATTTTCTGTTATTATATACACTCAACAGGCCTAAGATAGCGCAGCTTTGAACCTTGGCAAGTTGCATAATCAAGACATCTCAAAACGTTCGTTGTAACAATACCATGCTACTAGTTCAACAAGTTTCCAAAATGAGTTTTAATTCAAAACAAACACAAAACACCAATGAGGCTTCCCGATGGACGTTCAGTACACAAGTCTGTGACCCATTCGTATTTCCCCACTGATTGTCTCTTACTGACTCAAGTCATGTTTCTCCAGATAAGACCTTCAATCCACTTATCAATACATGCGGGCATTGTTCTTAAGGGTCGCCATTTATTGATATCACGGACTCTTACGTCAATTATTACAATAATTAATTATGGGAAAGATAAAAACAAGTAGTGCCGATAAATGGTGGTCTTCAATGCATTCTCCCCGCAAAATGCGTAGGTCTCAGAAGCTCTTTGGTAAAATGACTCCGATTAATTCACAATCATGCATACTTACGGTCAGGTGAACAAAAAATATTACTTTAGGCGGTTTTTCCACTTCCTCTGAGAACTGTTTTAAAACCCTAACCAATGGAGATTTTAGTTTCAAGGAATTCAGAATACAAAATCCTGCTTTGAGTAGAACCGACCTGCACGTTTGGCTAGTCCTTATAATACATTATTTATAATTACGAAGTCCTCGTAATGAAAACTCATTAAGTAAATATTGTGACCTTCTGCTAGAGTGCGCTCCTGCATTAAACAAACCCACTCATTAACACCTTTTACACATTTAAACCCATTATCTAGTAAAATGATAAGTTATTTCTGGCGCTTATGCGAAGGAGCAGGGTGCAAACTTATTTTTGTTGAATGCAGGTCACAAATGATTCTGGAACAGTACATTCTCGGTTTTCATCCTTCCTCTTTGAAAGTAGAAGGACAATTGGAGCGTTTCCCGTTTTTGATGTTGACTAAGCTTAGCACGCTAGTATCAATGCTCCTAAAAGAGCAATCATAGTGTAATTTAGGTTTTTAATTCTAGAATTTGCCCTTCAGAAAGGGCTTTTTATCTTTATTTGACATTTGGGTGGTTAAATGCATAACACATGCTTTAACCGTAATGTTTCCTTATTTTATGTGAAGTTGATTAATCTTCCATTGCCATCACTACTCTTGTACTTAGCCAGAGAACAGCATCTGGGGGATGGAAGTATCCAACCAGACTTGTAAACCGTCCAATGAATGATGACCTCAGGCAGCCATGAGCGAATGAGGTTAAGGCATGCTTCAAGTGTAGCCTTATTGGTTGATGACAAAATCGGACAGACAATCCATCTCCGTAGTCTCACTATTTTGTTATCGGTTTTGACTTCAAATGTTTCACCCATAAAGTAAGTTCAAATGTTAAAAACATTGCTAACTACACGGAATAGTTTCTCAAAGACGATAGCGCTACGCACTATTTACAGTTTCCTTTGCTATACTTCGTCCAATCTATGTTTAAATCCAAGTTCTATTTTGAAACAAGCATAAATTTTTGCGAAATTTTTACAAAGTCAGAAATTGTGATGCCCTGCAACTCAAAAGTAGACGTCGAGTAGCATTAATAATTATTGTAATGGTTTAAATTTCATTTTTACGCTTCATATTAAAACATGCAATTGCTTTTCGGTGTGAGCTAGCGTTGCAAATCGCTCATCTCTGTTATCGCCATTATGGATTAATGACGTCTGATAAACCGAATTTTAGTAGAACGGCTCATAATGCCACGGGTGCATTCATTATGCCTCATTGGTAAAATACAAAGAACTGATAATCATTCGGAAAGAAAGATAAAGACATCTGCGACGGTATAAAAATGAAAACGAGGTAATGATGGTAGACTGTCGGGTACGATCGCAGTTCCGCAATACTTTATCTAAATTTGGAAATCGTATCCTCTTCGGCCACAAATACCAGTCAGTTTTTAGCTAGTTATGGGGTTTATAAACTTTGTAAGATTTTAGCAGCAATAAAGTGGTGAACACAGCTAAACGACAAATTGACGCCTAAAGTGTTGGCATATTTCGGAAATTATCCCGTTAGCATGAATCCAATTCGTACATTAAGGTTTAGTTTATCGGCGACGCATGAACTAACACCACCATGCATTAATTCGCAGGGGTCTTTAATTATCCTATGGGCCACTGGAAGGAACCGACAAATTCCGGTCTCCAAATTATGTTAGTGGCCTAATCACCTTTTAGATGCTCATATTTATTTCGCCTTGCAATTCAGATCAATTCAGATCAGCCAGTAGTTATAAGGGAAAAATTGTGTTAATTATTCCCAAATTTGTTGTGTTTTTGCGAATAAGAATAACATTATGCCTCATGTTTGGTGTTTCAAAGGATGTAAAAATTAGTGCTGTGATTTACACCATCTTATGAACATTTCAGTATACCTTATTGAGCAATCATCAGTAGTGTCTGACTTACCCATATTCAAGAAGCTACAAAACGATCATTTGGGTTGATGAGGTCAAATTCAAGGCGTGGCTTTACAGTAGTTATTGAAATTCCTAGTTTTTTTTTATTTTTTTCCATCGGCAATATCTACATTCATATGTTTGTCAATTTAAATTAGTTTGATAACACCAAGAATGTACTTCACTTCACTGCACTACTAATTTCAAAAGGTTTAGTTTTTAACAGGATCCTGGGTAAAAGCTTCTGTAAAATATTACTTCAGCAAATGAACTCTAGTGAAATCAAAATTTTTATGTCATCTTGACGTCTTGCTCTGTCAACCCCCTATACTTAATCGGAAATGTCACTAAGAGAAGGCAGTTTCAAGACATTTTAACTATCAGCTCTGTTTGAATGTCGTTTGGTGGAAATTGTTTACGTAAACTTTAGAACATTTTTAGCTGAATATAGTTGAAGGAAAAATGGAATAAGAATAAACAGACTTTGCCACTTTTTTGGTGTCCGAATTAAGTCAGTTATGCGCAGACTCGCTGCTGCAACACTTTACCATGAATAAACTTGAAATTGACATATTTTTTTAAAACCTTATGGATTAATCAAATAGCTACGTTTGTTCTAAAAACTTCTGAAGGACCAACCTTATGCGTTTGAGTGAGGTTAAAAAGAATTGTATGAGACCTAAGCATTGGGAAAATTTTCAGCTTAAGTGAAAGCAATGCGCAAAATTACCAGACGTTCACTTCTTCGTCTGGCGTAACCCACAGTATGGCATTGGCCGCGCATATGAAGTTAGACAGAATTCGCAGGTTTCAGTGTTACTTGTGTCCAGTTTCTACTTAGAAGCATTCTGTGAGTATAACTTTGGAGCGCCACATGTGGTGCATTTCATCATAGTAGCAGTGCCAAGGGATGTCTAAATCTTTATGTCAAAACTGCTGACTTATCCTTGTGAAAGAGCAAAATCCGCACGCATTGCTTCGTCTAGCGGCGCTTAAAATTATAGTTTATCTTTTTTCAGACTACTTTTTTTGTCCATAAATGTCATGAACTTCTTGCAATTAATTTTATAGCCTTAAGAGAACTTGTGGTTTGTCAAATCTACTTTGCACTGCCTGAGTATTATACCTGTTTCTTTGCAATTAAGTGATTTCCCCACTAATACTATTATGTATGTACTCTATTAGATCTAAAACACGGTGTTTGAGTTGTCGAGAAGTCAAGCACAAAGTTACTCGCATCTTGTATATAGCGTCCCTGCGTTATAAAATTAAAGGTAGTTTCGCATGCTTTCTATCTCCAAAACAGTGACTCCCTATGAAAGACATCACTTTTCAAAATAGGTTGTCTCATATGAGAGAATTGCGATAGATGCGTGCTGATAATGCCTCAATAATACACACCCTCGCTTAGCAATAACTCCAACTATTCGCTTGGTTGGAAGTCTCACGCAGAATAGCAGGTGGGACAATTGGTCGGAATATTTCAGAGTTTGCAAAGCATGTATGCTTTTGGTCCAAGTCGTAAGTGAAAGTTCTCACTAAGGTAGCGGCAATTCTTTGAGAATTTCAACGTTTATAATATCTTTTTAAATCATTTCTGGGTAGTAACCAATAGGGATAAACTTTTCACAAGAATTATGCATGTCATTAATTCACAGAAATTCATTTTTTAAGACAAATTTTGATCACTAATTGTTTGAACCGCTGAATTTGTTAAGGTTTTAACTACAAATCCATGTGGAACAAAATATTCCAGGAGATGTAGCGTAGGGGTTACAATATGCCGCTGAATATCGCTGAAGTAGTGAACGTGCATACAAAGGCATTGAATCATTATTTAAAAAAAGATTTTAGATGAAGGTAACAATATTCAAAGTATTGTTTTCTTGTTTAGATCTGGTAGTAGAACTTCTAGTAATTTATGATAGAATGCAACTAACTGAAAAATGTCAAATATTGTTGTCAAGCACAACGTCGTGAAAACTATGAAAATTTTGAAAAAGTCGATTGGAGTAGCAACTGTTTCGTAGATTTTAATCTGGGGTACGAAAACATTTACATGCATCCTAAATTTGCTTGATATTTCCTGGAAAATGGTGCTAGGGTCTTTGTTCTGAGTAAACATTCAAGTAGTTTCAGGGCTAGCATAAGTTACTGTTTCAAGTACAATCTTAAAAGGCACGATTACTCCCCCATCACCCTAAACCAGAATATTAAGGCCTAGCCGCCCCTATATCGTAAAGCAATTTTTCTATTTCCTCTTTGATCATGCCACAAACAAGCTAACCAAAGAAGTTTCAAAAGCGCTGAGGCACATCGGTCATAACCTGATATTTCGTAAGTATCCCTGCTACAGCGACCCTGGTCACTGAATTTCGGCAGCATTTGATCGTTTTAAGGGCGCAATAAAGCAGTAAGCATCACTTTAAAAAGCATCTTTTTCGGCATTCCCGTAAGAGCCATCGTTTTAGTATCATTAACCAGTTATTTAAAGGCATCAAAGTAAATGCATAATTTTATCTTCATGGTAGTTCAAGTGATTTTGTTCCCGACATTGTTAATATTGGATACATTAGCTTATTATCATTGAAACAATTAGTGTTACTTTAAAAACCGAGCAATTCAAAGGAATACTCTTCATTGTCTCATTTAAAGCGAGAGTTTTGTGAAAAGGCACAACCAACCGAGAACAATATTTTGCTGTATCTAGGATTATCGCAAACGAATAAATAAACCAATGCCAAATTCCTTACCAGTTACATTTGATAAACTGGAAGAGCGGTCACGAGACTGTGTATATTTTAATCTTGACGGTAGGTTCGGATTAACCATGTCTCTTAGCTTTGACCTTCCTCCTTGTAAACAACACCTACAGGAAAAAGAATGAATTGGTCATTTCCGATTTCCATTCATTTCAGTTTAGGGAGGCAATCACATTCGTTCCCCTATTCCATGCACCATGTTGTTTTTGAATTATTTTTCACATTTATGAGTAATAAATGAACAAAACAGATTTATTCATGTTATCTCCCAAATCCTGCTGTTTTATTGCGCATTCCAATTTGAGTACTCTTGTTAGTAGTCCTTTGATCTTCAGCATTAAAATACTACGTACGTTCCGTCATATTTTTCACGATAAGCACCTATCACAGAAAGCCAACTGGAAGAAAATACCTACAGTTCTTAAAAATTACTGTGTACAATTCTGAACTACTCTGCCCAGCTTATTTAAATCACACCAAAATTCAGACATCCAAACTAAGGTGTGGTTTTAAGGTATGTTCAAGAGGTAGTTGTACTGGATTTCATGCCTGTAAATATTTACCCATAAAATTGTATTCATACCATTTTTCAACTTTCCAAAAACTACTTTAGTATTTAACTCTGCACATGTAAACTGTCGCTTTGTCTTATGGTCCGATCTGGAAAATTCACTAACTGATGGACTCGAAAACCATCAGTTTTCCCAGCATGTGTAAGTACACAAAACAAAATGGGCCAAAGTTACCTAGAAGCAGCACATGTCTTATGGTCGCCTCCCATACACAACTAAACACAAATGCATATCATAACCAATATTTTCAAGCAGAATCACTATGTTAGTTTCATTTATATTTTACTCCAACCAGTTACTTTTAATAAGGGCTATCTGGAAATTTCTTGATTATATGTGTTCCTTAGTGTAATTCTTCCTAAAACTAGTTTCAACGGTTCAGAGTGTCAGAAGAAAACAAAATTGTAATCTCTATGTACGATTTAGCGAGCTACATAAATAATGCTCGAAGCTTGACGCGCCAATACAGATACAAGAGGTCATTCAAAATAAAATAAGTAACTCCTTGCAATACTAGCAACAGAAAAAATATTGGAAATGACTTATGTTAAGCAAAAGAGTTTTTCACTTAAATTTCTCCATGTGCAAAAAGTTGGCCGATAAACCGTTAGCATTTATCATTAACACTTTCTGGGTTCATCATTCTTCAATGGGTCAGCAAACGTGAAAAAGATATACTCTCTGCCAAGATCCAGTGAGATTTGTGGCAAAAACAATGACATTGATCAGCAAATATGTTGAGTGTTATTAAGTAGTTAATTTGCACCTTTCAAGAGGTGATTTTAGAAGAAAGCCTCAATTAAGGCGCAGAAATGTCAGACTCGGTGAATTTAACGACACCTGCCGCTCCACCGAGCACGTTGGATGCGAAGGACGCGACACAGTTTGTGACGCCCCCACTGCTCTCGGGCATCCGTTACGCCTGCATCCCCGTGTGGAGCATCCTCCTTTGCTTTGGCATCTTTGGGAACGCCCTCACCGTCTTCGTGCTGCGCACCAAACGTCTGCAGCAATCAAGCACCTCCTTCTACCTCACTGCCCTAGCCATCACCGACATGCTCTACCTCCTCACCAGCCTCGTCGCCTCCATCGCCAACTTTATATTCTTCTTTCCTTCGGAGTTGCGCCAACTCTCCCGCACTTTCTGTGTGTTCACACCCTTTCTCAGCTACACCCTCGCTTACATCAGTGTTTGGCTCCTCGTCACGGTTACTGTTGAACGTGCCGTCTGGGTCGTGCTGCCCTTCCGCGCACGCCATATCTGCACAAAACGCACTGCCAAATCTGTGGTCCTTCTCCTGGTGATTGGGTTTACCCTCCTCGACATCCACTTTTTTCTCACCATGCGCTATCAGGAAGTACGGCCTGGGTACTGGCTCTGCATGACCACCTACTTCTCTGACAAGGTGTTTCCCTTCCTCGATCTCCTCCTTGTAGCTATTCTTCCCTGTACCATTATGCTTGTCGCTAACTGTCTCATTGGCTGGAAGCTGAGAGTTATGCGAAAGTTTCGCTCGGGAACTGCTATTGGCATGGTGAGCAACAACATCACCGATCAAGGTGGTGGAGAAAAACGTGAAAAGTCTGTTAATCTTACCCGAATGCTTGTCTCCACGAATGTTTTCTTCATTGTCTCCGTAACACCTTTGCTCATCTATGACGTGGTCTTCTTCTCCGTGGACGTACGCGCCTGGGCAGAAGAGGCAGAGGAGGTGCGAGGTGGAATGATATTTGCCATAGAACGCTTCGTCTACACTTTGTGGTACACCAACTTCGCCATCCATTTCCTCCTCTACTGCCTCAGTGGACCCCCATTCCGCGCTGAAGTCTTAGTTCTCTTCAATCGCCTCCGGGACCGCATCCGCAAGGTCGCCCACAAATCTACGGTAGATCAGACGGAATTGAAACGCCCCGAAACTGGGCTCACCTCCACTGCCAATGTTGTCTCCACCGCAGGAGACGTCTACAGTCGGGAGGAACTCCTGTGATTAATGATTCTGCACGGTGCACGGACCTGTACATCTTGACCACACGCACACATCCGACTTTATCTTTTCTTCCCTGCTTACTTAACCTGCTAATGGTCAGAGATATTTTTATGATTAAATTTCCCTGCATGAGGCCATTTTTTCTTCTATGGTGAGATCTGTTTACTCGCATTAAATTGATGGAATTTCATCGTCTATCGATTCTCTGATGCCCAAAAGCAGATATGTTGTTAAATAGTTCATGAACTACCTACTGCTGGCCTATAATCCATTTTAGTCTGGAATGATTTTGCATCGAATTTCCCTTTATATTTAAAAAGTCGCAATGCTTCCCCAAAATTAATTTAGCCATTGGCCAAAAATGTATCAAAGCAGATAATTTTTTGCTGATTTTACTTAATAAGAATAAATGTGAGACAAAAAATTGCAAGTTCCGCCTATGCGATTCGCTGAGATCAGTGGTGCAGATTAAGAGGCTGATTTGTGATAAGCCTTGGAGGTCATTTTGACCTACATGAAACCAGCGGATTTCTTAACTTTGTGGAAAATAACATTAATTTTCACAAATCTTGACGTTTCCTGAAATTGCGAGTCTCTGAATGAATCCCCACTTTTGTCTCGCTATCGATAGTGCTAATGCTTCCAAACTGTGACCATGAAATGCTTTCTTGGAATCTGATACTCTTTGCACCTAGTATAAATCCCATTGGTGTACATGTTTTTGCATTAAAGAATGGCCAAGCTAATATGTGATTATTTTTGCTAAATACCATTGCCGGAATTCATCACGAATAACTCAGCAAACCGAATGTTGTGGACTTATTTATGTAAATACATTTATCTTTGAAGCTACCACCCACATGTCGTGGCGCAATTCTCAAACAAATCATAAAGTTACTCATGTCAGATTCTTGCAGGATTAATGACAAATCTCCATCATTTGGTGGAAAATTACTGCAAATCGTCCATCTGAACTACACATTTTTTATGACACGCGAGTGGCCTAATTTAACGTTTAACCTGGACTAAACCTCCATCAATTAGGAAGACGTTTCCTTCTATCGAAACGGAAATTACGTCTCTTAAAAGTAATTTTTCATGAAATGCCATTGATTTCCTTTCCTTCATGCATAAGCACTTCACTACAGAACGTATTTACTCATTCACTTCATACATGTTAAAATATTATTAAAATCCCTAATGTATTTGAGGTGTCCTTCTTCGAATGTCCCATTTCAGTGATGGTGAAATAAACCCATGGTAAAATATCTTACAAAAGGTATTAATCAACGACATAATTTGTTCCACTGCGGAGTAAGCTACTCTGTCAATGGTTTTGCTTGATGGTAGAGCAAAGGTAGATGTGCAGTAAAAGGGAAACCATTATTTTTTTTACCATGGTTAAAAAATACTTTATTCACTGCCAAATAATCCATCATCTTAACGACTGGATGAATTGTAAATTCCGAAAATTCATCTTGATTTTAGGGCACACTGGAAATGGGACTGTCCAAAAATATATTGATAAACTGCATATTTAAAGAATTTTTAATGTCTCAGTAGAAAATCAAATGAACAACACTTAGCAATTATCGGCTCAGAAAAATTGTAATAAAATGTTCTTTATGGACTGGATCTAAGGTATCATCCTAAGCTCTGTAGCAATAACAATTCCAGCTGGTGCATATTCTCCCTAGCTCCTTCCTTTGCCCCAAAGACAAGTAATTCCATTTCCTTATGCCCTCGTACTTATCCAGCGTGCACCAGTTCTTCACCAAAAAGAATTTCCCATTAAGAAGATTTACTGAAATGTTAATCCCATTTTCGGTATCTTACAAAAAAATGTTTATGCAATCTTGCACTATAATTAATTCTTATTGATGAAGGAAGCTGGGGATAAGAACGACTGTAGTTCATCCTATTATTTAAAACTGTTTGTTTTTTCCCCGTTTTTTCTTCTGGAATGAAAAGTGAGCCTGAAATAGGTTTTTTGTGTCTTCAGAGCGCTAGGTTGGTTCGGAAAACTTTCATACACGAAATCGGATTTGCCTCACAAAGATAAATTTATCAAATCATTGATCTAAAATGAGTTTCCTCTTTAAATATTTTTTTCCTAAGTACACATGCATTACATTACTTTCTGGAAAATTAAAATTCAATTTTTGAGAATGGATGTTCTCCCGTTTGGAATATTCGGAGTAAGAAGTGTCTCTACTTGTCAAACTTAAGCTAAATGCAATGCTCGTGAAGGAATTAGCGGCGTCGACTCTAAAGAATCTACCGTTTTTAAAGTTATTGGTCGAGTACACTAATCGACGCACACGGTATTTTTTGGTGATTTTGTGGGATTTACGTATGTTTCCCCTTAAAGTTTTAACGACTATGACACTTACGAAATCTACTTGTGTTCTTAGGAATGTTTTTACATTATGTTTCAGATCATGGTAATACTTCTTTTAGAATCAATACAAACAATGTTGCTTTACAAAGACTTTCCGTTTCTTGTGTCTACTTTGTCGAAATTCGTGATTTTTAAATACAATTTAAAGCATAGTTGGTCGCAAAGTTCAAGTTCAAATTGAATTTCTGGTACAGTTGTTACGCCTTTGACGTATCATACCTATACAAACTTTGTTTCACCTCAAATGACTTGAGTTAATCACATAAGCACTAAAATCAGCCACGTTTTGTAAAAGAATGTCGCTTTAATCCGCATGAGTGGTGGCTTCGTTAAGCACTACATCTATTTAAAAATGTGGAATAAAACTGTCGCAATTAATCACTTCGATAAAATCAGAAGACACCAATAAGTCACAACTCTTCCCCTTTTTGTGCCTTCCTCTGTAGAATATTGTGTTTTTAATTCAATCTTTACCTTGGAAAAAAATGTTTCCCACTAGCCACATAAAGCGAGATTTACTTACGACTTTGCTCGGATGAAAATTTCTAATAGTTCGTAAATATTCTACCTCACAATACCATATTTTTAAAAAACTTAACAGTTAGTCACTTGGTTTTCTGGATTTTCTACTGTTTTATGTCAAATTATAGCCTCATCCTCATAATAGATAGGGCCTAACCCTGACAGTGTCTTTGCTTAATGCGAAGCCCATTCCGATTATCGAAACGTTATAGGGTAGAATCGTTCTGTTGGCACGTTATGTAATTTTATCAAATAACAAGATAAAAATTTCTCCAAATTTTCCTTTTGGAGACCTTTAGCAACACACTTTGTGCTCTTATCAAATGTGCTTCAATTACTCCTTGTATGACTGATATCAACGTTTTACCGGGTCGCATATAACCTTTATACGGGCTTGTACTTTAGGATTTTATTTGCAAGCGTGGCTTGATTTAGCTGGAATTTATGAACAATAATGGCTCAAGGGTTGTCATGCTACAAAATCTCAATTTATTTTCCGGTTTGAAATGCTAACCAAAATTCTTTTGTGTGTTTGCGATGAAGAGGGTTAAAGCATTACGCGCCGAACGCATCCTTTGCATTGGTTTTAGTCACACTTCGTTGGCTTGTCCACCTTTGTAAAAAGGCAAACGGCAATCTCGCAGCTATCTTCCTTGCAAAATGTTTCCTTTTTGTAAAAATGACTTACGAATTCACGCGTGTTTTTAAATAAAGTTGTATTTTTGAAAAACTTCGTTGAAGTGCGCCATACCTGTTATTGTTGCCTATAACTAGCGATGTAAGTTCTACTGATGGACACCAGCCGTCTCTTTAGCATAAAAATAAATTATGATAAATTAAACACACACATTGCGATGGACTATACTATTTGTTACTTTAAAATCTGGTTGAATGAATACAACAACCCGTAAAATGTACTGAAGGTAAATCAGAATAAATGTATCTCGCGTTATTAGAGTTTTGATGTCCCATGATGATTTTGAAAATGCGCCATTATAGGAAGTGCATTTTTCTCCATTATCTAATTGCCACGAAAAATCCTATTATTTCATCTAGATTACCAATGAATTGTACAGCAATGTCAGCACCTCTCCAAATCAAAACTGGTAATCAAGATAATCGGCAACTATGAAAGCAAACGTTACAACGAAGACACGATGCTCATGTTTTGAAAGGGCTGGGCCTCTCTTGATAACAATGTTATCTTATCGTCTTGGTTACACTGCTCACAGCACTTCTATTACCCTGCTTAATTCTCGAGTGTTAATGAAAGGGGGTCGCACATGAAGATAAAAGGAAAGCGTCCGATCAAAGGCTTTGTCACTCTTCCCCGCCGCCCACTGCGATTAGAGAACAAGCCTTTGGCCATTGTCCGGTGTAATCGAAGTCTTAGTGCCTTAGTTTTTATGAGATCAGTAGCAATTTAGTTTAAACCCTGTGTTTAGGATAAACGTTTTCTTAATTCGATGGTCCTAAAAAACGGCTATAAAAGTGGGATCATCCTTCAACACTTTTTATATTGCGCCGTTTTAATGAAGGATATTGTGGTTTGCTTAGCCTTTCAAACTGCCGTTAACAATTTTCTAGTTTGTTTAGAATGTTTGGTTTATAAAAATACATTTTGCCATTCAAAACTACTTTATAAATAGCAAACATTGCATTGGGAAAAAATTGAGGCGGTATGCCAATAAACATGTTTGACAGCCTCCTAAAAGACACACTAAAATAGGTCTTGACTTCTACTATTTCTGCTCATCTGGCTCCTTGAATCAGAAAACAAATAATGTCATTACCAGAAGCTGAGAATGTCTAGAATCACGATAAACTTATTTGCTTTTAAATGTAGACTACCTTATTATACTACTCGGGGAGTTTATTTCAAACGAGATACATCTTACTCACCTATTTAGAACGTCCTAAATTTGTAAACAAAGTTGCGACTGGATTCATTTAATTAAGCGCCACGAGCTAAGTAACCTGTCGCAATCGGTTTGGCACCCTTTGCCAGTCCCGCAAGCGCCATTAAGGTTAGTGATAGTGCCTCCGTATTGATGCCCACGTAGGGGGTGAGTTTGGAGTTAGAAACCTCTGCCTGAACTAAAGACAGCATATACCTTTCTCTAACAGACTCAGCATCATTTTTGGCACATATTTTAAACTTACTCTTAATGAAACTGTCTATTAAAAAGGAAAAAACGACAAAGCGAATGTGATTGCTAAAGTTTGAGAAAATTACTTCCATTATATGGTAAAATCATAGCTCCTTAGCCACTTGTTCAGGTCTCTAGTAAGGCAATTGAGTAATATTTCCTTTATTTTGGTCATATGAGTAAAGTAGCGTATTTACAGGTTAGAGTAAGTCTATAGACAAAATTGCTGCATTCAGTTTAAATCCGACAATCATTATAATGCTGCAGTCCCACCTTAGGCACATAAACACACCTTAAGGTTGCTGCTATGGGAATGTGTGCTATGAATAATTTATGAATAGCGCCAAATGCAAAGAGCCGATGAATTTTCCCTAGAAATTGTGTACCAAATGAGAAATCAGATGCTGCCTATGGCTCACCATAGTCATCGTTCTAGAAAAACAAAACCTTTGTTTTTTCCATGTGGTTTCTGGCGCGGGTTTTTTTAAACATTTAGCAGCTTCTGGAGTGGTTAATGGCGAAATATCTGCAGAGCCATTCCCAACAACGAACCAATTTGTCCCTCGATCATGCATGGTTCGTGAGCCTATGGTTCCAATTTCCTGTGTGGTTTCGATTATTTTTTCACAGCTAACGATTGAAAACCCTCGAATTTATTGTGAAACTACTTTTATGCTATTGAAACGAAAAAAGAATGTCGAATTCGAAACCAACCTTAAAGCATTTCCAACTCCTGTTAATTTGTCATTTAACCTATTCATTCTTATCTAAAGTTACTTATTAACAATAAAAATCCTCCTGAGTACTTTGCGATTTCAGCTTACTCTTCATTTTGTAATACCATTCTACTACCTCAGGTGATTAAACGCCAGGCGATTCGGATACGCAGAGTGGCGATCAGTGCCTATGAGCAGACCTAAATATATCAAATGCGGAAAATAAAGCCTTGCAGTGTGAATGAAGGCTTCACTGCCACATAAAATAGATTTATTTTCTAAACTGCACCAGGTCGTTTGGACAAGGAATCCCAACCTCTATTAAAATTTTTGATCGCAGATGAGGTAGGCGGAAATACAAATACGAAAAGGGAATAGCTGGTAATTTGCGGTTCGGTGATAATTAGGCAGGCAGTGCTCGCCATTGACCTCCTAAGACACTGTTAATACCAGTGCTTCGATCTAACTTAGTGGTGAATCCATTGCTTGCCATTTTGCTAACGAAACTCAAATTCATAGAGCCTTAAGTGGGGTGACAAATGACTTCTTACTGTGATTTGCGGCTTTTAAAACGATGCAATTTATTTTAAGATTCCTCTTTCGTACGCTCTCAGCGCTTTCTGGTTAAGGACGTTATTCTTCTATGCATTCACCAACGTCACGTGCATTTCAGAATCCTGGCAGCATCCGCAGCATTTCCGCAGCGCCTTGATTTTCCAACTCATGCAATGGATAGTTTTACTAATGAAATACTGCGAAACGATGGTTTGGTAGTTAGCAAATGACTTCCAGCTGCATAATAAAAATAATATTTAGATGAGCTTGGATATGACCTTTCAGTAGGTGTGAGTGAGGGTACCAAAGCTCGGCGGGAAACGCACACTGGTAAACCAACCGACTTTTGACCACCTCCCCCCCAAAAAAGTCGACCTGCCGGCACCAAAACCATGTGCAGCAATGAAAAAACACGTCTCTCGAAATGTATTGAATGTAAACAAATTTTTCTTCCAGGGCGCTGCCTACAAAAAAGTACTAATTTTTCAGGAGGGAGACCAAAAGTTCCCATGGGAGTCGAGCTCGCAATGTGGTATGTCCCAGATCCATGGTTCATCTATAAAACGAGGAATGGATTTGTTAATTCTGCATGTCTATTTCAAGAAACGATGACTTTCCATTTCAATATGGTCAATACAGTTTGATTTTATTGCATAACCGATGATCATCAACCCCAAAGGGAGAATGGTTTAGAACTCAGAGGGCTGAATTTCACATGAGATTTTAAAGTAATTGGGTCATTGACTTATTTTAAATGGTAGACCAGGAGTAATAAATGCTCCAATTAGGCCAATAAAATCAAATCAAGTTATTAAAAAACGAGAAGTTCTCGACAAGCCCGATTTTTTTAGCAAAAATGGTGTTTTTTATGCGAAACTACACTTTTAAAAACAAGCGGCTTTCAACCACGGGAACAGAAAAGCTGTTTGATGTGATCCAATAAAACTGGCGGAGCAGAGCAGACTGTCGTGTTCGGCCACCGCTCACATCAGTCGTTCGCTTTAACCATTTTGACCATCATTTCGCACCTAGAGTCGCATGCGATCCATTTTACACGCCATCGGACCTCACATTGCGTGGTCAAAACATCACCCTACTGGTCGATAGTCGTCTGACTGAGTGACAAATCAAAACGTTATCATTTTAGCTTGCACAATGAATATTATTTGTTCGCTATCAACCGAGTCGGGTAAGCAATGTGTTCGCTACAAGCAGAAGTGATTCAAAAAATGAAATTGACAATAAGATCATTTCAAACAAGAGAGACATAAACTGAAGGGATATTTGGTTGCTCGAACGTGGCAATTGTGTTCTCTTTCTCACTTCGCAACCGGAAGATGTGAATTTGCTGACCAGAAGCTAGGACGTAGAATAAACAGTCATTTCACTTTTTTCGACAATGCTCCGAGAAATTTGCATGTTTGGTCATTGTACTTCAGAAGTCGGTTTTCTCAAGGTATGCGCAAAAAAAACAATGTCTCACATTTGTGATTGCCTATACTTTTGCTACAATTCACTACAAATTATTTTGCAGTAATTAGAAATAAATTCAAATTTAACATGAGTCTCTGTAGATACGATTAAACATAATCGAAATTATTCACCATGAGCAAAGATATGCCTATCAGGAAGGAAGATAGATCAGGTAGACACTGTTCATAATCGGCGAAATCCCATTGTTGCAACCCTCGACTGCTTGCATTATTCAGCATGAGTAAATTGAGTTCATATGCATACCATCAGGAGGATAAGACTACCAAAAGAGAATCTCTACCTCATTAAAAATCGGAATGCGCAAGCTAAAAGAGTGTCCTTTGTAAATAATTCATGGGCTCGCAGCTTCCATACAGACACATGGAGAGGCGGACACGGAGCAACTTTAAAGGAGCCCCGCCTCCTCACGATTCACATGAGCGCATTGCGAGTGTCCGCCATTCTGTTGTAACTCCTTCGCCATCGCCTCCCACCCCCGTTCGCATCAAGTACGCATATTTACCCGAAAAGGACTGAAGGGGCCGAGCCCCTCTAGGTCCAAGCTCGTTCGCTAAAGCTGGAACGGGTACTTGTTAAGATCTATAAAGAGAAACGACTCCACCGTCGAATGAAGGCATGGGATTTTGCCCAATTTTCGCAAAAAAAGCGGGTCAATTTTTTGCTTTAGAGACGAGTATCAAGTTCATTTAATTCATTCACAATGTATCCTAGGTACTTAGGAATTTACATTTGATCCAGGGCTTCATGAGGATAGTACATGCTCCAATAATGTGAATTAACTCATTAAAAAATTAGTTTTGAGTAGATCCATGACCGGAAGGATAGCAAAATATGTTTGTGAGATTTTTCATAAAGAAGATTACCAGCAAAAAGGTTAAAGAAATACTTTACTAGAACAAATATTTTTGGACTCCTAATATCTTTAAGGTAGGAAGGTTTCAGTACTGCCGTTATGACAGAAGTAGGATGAGAGTAATCCTAGCACTAAATTCTTATCACTGCAAAAATTTCATGTCACCTGCGCTTGAATATTTCAATAAAGTGTGCACCATTACCATTTATCTGATTTACCATACTCCTGCTGAAATCAAACCTGAATATGCTAGGCCGAAATTTAGTGTAAAAAACCGACCACTTCAAAATCACCGAAATCGAGTGTTTTTTTAAATCGATGGTCTATTTGGACAGCATTTGTGCCTTTGTAGTTTACCCTCGCTTCCTACCCGACCAGTTTCTCAAAAAGCCTGTTATCAGGAGGCCTCCTAATAAAAATTTACCTAACTCTGGTATACGTAGCTACTTTTTAGAGACAACGACAAGAATAATGCCACTAGTGAGTCGACGAAAGCAGGTTTTGGAAAAGTTGTAAGATTATTTAGACCTCAAATGAAGCAACACAATTTAGTTACTTTATTGCTCCAGTTAGGTAGTCTTACCGGGCAGAAGCACGAAACCATTAAATTGGTTCATTCAGCTTTATTTGTGACACATAGCTTGAGATATTTTGGCCCGCATTCCATGTCCCATTCCGTTAGCTAGCGAAAAAGATCTTATTCTTATGAATATATTTTAATCACCACAAACCCACTTGTTTTGCTTTACCACTTTTAGAAAATCACACTTTGTTTGCGTTTAAAAAACCAGTTAAAAAGTTAGCAAACCAGACGCTTTATGTACCTTAGATTCATTTCGCTAATGTGTCCTCTTGACTTCTGCGCAAAGGCACAGAAAGCCTTACCGAACTAATGGCGTATTTGTTTCAGCCATCAGAAGAGATAATATCTGCGGTTCAAAAACAGACAGTGAATTTTCCTACCCCAGCCATTAACTAAACCGTTGAAAAACGGAATGCTGGAGTTATATATGCTACTTGCGTTTACACCTATGGCGTCACAAACTGGCATTTATTTTCATACAGCCACTAAATTTATTAAATAACGCGAAGTATGCCTTAGTTTCACTAGCATTAGGGAGAGAGAGACAAAGTGAAATTATGTTTTGCTATACAGAGTAGTCATCGAAGTTATTTTACTTTGACATCAGTTCCCCCCATTGCAGTACTGAAACGCTGAAAGAATGGAAGACCATACTTTGTGAGTGTACCTAATTGCGAGGATATACAACTTTGAGAAAGTGAAACGCTGCCAGAACAATAAGGTAACGCCCGTAAATCAAGGGTTTTGCAAGACGACTTGACTATTGTCAAGTGTTTTGCCACTTTTGCATCTGTCACCATAGACTCATCATTAGCAATGAAGGTGGAATGAAAAAGAGATTGATCTTAAGAGAAAATTTACTCAAGCATGAAACTGTCAGCCCGACTCCAGGAAAAAATAGTCGTATGCACCGTGCGAAAATAATTTTTTTTTTAAGGCGACTGAATAGCATCGACAACTGTACCATTGTGAAATAGAAAACCAACACATTTTACGTTACATTAGTGTTACCCGTCCACGCCACTAAATTGCATTGACCACTGATTGAAAGCTATGGTTCAGTCAAAGAAAGTTAAACCTACGAATTGAGTTACCTTTGAGCATTCAATTATATTGTCGCTACGCGTACCTGTGTGACAAGCAGTTTTATGCAGCATTTATGAGGGTCTTCATTCACTGCTGTGTTCATTACATGCATCAGATGAGGCAGTATACAGGTGGAACATTGCGCCTACATGGTACAAAATTCAAGATATTATATAGGCCAAAAAATTGCAGTCTCTAGGCAAATAGTACACTTTTAATGCAGTATACAGTCTGTCCTGGAGAGAGATGGTAGACCATGCTGCATCAAAACAAAATTTATAATTTTATTAAAATAAATGATACCTTAGAACATTCTCCTGACCCATTAAGTAAAAAAGTGAAACGCTGTTCAAAAATGTGTCCCAATTATTTAGCCTCCCAGACTTTGAGATAATCACATAGAGCACAAGGCCCACCAAGGAAAGCTGAAGATCTCACTGAAATGGAACCTCTACCGTGTCGTGATCTGGGACAAAGATAGCCCTGGCAGGAAGTAATAGAAAAACTAGGTTATAGTCAAGCCACTACATGAAGCCTTACTAAGCTAATCAAATAAAGTGCACACTTTCACACCAAAATGTGGCATTTAAACACCAGACATTTGCAAAAAAAATTAAATCTGGATACACATTACTTTAAAATCTTCTTTAGCAAAAACACACTACAAAGGTCACTAACAATATGGATGAACTGCATTTAGTTTGTTATACCTTTTCAGTGAATCGTACAGGTTTATCGTCAGCTTTTACTCTCTGAAGCAGCTAAATTCGCCCTAATAATTTGTGAAATTTACTGTAATTACCCATCTTGATAAACCTGACCGTCAAATTACTGGGCTCGTAGACCAACTGAACGTTGGCAGACAATCTCGCAGAAAGCTCTCACACGGCGCACGAGTCAAATGAAAGGCTTAGCTTGACAATTTTCACTTTCAACAAGTAGTAATTAAAGGTAAGATTAGTAGCTTTAAAGGTAATCTGAAATCTTCATCTGAGAAAGCAAATAACAAAATCCGTTATCCTAGGCTACTGTAACATAGAGGAGGACAAACACGATGCATGCCACAAGGCCACGATTGCCAATCGGGTCGTGATTCAAACATCACCATGAATTCACTCAAAGTTGTCAAAATCACCACAGACCATTTAATTAAACACATCAGAACAGTCTTACATTCTAGCTTCTAGGTGAAAGCTTCATTTGTACAGGCTTAGTAGCATTAATAATGCCATACAAAGGAGTGGTCACTAGGAGTTTCCGGACTTGATTCAAGTGTCAAAACTACCTATTTGGTAATCTCGCCTTCATGACACCCAAATGTAAGTGTTGGGTGCTTTAATTTCCAGAACATGCTACTGGGAGGCGCCATATATTTGTGCATATTTTTTAGTAATTTTAACTCCATTTCCGGTCAGCAACTATTGACAAACCTCTCTTAGATGGCTTGAACAGGATCTAGAGGCTTACAGGAATGACGATGGACAATGGGCGTTGCCTTGGATGTTGGCGCTTATCGATGTGAACAGCAACGATAAAAGTGCTCCTTACGGATTGGTTTAAGCAATCATCGACTAGAAAATTGAAGAACTTGAGTTGAGTGAAAATGGCATTTGATGAGTTTTAAAAGGAGATCCTATCGGTCAGCTTTTGAGGACTAGAAAAAAGATTATTGATGATGATTCTGAATCTCAGAAAAGCGATTAAAGTCTACCATATCATCAAGCGTCCTCACTCAAGCCTGAAATACCTCCGCGTATGATTTTCCGCATTCGTCATACAAGTACCGAAATGCAGTCTGCTTAACTACTGGCAAATTACGAATGTTTGACAAGTACAAAGGGAACGATTGTTAAATTTTCAACACCCGCGCCTCATCAACAACATCCATCCCTCTTCTAAACCCTAAACAGCATCGACTATAACCAAGTATTACTATTGCCAAATACCCAACATCGACAGGTGTGAGATTATTAAAATTTGCGTTACATTTATGAGTTTGTCATTTAACAAACAAGGCAAGGGACAAACAAATTAACGATAATCAAACAGTATACGAACATCCTGACTTACTAGAAACACATTTAAAGTTTCAGCAAAAGCAACCGTTAAGGCAAAATATTGTTTTTCCATAGTTTAAGTCGAAAATAAGTAAAAAGAACTACCAAGCAAAGGATTTCAATGCTTAAAAGCACTTAACGCCCAGAAAGGTCTTCCTATGATTAATTAATCTCATCAGTAAATACATCGTACCTAACATAAAACACTTTATATCCTGCACAGTGCTAACAAGCAAAACCACTAAATAGTGTTTCTCTTACTGTAAATCGACAGACTAGAGACTAAACTATAACCACCTCCCAATTATTATCATTGGCATCAACCTTTTTCTCCATCTGTGAATTTGAAAAGAAGCAGCTCGAGAAAAATACTAAAAGTATTGATAATTAAAAAGACGAGACGAGCTTGCAGTAAGCATGGGAATATGCGCAATATGACAATAGCGCAATGCTGCAGGTACGCCACTTAAATGAAGCAAAAATCGTAAAAAAGAGTACCGTCTGTGTGTGGTTTCCATTTTTGGTGGGATGGACAGGCCACACACAGACATAATGGGGGAAAAATCCACCTTTAGAATGCCACCATTTCAGACGCATAAATCATTGGGCTGGTTTAGTCAGTCTCGACAACTGTTGTTGTGTGGATCATAAATTAGTATATAATTTAGTGTGGAAGAAAGATGGTTGAAAATAACTGGTTGAACTAGCAAATCTAGTGTTGCTTTTCTTTTTTTGCATGCATAAATAATGTTGCAGTCACTTTATTTACTTCGGTATTCACAAAACTGGTATGCCTAATTAACAGGGAGGAAAATGCATTCATGATCGTCATTGTTAAGTGGATTTCAGATTTGAAGATGGACTCTACATTTTTTCTTCGCCCTGGATAAGAAACTACTGAGCTCAATATAACTTGCATGAATTTATTAAGTAAAATGGCTACAAACATAACTCGAATGAGTGTATGCTTCGAAGTAGATATTCTCCTATTCAAAGGATTGGTCTTTAAGTTTAAACAGATACCTACTACGAATTTGTATGGTGAGGCAATGATTAGATAAGATAGAGCCGATCGTTGAGGGCAGCCGTTTATTGTGAGGCTATTGGCTAATCAAACATCCTTTTTAATGAAATCGAAAGTGTGCTTACTGAACTCTCTCACAATAGGCCAGTTTCAGGCCTCCTACCAGTCAGGAATGAAGTACTTTATTCATCCTTTCAAACATTGTAATTCCACTTTCAAGCCAACAACAATCTCATCCTTTTTCCACTTAAATTTTGTTACTTAGATGCAAAATTAAGAGGTAAGTAAGACGACAACCAGCTCGTGAAAATCCGGACACATATCACTGGGGCAAAGATCACAGCCAGTCGGCTGAGCTCGTATCCGCATCATTTCACAATAAAAACCATAGATTAAGGTTGCCCACTTCTTGTAAGTGATCTGGTAAACGTAAAAGCACAAGTACAGCACAAAGTAAATATGTAAATCCAGGATTTGACCGGAGCCATGCCCACTAAATCCAAACATTTCGCGCAATAATGTCCCAGACTCACTCCAACCAAATAGCTATCTAGAGGCCTTGAATTAAGGTTCCCTTAAATGCAGCTGTAATACTACCATTGAATTAGTGATTGAACTAACTAAGCTAACAAGATGAAGGACAGTTCCGATAAAAGTTACTTGACTCAACGTACCTTCTTTGTTGTATAGGACGGGTGGAAGTCGATAGGGAATGGGAAAATTAAGAAGTTCGACTGATTCGTCGACCTAAAATATTTAAATGGAATGGGATAAATCATTCAAGGAAGTTTTTGTTTCCATTTTCGTCTTAACGGAGGCCACTTAAGGAGCATTAAAATAGTTTTGTGATAAACGGAATCCGTCACTCGATTACTTGTCAAAATCAAACGGTTGGTTAGGCTTCAAAACGTTGTGAAGTGTGTTGCCTCTTTAATTTTTGTATATTGTGATTTGACAGAAAACCAAATGGACACCAGCAGTAAGTTTCAATTTTCTAGTCCATTGAAAATAAGTGAATGTAACAGAGGCATCAACACAGGTGCTAGTACCTGTCTCTTAATCAAAGGACAATAGATTACTCGTTTATGTGCCACCGCCAAAGCATTGCAAAGAGAGATTAATAAGTTACCAGCACTATATTCCGTTTGTCGCCGGTGTAACTCCGCTCTTGTGTATGAGCTAATTTTATTGCTGAAAATACAGTGTGGCAGTCTAACTCTTCATACTTCTCTTCCGCCGTTATGCAATCAAAAACCAATGCAAAAGTGGAGTTTTGGAGGCCTTAAGGATAATCCCATTAACAAATGTAAGGTTTCTTCAACCCAGCATGCATTTAAAAGTGGTCAAATTTGAAGTGTATCCACTGCTAAAATCAGCTATTTCTTGCCATTTACACTGGTGACAATTACTCTCAGGGGCAGGAAATGCAACAACAAGCAAAGCGGACTTTCACCTAGCTCCGATGTGCGTTGAGGATTTCACAAGCCACTAAGTCCCTGGCAAATTACTCTACTCCAGCTCTGCCGAAGTGAATATTTGTGTGGTTTTTACAAAGTTGTGTTTGCTGACGCTCTCGTCATTGATGTGAGCACCAAATAGGCTACGAGGTGTCCTTTCCATGGCTGCGTAGCACCTCATGTAGGTAAAAATGAGCGGTAAATTTGAAATTATTACCAAGAGAAAAATTTTGAACGCCATTTACGACCGGTAAATGAAAGATTTCAGATGAAAAGAATCAAATGAACCAACCTTTTCTCCGACTGCGTCGGGTGTAAACAGGACGCCGAGCTCATACGAGCGAATCATGAGCTGTGTCTTCTTCAGTTGTAAACATCCCCAAGCCGCCTTTGAAAGGTTAGCGCTGAAACGATAGGGTTATGAAACGCACACACTTTTATGCGCCGGAGTGGGATCGGTGATTTTGAGCTACTCAGAGATGAGGGAGGTTGATAAGACATCACACGTAAAATTTATCTGGATTACTCTACGTTGCTAAAGGCGAAGCTAAATTTAGATTATTTAGGAGGGTCGGCCTTGGAAATTAAATAAATAATGAGGGGATTTTTAATCGCATGCATAGCTAGCATTTGCAGGTAAGCGAATCCTCCAGGGCCCTCATTTACCCAAACGGAGAAAAAACTAAATATTTGACTTGATCGAAAACGTTTGTCCACTATTGCTTATGAATACCTCAATTTTTCATGTCTGTCATGAGGAGTTTGGGACAAAATTACTCAACTCCACTCCAGGATAATAGCTAAAAGAACCAAGAAATCATTCTGAGCTACTAAGACGTTTCTCCTCATCAAGGTTAATCAAGAAACGCATATTGCCGTTCGTGGAGAGTTGAATTTGGAATCATGCCAAAAACGCAACCCAGTAACAGAGAGCGCAAGAAACAGGAAACGTTACGACATTGACAGAGTAATGAGTCGCAAGTTTACTAGAGTCTTTTGTGTTTGAAGATTAAGCAAAACTTCAGAATCTAAGCCATGCTTTGACTTTTTAAGGACTTTGACAGTCAGTAAATCCACTTCATCAACTCCAAAATGAGGAAAATTGCTTTGACTGAGGAATTGGAGCGTTTTGACAAACGAAAAATTCTTCCACAACAAACAAAACACTTTTTTTGCCGTAAGCTTTTCTGTATGCCACGTAATTTAAAATCTTAGAAAAAAAAACGCTATTTAGGGGTGAGCTGGAAAAGTGCTTTTAGCAAATAGCTAGGGATATGGGGTAGGTTTGCATTTTATTGCTTTTCCACACGATGAATGCAAGGAGTACCAACTATGTAGCACGTATTTACTTCAGGTCTCAAGCTGCCTTAACGACGTAGAACTGCATCTCACACTCGCAGCTCAAAATTCCCATTTTAGTGAAATAAATATTACTAAAGAGTCTGGCAAAAACACAAGTATATTGTTTCAATAAAAATTATGATGCTAGAAGTCATTAAATAGGTAGATGGGCTTAACTGCCAGGCTTGTTCAGGTATACACTCCCAAAGTGATTCAAGTGAATGCAAACACTGACAAACGGCAGTACTAAAAGCCCGAGATAGTGTTCGCAGTTGGACAATATCCACGAACTTATTAAAACAAAGGTACAGATTTTGCGTTTCACTAATTTGGATCCAACAAATGCCTTTTCACCTAAGTAGAAAAATATTTCCTAGGTGTTTTATAATGTTCACAATTGACCCATCATCTTGGAAAAATTCAATGACCTTAAAAGGTAATCATCAACCTAACGTATGATAAGGTGATTACTATGTAAAATACAAAGTTACAAATGTTTTATTGCAAAATAACCCACAGTATGCAACCTATTAATTGTAATCTGATTCATAAATATCTGTTTATGATGGCGGTGGTGATGATGATAGGGTCGTCCACCTAAGGCCATTCCAGTGTTTCTTGGGATTTTTCGTATTCCTCTCCCGACTCTGAGAAATTTGTAATTCCCCAATCGTTTTTTATAGACAGCGCACTTACTGGAATCATCCCGTCTACTAATCTGGCAAACAAAAGTGAATTCGATGATCCTTGGAGGATAAGTGATTAACATAGATACACAACCTACGCTCAGATAGGAATCAGGTCTTCGAAAGGTAATCGTGATCGAAAAGAGCGCCTGTAGTTTACTGTCATGCAGACACGGAAACAGGATTACAAATGTCAAACTGTTTTGAGTTTTAACTATCCTCTTGGTTCTGTTTCCGAAAACTTGACATGAACTGTTCTGTCGTCAGCCGAAAAAGAATGAGGTTGACGCCTCCAAAGCAAATTAATTGCTTATTGCCTAAGTCAACTCTGCTGTGAAATTGAATATAGGCTGAACCCAGAAAGATCCGTTGAGATTAAGAACACCGAGGAGATAGCCAGAAGTATGGTCATATCGAGAGGCGCTCACCTGGTGAGAAGAAACCAGGCAACGCGTCGACCATCGGGCGAGCAGCGACAGTAGGATTTGATGTGTGGCGCAGCCCTAGAGAGACCGGGATGGAGGCCAACCCAGTCGTGAAGGAAGTGTCGTAGCCAAGGCTGTCGCGCCGCCACTGCTCTTGCATAGGGTAGACATCCACCCGCCGCATAGCCCTCTAGGCTCTCTCTTACCGTGTTCACAGAAGGATAGATCTGATCACATAAACAGCGGTTAGAAAGTCATCAATTCAATTGCAAACGCACGCAGCGTATGAAGCTTCATCTTTCCGATAAACAAATGAGACGTTTGTCCACGCTAATATCCTTTAACCGTCTTTATACTCACATTAACAGTTGTAGGTGGGACAAAGGTTTGCGTTTGCCTTGTAATTAAGGTTCAGTGAGTTGGAGTAATACCATATGCTGGCTTTGGAAAATTGCAGTTTGTCATATCATGTGATGCTATTTGGTGCTAGCGATCGGACGTTTTCGCAGGCCCTATTTTCGGAAAAACTTTTGCGTCCATTTATCTGTATCTTTCGATATGATATTGTCTTCTGATTTTTATTCTGTTGCGATTAATCTTCAATAAGAGCTTAATTTAGCCACTCGTGTTTAAAGGTTGGCCTACCTTACTATCGCCCTAATTTAATAATCGCTATACCAGACTTTTAATGTACTTCATTAAATCCAGAGTTAGCACGAGCTCCATTATGCTGGTCCCCCTAGAATGCATGGGACCACACACACACGACTACATAAAACGCACTAATCTTGTTCTTAGACTTAAATAAAATCCCAGTTAATTTAGCTAAGCTTTCTGACACTAATACCCATTTGAAAAATTTCATTCTTTAAAGGCATAAACAATTTGTTGAATAAGTGGGTAATTCTCAACTCGCTTATGTGAACAAGCTGTGCAAGGTCATTCGGTTTCCGTGACCCTCACTATAAAGGAAAGGAAGTCCGTGTTCATTTTAATCAAACTAATCAGGCTGTCCGTTATCCCTGCATTTTCAAAATGCATATTTAGAATCTCAAGGAGTGAGCAAAGAGGTCATACAATAACACGCCAACTCGAATTTATTCAGTGAATTGCCCTTTGTTTCCCTGTAGATATTGAACTTATTTTTGCAAACCATAGGCTCCGGGAGAAGAGATGTAAGTAATTTGATGCCACTGATACACAATTATGGTGATAAAAATTGTTTCATTTAAATCAAGCGCGAAAGAAGTGACGGCTCGATAAAACACTGTTTGCCTACTGACTGGCCAGCCGGACGGGAAAAAACTGGGGTCCAAAACATCATGGTGATGAGTGGTATCAAAACTGAAAACAGCCTATTTAGATAGATTCAATCTAGCTATTAGACAGCAATTCAATGCGAAATCTAAATGAGGCTTCCAAAAATATTTCAATAGTTCCAAAAACTAAATGATTAACATTAGAATTTGGGGAAGGAAAACAACTCAATTTCTTCCCCTTTTCGACTATGCCATTAGGTCAACAAAATGGAGGAGTGAAAAAAGTCCACAACGTGGTGACTTGCCAGACGGATCCCACGGGCGCCGCATCCAGCTAGACTGCTCGACCACTCCGTGGTGAGCCACTGGGTCGGTTGGGCACCCAGCGAACCGATCGAGGAGAACTGCCCCACAATCGGCCACGAGCGATCCACCTCGTGTTTCTTCAGCACCTGATCCAACACAAGGGAAAAGCGAGGCAAAATCGACGACATCCTCTATCACTTGGTCAAGCCCACCTAATTTCTGCTTATCTTTTTTGCGCCTTCAATGAATTTCGATGTCCATTGCCTTTTGCATGCAGACATCGTCCACACTTATTAACCTAGCTAATGGATGTTTGTTCTCCACTTTAACGATTTTCGTTTTTGTCTATTCGTGTTTGGCTGGATTTGACCGCATTATGTTCTTGTAGAAGCTTTTTATGGAGTTCTTTTCACCATTAACTCAATTCTGTTTGCTCGTTACAATAAAGCTAAATTTTCCACAGAATCCAAGGAAGTGAGCTCTGTGTATCATTGAAGTTATCCAATAAGACTATGGTACTTATGCGACTAAGTAAACGAAAATATAATCAGTTCTTGATGCAATCACTAACACCTCATTGTTCTTCCTTTCTGTTTGTCATGAAGGTGTGACAGGGAAAGGGGGAGTTAAGGGCCTGTGCAAATAACTATCGGCGAGACAGAAGTTAGCGATATGATCAAAGCGTAACTTACCGCCCCAAGCTTGAGGTGGCCGAAGGTTTCCAGTTTATCACTCCTGTGACGGCCCGGCACGCTTGCGATGAGCCAAACCCTGAACCAGCAAGACCATTTTAGAGTACTCGGTCTCTTCAATCAGGTCGAATAAAACTCCTTGAAAGGAGAACACTCCAAATGCATCACCGCACTGACGTGTCAAGGTTGTCATCGGTTAGGGTTTGAACTCCCGCTTCTAACAAGTGGGAATAAGATACTCCCTTCACGAAGACAAAATAAGTTGTCCCCTCACAATATGTTACAACCGTCGTGTGATTCAGTCAACGTAATAACGCCACTCATTCAGTGCAATTCTGCATACAGACCGATAACAATAGCAGGAATTTTCTAGCAAGTCACTGAGTGCATTAGGTGAAAAATATTTTCTGGTAGTTCAGGTCTTTTCCATAATGTTGGTTCAAAAGTACTACAGAACGAAAGGGAACTTATAGGCTTGATGCTAGACCGATGTTAGAATCAAGCCCTCTCAGCCTAACACCGCTTTGGGCCTAGAAATGAGTTCTCCTCAAGTGTACCAATCATTCCTACAGCTTCAAAAAATGTTTTTTTTTCTTTGAAATTCAAATTAAAATAATGCTTATTCTATCCCGTTATTAAACATTAAGAGTAGGAATTTCCTGCTTTTTCTTTAGGTTTTAAGCTTTATCAAACAAATACCCGGAGGCAGAGTTGGTTATTTACTTGATATTGCGCAATAAATTAGAGCGGACACTTTGGTTTCCGGTGCGAAATTAATAAAGTAAACTGCACTTTATTGGAATGTACAACTTAGTGTTTGGGGTGGGTCCAGTAGAGCCTGGCATAAAGCATACGTGGAAAAGTTAGAATCATATCATATTAAATTAGGGGCCAGAAAATGGTCACTGTTTGTTGTTTCAAACTGACTAGTGAGAAAAAGCCAAGAAGAGAATATGGTAGGGATATGCGCCCCTATTACGCTGAGCGAATAAGCTTACATTATTAATCACTCGTCCTCTCAACATTGAAGAGAAACAGAAATGGACGGTACTTCATCAAAGTGTGTAATAATTTTGGGAGCAATGATACAGATTTTAACGCGAAATACGTTTAATAAACACTAATTTCTATTTTATGCATCAAAGAAATCCCATTCCAACCAGTAACATTGTGAATTCAAAACAAATAACATCCAAATAAAAGTGCATCACGCCAACAAGAGGGAATAGTTGGCTGCTCCCGTTTGAGACGCTGCTAACGCTCTAAGTGGTTCCCCATACATTATAAGATCAAAAGGAAGCCGACACACAAATAGGTTCAAGCATTTTTCCTTGTATAATTCAATAGCTCTTATTGGTATCATATTGCAACCTTTTCTGCAATATTTCACTGTGGATTAAATATTTATTAGACTAGATCTTCCATCACATTATGTGGTCTTTTTTAGGAGAAGTTAGAAACTGAATACTTTTGGAACAATGCTTTATAAATGACATCGCCGTTTTTAAACGACACTTTATTGTTAAAATTTTTATTTTGATGGAAGCCAGATTCGAAGTAGGACTGACATTGATTAGTCGATTTTCAGTTAAAAAAACCCAACTTACTTTACACAACTAAAGTCGTGGTCCTGAATCACTTCAGTCCAGTGATCGAGTTGTGCTGAGGCTCGGGAGCCTCCCTTGTAAGCACGTAGGTATTCAAGTAAATCAGCCTGAAAGTGTGTCTTGGAGTCGCCGTTGCCATGACTCAATTTTGGAGATATCCATATCCTAGAAAAGCATTAGATACCAAAAATTTCAGCCTACTTTAAACAATTCAGTCAAAGAATCAGTATGACTGAATTTTCGCATATTCACTGTACGACTAACTGGGGATGGGAGTTTACGATCATTTCCCCATAGATTCAATTCTTTGAACTATCTCGGAAGCCATTTTCGATAACCGCAAATGAAGGTTTTAGTATTTTTGCAGTTTTTTTGGATAATTTATCCTTATTAGGGTATGTCAGACATTCAGTTCTCTGCAATGTAATTAATGGTTATTTGGCTCTCGGCTTTGGTAAAAGGTCACTTTGTGTCTCGGCCACTGTGCTCTCGTCAGGTGGGCTGGTCTCTGGGCCGTGCCAGTAGCCTCCAGCTATTCTATACGTTGAATGCATGCATTCTGCCAGAGTATTATGTCATCTTTCGTCTTCAGGACAGTCTTGGGGCGCTACATCAGATTTCAATTTGAGCAAGGCATTAATGACATAACTTTATGCCATCTTAATTACGATCCAAAAAGATTATAATAAGAATTAACCATGAATAGAGGGAAAGGTATGAAAGCAGGGCAATTAAAGTCCTATTTTTACTGGTCCTAATAGATAAAAACAGTCATAAAACCACAATTACCCTTGAGTTCGAAGGAACCAATCCGACTGAATCTGGTTAGCAGTGTGAATCACAACTCGTAACCCGTCTTCATAGCGCAGTAGCATCATTTTACTGATTAAAAATAAACGAAATTGGATTTTATATACTATTCAACAAAATGAAGGTAAATAACATTACTTACGTGTGGTGTGTTCCGTATGCGATCGGAAGGGGAGCCTAAACAAGTAAATATTGGCGGTAGAAGAGAAGGTAACGGCGTGTTTTGACACCAATAGCGATCATGTGTGTATGTACTCCGACTATAGAGCAAGTGGTACTTACCTCCAAAATTGACACGTTTTTCCACCGAGTCGCCTGCGATCTGAGCTCTTCGCTCTGTCCATCCGAAGATCCGTGAACGATCAGTAGGGGAAGTGATCTCGAAACACATCAAAACACTTATCTTGACTGCACAATATCACAATAGGAAAGTATGATGTTCATCAGTAGATACGTACCGATATTTCTCGGGATATTGTTGAATCAACCACTCAAGCTCAAACATGTAATTGAACTAAATATACGTAAAAACCAAAGTACTGAACAGAATCTCGGAACATTTTGTGAGAAACTCTTTCCTTACCTGTGCTGACTCAATAAGTTTGCCGTTTCTCTCATCCAAAATTTCTAAAAAAACCAATGGAAGTTCACACAGTCGACGGCAAAACCTGTTTTGAAACCAAGTAAATAAATGATCATATAACTACTTCCGATAGAATAAACACTCTTCGATTATAATTATGCATCAATAAATAAAACTGTCATTATTTTACAACTCAAGACTTGTCAATTCGCTATTGTGAAGAATTTTGGGTAAACTAAAATTTCGTGTACATTTAGGCACTATAGCCTAACATCCTGATCTCGTATTCCATTCCACCACGCTTTACTGGATGATCAAAAGATGTTCATTTGGTTAAAGCATTTCCAGCGCTGTTGCCTCAGAGGAGCTTGAAATCCTCTACTGCATGCTATTGTTTCCGCATCTATGCTATTTAATCATGCCATTACGTTCTATTGAAAAGAATTATGCTTGATACAGCTTTTAACATTACTCTCTGCCTATTCTGGCGTATTTCTATATCGGTAGTTAAATTCACCTATAATTTCTAGATGGTTAAATGGGTTGGAAATTCCAAATTTGGCCACTTTAAGCAAATTATGAGGCTACGTTTATCGGAATGGAATTTAGCAGTGCCTTTCCAACTTACCAGTGAGAGTGACAGTTGGAATGGAGCCATATTCAACACCCCTCACGCGAAACACGTAAAAGCCATAGCCCGATCCGAGTTCAGGCGCTGTATATAGCTCTGATTTTGACGGTTTGTGTGAAGACCTTATGCCTTCTGCGATAATAGAGATGCTCTAATTAGTCACAAAAGTAAAGCAAGAACAATCTGCTCTCCCACTCGCACCTACTGGGATGTAAATACTCCACAAAGTGGGCGGGGTTGCGTCGATAGCATGCAGAGCCGTACCTACAAGTCGGTCGCTGTACGACCGAGGTGGTCGTACAACCGGATAAATCAACGGCTTCCTGCTTCCTTGGTGGGTATTCAGGGAGTTCTGCCACCTTTCTACAGGAAAAATAACTCCAATGACGGCACTGATCCCACCTTTTACCCTTGGGCCAGTTTGTATCCCCTGTGCTTTCCATAATTGGATGATCTGCAATACAAGAAATTATGATGAATCTGATAATGTTTCACTCGTTCAGTGGCATAACCAAATTTGAAAGAATGATCGACCTTATTGCGTCACATCGGTTATTTTCAGATAAAATGAAGCGGCTCCTTCGAAACAGCGTTTCATGTAAAAAGAATGGAGTCTATTCAATCTCAGGAGCAAACTAGGCATCTTAAATACTTGAACTCAGCCGCCTTCTAGCTAAAAACTAAAATAGCACTGCAAATTATTGGTTCATGAAGCTAAAATGCTTCATTAATTGTATGCCCTGATCCGCCTTATGAAATTGACTCTAGAGCTAGTTACCTACCAAGACTCATCTCAGCTGAAATCAACCCATGGTAGATAGCACGTGTGCCCTCGTCACCTTGCAAGTCCATTATCGAAACAGCTGCAGATTCTGCTGGATCTTAAAAAACTTAAGGAATCACCGCATGAACTCGACGCAAACGTCTGACAAGTACAGCAAACCATAAGAGTTCAATCAGCATCAGTTTTAAGTGAGCTCAGACTGATAAAACTTCCCAGGACTGGGGTAAGTCGACAGTCCAAAGGGCATGCAAAAAGACCCGACATCTGGGCATCAGAACAGCTCAGTCCCATAAGTTGCTACAGCACCAAAATGCAGGAAAAGAGAGGATTTAAATAGGATATATTTAAAGATATATATTTCTCCAGTTACAGTCAACTTTAGTGGCACACAATTGCCCTCACGCGACGAAACGAGAATGGTGGCAAAAAATACAGTATTAAAATGCATTTACAACATTGCATGTTTTGGTTTCATGTGGACGGTTTCAAGGGGTCTTGCACATCTTCCATGCCTTCATCATCATCATCATCATCCTCTTCCTCAGCCATATCCACATCCGATTCATCCTCGCCAACATCGAAGAGCCGCCCAGCGACAGCAGCACCATCTCCCGCTCCGCTGCCACCCCCGCTAATGGCCGCCGCAGCCGAAGCGTTCTCCGATGCTTCGCCCATTGCACTTTCAACGGTCATTTTTACGGCCTGACGATGTACACTGTTAGCAGAGTGACGCAGAAGGCCACCCGGACCACTGGGAACAACGAAGCCGCGAGAAGCAGCTGCACGTGCATAATGCTGGGTATCCCCGGGGGTTATTTCGGTGCTCGATGCAACGCCAGCACTGGCGCGCTGTAGATGAATTTGTTCAGGGGCAGCGCCACCATCATCCGCGCCTTCACCACCGCCCCCACCCACCACCTCCTCCTCTTCCTCGTCGTCAAAGAAGTCATCGCCGAAACGTCTGCGGTGATGCTGGGTGTGGTGGGTGTGAGAGTCTGCTACCCCCACAGGAGTCGTATTTGGACCACCTGCGCCTGCAACTTCAGCCAAACGCGCTTCCACATAGAGACGACGCTGTTGATGAAGAGCTTCAAAATCAGGCACGATAGCCTGGCGACGTTCAAAGATAGCTATGAAAAAACGTATTGCGTCAGAGATATTAAACAAGGTTGCACATTCATAGCCTGATTCAAATGAATTAATAAAACTGTTAAAACTTCAAACTGGCACAAAGCACTAAATGAGGAAGTTTTGTGATGTAAACAATAAATTATCAGTGATAGCAATGAAACTGCAAAAGCTTTAAATGCCAACCTTCAACATAGAAGCGCAGCGATGGAGGGATAAGTTCAAGGCACTGATTATATTCCTCTTGAGTGCATTGCGGACTGCCCAGTCGCAGGGTGAGGCCCATTCTCTTCAAAGTGTCAACCTCGTCACGAACCTCATAGGGCTGATCAAAGTTGAAATAGTATTCCAGTCTAAGGGAAAGCAAAGCAGTTCTCAGATCAGCAGACCACAACAATAAGCGCATAAGGGTAGCAAAAAACTAATTTGCATCCAGAGGGAATTCACAAGGTTATAAGTAGGAGTTTACTTG